GGCTTCAAGTAATTACATTGTGATCAGTCATGCAGGTGATGTTTTAAATTAGTTTACAGATCGATTAAGACTAAAACCTAAATACCTTTTAGCCACTGAAGACTGTCATTCTTAATGGAACAAATTACTAGATTTGAGTAAATTGATCAGTAATTTAAAAGTTTTTCCCAACTTGAGAAAGACTGACTTCAGCGGAGGGTATAGACCAAATGCCAACTAGACTCTTTAGTTGTAGGAAAGGTTGACTGATCAGTGTGCAGTCATGCTTTTTTCTTGTTTCATTTTTATATTTGTAGGGTAGTATTGTTTATATGCTCCTACCCATTCTGATCCTTTGATAGCAAAGACTGCTTCCTGTAAGGCAGAATGTGTTTTTCAAGGAGATTTAAGATGGTTAAAATCTGGAAATCCCTGAAGTATGGAAGTGGTGTTATGGTGGTACTTTATTTTGCTTTTTAAATTTGTCTGTGATTTTCACTTTAGTTACCCTGTTGGTCAAATCTGCTGACTACAAATGTTAATTAACATGATGAATTTTCTCATGTTGTGATTAAACAATAAAATGTCACTATAATATTGTACATTTTGTGGTAATGTTGTACATTTCTTGCACTTAAAAGTGGTTTCTGTTGATGTGTAATAAATGTCCAATTATTTATAAAACTTATATCTTGCATGGACAAAAAGGCTCTGGTGGTTTCTGTTAGAGCCTACATTTCTGTTACCTTCAGAAAGCTTTTTCCATCTGCCCTGTCACAGTTCTGTTCAAATTATAAACTAGTTTTCTTTCAGTCATATCTTCCTTTGGACCCACCCAGATCTTTTCAGTTACAAATTTAGATCAGTTGGCTGCACTGATGAGTCAGACGCTTTCTTTTCCTCTTTTTAAAACCATTCTTTTGAAACTCCATAAGAGCCTATGATCATGGTATATAGTTCACCCACAGATTTATGTTTCACTATATTAGTTTCTGTTACAAATAGGTTTCTTGCTCTTATTAATAATAATAATAATAATAATATTATAAGTGTAAGCAATTATTATCATTATCTAGTGCTTTTCTGGACACTCCACTTAAAGTGCTTTACAGATAAAAGGGACTGCCCTCCACCACCAATGTGCAGCATCCAGCAGGATGATGCGACGGCAGCCATAGTGCAACAGAACGCTCATCACACATCACACATAATTAAGCCAATTCATAGATGGGGATTATTAGGAGGCCATGATTGGTAAGGGCCAATGGGAAATTTGGCCAGGACGCCGGGGTTACACCCCTACTCTTTTCGAGAAATGCAATGGGATTTTTAATGACCACAGAGAGTCAGGACCTCGGTTTTACATCCAAAGGACGGCGCCTCTTTACAGTATACTGTCCCCGTCACTATACTGGGGCATTAGGACCCACATGGACTGTGGGGTGAGCGCCCCCTGCTGGCCCCACTCACACCTCTTCCAGCAGCGACCTTAGTGTTTCCCAGGAGGTCTCCCATCCAGGTACTGACCAGGCTCACACCTGCTGAGATTCAGTGGGTCGCCAGTTGTGAGTTGCAGGGTGATATGGCTGCTTGCCCTTGCACCATGCATGAGATATTAAATGTGGCAGCTTTTTTGTTCATATATCCTGAATATACAAAACATTAGGAACATCTTGCTAATATTGCATTGCACCCTCTTTTGCCATCAGAACAGCCTCAGTTCATCAGGGTGTGGACTCAACAAAGTGTAGAAAGCATTTCACAGGGCTGCTGGCACATGCTGAATCCAGTGCTTCCCACAGTTGAGTTGGGTTGGCTGGTAGTGGACCTCTACTCCATCTCATTCCACACATGTTCAATTGGACTAAGATCTGGTGACAGGGAAGACCGCTGCATTAAGATGGTCATATTCGTAGAACCATTCCTAGATAATCTCAGCATTATGCTGCTGAGAACATCCATTTGAAGATGGATACAATGCTGCCATGAAGGGACGCACCTGATTGGCAATGATGTTCAGCTGGCCTGTGGTATTCAAACGTTGCTCCACTTTTATCACGGGGTGCAATGTGTGCCATGAAAACACACCACCACCAGCCTGCAGTGTTGACACCTGGCATGATGGATGCATGGACCCATGTGGTTTTCTCCATAACCTAGAGTCCTCCTATCAGCGTGAAACAGCAGGAACCGGGATTCATCAGATCAGGCAATGTTTTTCCAATCCTCCAGTGTCCAATGTTTTTGTTTCAAATACCTCAGAAGTATTGGCAAACTCAGTCCAGTGAACTTCAGAATAAAGGGTGAAGCACAAACCAGAAAGCACAAGTGGAAACTGTTATGGACCTGCTTTTAAAACCACTAAGTGAAGGCACTTTATGCAAGAGTTGTGGGAGTATGGAATAAGCTGTGCAACCATGTTGAAACCCTGGCTTTTTTGGCAGAATGGTTAGCTGAGAACTAACGGTAATAGAAACTGAACTTGATAAAAGGACTGAATGGCCTCCTTTTGTTTGTAGCCTTTGATATTTTCTTAAACAACTGTAGCGTCAATTTAGCTTCGGGAATCTTAAACTCTGAAATATTCTAGGAAAATAAAAACGCTGATGAGGAAATACTGTTTCCATTCCTTTTGAAATCATGCTGCTGTACATCATGTCTATGATTTTTGGCAGATCTGCAACACAAACAGTTGTTCTATTAAACATTAGTTGGGGTCGTTGTTTTCCTTTCACAACCTTCAGGAGAGAACACTGCAGGAACTGCAGGAAATCCAAATCAGATTAAGGTCTTGGTAAGCAGCTGTGATCCAGAAAGTACACACAAGCTGAAGACCTTGGGAAGTTGTTTTAGTATGAGGGCAGATAGCTTTTCATCATTGTACATGAATGTAATGAGTAAGCTGATATTTATTTGGTATTTTTCAGAAGAAGAATTTGCCTTGTTCATGTTTGCAAAAACATTTTCTTCTCAAGTGCATAAACATACAACAGAGAAGGATGTCTGCACTGAAAGCTTAAGTATGGAGTGTCAATGCACAGAAATCCTGATGCGTCGTGTGCTTCATGGCCATTGCATGAGAATCATGAGTTTTGAAAATGGTATTGTGGTACAACTTAAAGTATTGTACAATCTCACCTTTCAGAACAAACTAGCTGTCACACATTGGCTGTATGTACAGTACTGTGTCGCAAGCTGCCTGATGTTTAAGTGTACAGTAATTGTATGCTGTGCACCACTGTAGGCGATGACCAGTTCAAACGTGTCTGAGCCAGCTGTGTACTCTTCTTATGTTATTTTTGTTTCTTCACTCTCCTGTTATTTAGCATTTCTCTGGATTTTCCTTCAAGATAACATAGATTGCTCATTTTAAAGATTGTCAAAACTGTACCAGGCTGTGCTTCTCAGGCTCCAATTTGCTTTTCTTTCTCTCGGTAGTTGAACAACAGTGAGCTCTGTAATAGCCTCGGCAGCTGTATGTCGTTAACCGGTTTTCAATGTGAAAGCTGGAACCGCGGCCAAAGCTGAAAGTTTCATTCTGCACCTGGAAACCTTCTCCCTCATTTACATTCAGCCCACAGCACTTTACTTGTTAGGCTCAGAGTGTTTTGCAGATAGTTCGGGATTGTGAAATGCTACAGGACAGAAAGTAATGCAAGGTCATGACATATTATAGCTCTTTTCTTGATGTGCTGCGAGTGCGGAATGTGCACTTGGCCAGATCACAACATTATAACAATTTCTCTTTAATTATTTCACGTTTAAACCTTGAATCCCACTTTTCATCAAGTTCCTGTCTTTTACATTACAGATACCTAGAGCATTTTGTCACATAAAACACAGTACACCAGGATTGCTAAAAGGAGCTCACGCAGGAAGTTCTAAAACATACAGCCCAGTGTTTTAGAAATACAGTTTAATGGGTCAACAAAGCAGAAAAAAATGTCGATTGGTAATTGGAAGTTTTGTGTAGCATTTAGACCTATCGAATCAGTGTTACCCCTTTGGAATCTTGGAAGATGCTGATCATCTTAGACTATCGCAGAGGTTATTTGTGTTAAAAATGCCTGATGCATTCGCAACATTGTTCATTCTTGGACTTAGTGGTGAACCCGTGCTCAGTCATCAGTAACCAGAGGCACACATTTCGCTGAATTGCAGTGTTCATGAGCTTGACAGATGTTATCCTGCTTAAAACAGCAGAGAATGTTTTTGCACTGGTTGCATTTGAGTGCCATGCAGCCGTGCTCTGCTTCCATGGTTTTAGTTACTGGTCAAATCCTGAACAATATCTACAGAAGTTCTGCTATGAACAGAACAACTGACATATGTACTATATATCCTGGTTCTAGTCTAATGCTCTTATAAGCTAAAGAAGTGACCAAGATGTATTAGGTTCTAAGGAATTTCACACATGGGTGGTGTAAATGAGCTAAATCCTTTTACTCTTGCTCCTGTAACCTTTATTTTTTGCATTATTCAGTAAATATTAAGAGTCTGCAAAGTGTCATTTACGAACGTAGGCAAAGGGTAGTTCTGTTACTTTCAAGTTCATGATAGGAATTCTGAAAGAAGATGACTGTGGGTTAATATGTATCAACCATGTGTAAGGTTTTGCACATTTTGAGAGTGGGAAAAAATACAGAGCAGTAATGACATGTCTGCACCCCTCCATTAATTAAGCTATTAAACTATTTAGAGGATAATTTCATTTTACAAAGTGAGCTATTTTTGATCTTTTCAGTATGGAATTGATTGCTCCCTGTGTTGTCTGATCTGTCTAGTTTATATAATCGTGATGAGAGTTAAGAGTTTGATGTACATTCTTCATCAAGTGCCCCAGTTTGTGCCCTTAGTAGGCAACTCTGTAAAATCATCTGCAGACAATGGGCTTTGTCATTTGTCAGGGCTTGAAAAGTGAAGTGAAGAGAAAAGTGAAGTGAAGCTAACCACGAAACGTCTCTCTCTTATTTCATTCTTCAGCAGAGCCCTCACTGCTCTTCTCTGTTTCTCTTTTGCAGGCGTATAATATCCACGTGAATGGTGTGCTTCATTGTCGGGTCAGGTACAGCCAGCTGCTGGGGTTGCATGAACAGGTAAAAAAGAAGCATTACAAACATGCCTGCATTCACTTGTTCATCATAGGTGTCCAGGATATTGTTGATTTGAATGCCTTATTGGCTATATCCATCGTCTGTAAATGTTTAGAAGAGCTTTTCCAAATGGCAGAACTCTGTATCACATCCTCCCTTGAATGCAAAAATATTCTTGTGCAGCTTAATTCCAACAGCAGCATTTTGGCTGTATGCTTACTAGTCATGTTCTTGGGTACACCAGGACTCTGTTTGTGGGATCCTAATCTGTACAGTCCACAGAACAGATGTAGGCAACTCTATTCTTGCAGTGGTACAGAAGTGTCTCCTGGTTTCCATTTCCCATTTGATTTTATTCGTATGATTGAGCTAGTTATTTGGATTAGAAATTGAATTGCAAGTCTTTGCAGTTTCTAGTCCGTTACTAATCAAGATGAACCGGCAAAACTGAGCTGCCTAGATGGGCCAGGCTCCTCCATTGTTGAAGAACAAATAATAAAAAAAACTAAAAATGTAGCACAAGCCTGGTTGTAATCTGTCCAAAATTAATCTGTCCAAAATTCTGTCCAAAATTAATCTGTCCAAAATTCGTACATCTTTCTTGAATGAATAAAAGTATAAAGTCAACTTTTCTGTCAAGGAGAAATGAATCACTTTTTTGACACCGCACCTAGTTTTCCAGTTTACGTTTAGCTCCTTCACTTATCACACTTCTACAATAGTCTGCCCCAGTCTGTAGTTAACTGATTTATTTGTATACATGTAGTTGTATCCTCATGTAACCTCATTGTAACTTGGTTTCAGGGAAAACCTTTCTTTATAGTCACGCCTTGCACTTTCTATTTCTTCTCTCTCCAACATTTTCATAATTTGTCCTCCTTTGTATTTTAAACATTTATCTGATATTGCATCATCCTTGTAAATATGATGTTTATAAAGTTGAACTGGCATAATGGGTAATCTATATTGTGAAAACTGGAGCATGCACTGCATTCCTGCCCTCCAAAGTTGCTGAGTCTGACTTCGTCATTCCATAGCAAAATACAGTTTGATGGTTCAGCAACACCTCCAACATCGGATGTGGTGTTAAGCAAGGCTGTATGCTTATGCTAAATCTTTTTTTTTTTTTTAGGGAAATAAGATTAAGCATAAGCATAGAAGGGGATTTTCTTCTGCATTAAGTTTAAGTATGCTTTCAGTGGTTGCTCAAAGAGAGCTTTATAGAGATGCCCCTATAAAGAGCTACATGCCAAGATCACATGAGATCTGATGTTAAGCTGAATAAGATGGCTGTCCTGAAGTTCAAGAGGAAAACCGGAGGCATCCTGACTAGAAAATATTCCTATTTGCTAAACCTTCTGCACTAGTTAAAAACATAGAAGCTCTAATTCAAAATACCATAAACTGAATAGTCTGTGCACAGTTCTCACTTGCTGGGAAAGGACAAGGGGTGGTTTTTCAGCCTTGCCATGCATCATGTATCAGTATCATCCTGGATTATCTCTGTTGAAGTGGTGCAGACAATCTGTCTTTTGGGTACAGTTCAGGTCAGCAGTTTGTTACAGAACAGAAATCTCTACCTTCTTTGGCTAGTTAACCAAACAAGCCTGGAACAGCAGGGTTCTTACCTTCAGGAGAAAGATTCTGATCTACCAGGTGGGTCCCATTTACACCCTAGTGTATGTTACTCAGATATGGGCAACATAAAGTAATCTAGAGAAGAAACTAAAAATCTTTCTTTGATGCTCTCCGAGGATAATGTGGCAGGATGAGGTCATCAGCCAGGCAAACATCTCAAGCCTCCTCACCCTCGGATGTAGGGTGTGATGTGCTTCTGGGAACCAAAATCAGTGGCCTAACTTCCTGCTTTAACTCAGTCATGCAAAAATTTGTTGTGGTTACAAATCAGAATTGCTGCTGTGCATCGGGCATTGTTGTGGGGGAAGGTCGTATCAACATGACATGGAGCTTAGCAATGACAGTGCTTGAGCGAGACCTGTTCCAAGTGCTAAGAAGGGAATAAAAATTGTCGGTCTTAGTTTCTGATGCAATGTGCCTTGGATGGTTTCATTTCATTGAAATTAATACTGAACTGTAATTGTAGATCATGTTACAGATACAGATCATTGTAGACACAAATCATGGTCACATTTAGTTAATTCAGCACCCTGTCTGGAGTGTCGTCATTATCCCACATGATAGCTTTTGTTTGTATACCTTATTTCAGTGCTTCCCAAGGCATACTTACTGCATAAAAGCCTTATATGAGAGCTACAATCTTTTAAATCTTGTTGAACTATCTGAAGATTACCTTTGAATAAACGTAAACAAATAATTCTTCATAAATACAAAACATTATGTACAATTATATAGATAATTCTCACTTTGCTGGCATTTTTTTTCTGCAGAAGAATTGAAGAGGTCATAGAGTCTTAATTCAATCATGAGACTTAAATTGTGCAGTATTGGTTTGCAAGAATACAGCAAATCAGAATTATGGGACTTCTAAATTAATTCTGGGAAATAAATCTGTATGGCCTTTTGGGCCTAGTTGAAATCCTTCAGAGGACAAAGAAATACCTAAAAACCAAATGGTGGGCATGTGAAAAAAATTTGGGCTGCAGGGGCCCGAATTACAGAATGAATTTGGTTGTCTTGCATCCATCGAGTTCATTTTGTTACTGCTTTATCCAATACATGGTCCCAAGGGAACCGGAGCCCATCTCAGCAAGCAAAGGGTATAAGGCAGGATTCGCCCTTGATGGGACACCAGTCCAATGCAAGGCAGATGCACACACACTCACACACACTCACACCAAGGCCAGTTTTTTCCAGAAGGCAATAAAAGCCTACCAGTATTTTTTTGGACTGTGGGGGGAAGCCAGTGCCCCCAAAAGAAACCTACGCAAATGCAGTGCTGACCACTGCATCACCTTGCCTTTTATCATTAGTAGAGCCGTTTTGCGTCATGAAATGAGTCAAGGTTAAGCCCTGTTAAATAATGACTTGGCCATGACAATGGCCACCTGTCCATTTCTGCCTGAAGTCAATTGTCTGTTTTTTTTTTTATTGAAAGCTGGTTCAAGATGGTTGAATGCAAGCTAGGGCAGTGCGGCGCTGAGATACATTGACATCAGCGTTCTGAAGAGGCGGATAGTAGACATTTCTTCTACCATTATTACAACTACTCTGACCTGACAATTGAGCCAATTGTCACAAACAGCACAGTTTTAGGTCAGTTGCTGCATTGGCCAAGCCATCCACAATTTCCCCCAGCCCATTTTACAGACTGCTTTTTGTTTACCACTGTGACCAGGTGGTGTGGGATGATATAGGAAAACACTTGCCTCAGCTTGCACATCCACCAACTCGTATACAGATATGAGTTGCTGTAATGGAATTCAGGCACTGAATCATCATTTTCAGACAGCCGTTGATTCTAGAATTGGCCAGACTATGTGTACTGTAATTTTGTATTTGTATGTACTGTTATAGTATGTAGAGTAATATTGATTACTGTAGTCAATACTGTAATTCTGTCCACTGCTTAAGGTCTATGGAATCACTCTTGAGTGGTGTCTAGAACTCTTTGTTTCCATGAATGCAGAGCTGCTGTCCAGCCTTTATTTCCACATATAGTGTGTAAGTGCTTAATGTCTGAAAGAGTTGAATATGGAAACAGTGGCCAACTAAAATTGTTTATTTACCTTTTTTTTTTCAGTTACGAAAAGAGTATGGGAACAACGTCATCCCTGCTTTCCCGCCCAAAAAAATTTTCACACTTACACCAGCGGAAGTTGAACAACGAAGGGAGCAGTTGGAGAAATACATGCAGGCTGGTGAGTGATGAGAATACCTTTCATCGGCATACATGAAATGACAGCTGGGGCACACGGTTTAATTTTGTTTAAAAAAAAACGAAAAACACCTGAAAAGTACAGTAAGGTCTCTGTATTTGCGAGGGTATGGTGCAGAGCTTTTTAAACCCCTCACAAAAGTTGACATTTGAAAATAGCCCCGAGGCTTATACTACCCCTATTTTTGAATACCCCATAAGTCTTTTAACAGAATAAGGGTGCAAATGCCATAAAAGGTATGAAACTATCCAAGTAAATGTAATTTCACATTTCTCATAATTATATCGAATTTATAAAGAAAACATTAATCTCAAACTTAACCTAAATCCACAACACCAAAGTGGTGGTGATGATGATGATGATTGATGTACAATACTAAGTAGTGGTGAAATACAAGCACTTCCTGATGGTCCTCTTTCTTTGGACACAGTGGTGGTCACTGGGATCTAAGTCGAATGAAGCAGACCGCATAACGAGGCTAGTGGCAGAACTGCAGGGAAGGGCGCAGGCTGCAGTGTATCTGCAGGCTGTCACAGCGACAAAGTGGGCGGCTCTGTCCGAGAACATCATGATTCGCAGCTGCTTTGTTTTCTGTTGTAGTTCCTTATGCTTATCGTGGTACGGAGCAAAGCCTGGTCGATCTGCCAAGCAATCTTGAGACTCCAGTCCAGTTCACAAGGATCGTATTGTGAATTTTTCCTTCAGTAGTTTTACATATCGCAACACTTCTGTAAACTTGGAAATACTAGCTTGCTGTATTTTGTAGTAGAAAGACCACTCCGTCATAGATAAAGCCAAAGTAAGAGAAACCGCTTGAAACCAGATGGAACGAGAACTAAAGTTGTTGGCACAGCAGATATGGTGAAGTAAGAGCACTGAGTATTGAGAATTTTAATCTAATTATACAGCTAATGCTTATTTATAATCCAGCTCATTTAACATGTTAGCTGCCGGTATAGTACAAGTCTCATTCATTTAATTCCTTGTTGCTTTTAAGATGAAGACGTTGATCTGCTGCAGGGATTCTGCATGAGAATTGTCAGAATGAAACTTGGGGCATTCTTTGTTTCTTTAGTTGCCTTCTTACTGTTTGAGAGAGGGAGTGCAGCACATTCAGTAGCAACACTGGTTTATTTCAGCAGGTTCAGTGATGCATAGGTAAACTATTCTCTCATTAGAGGCTGTGCATCTTTTGAATCCAATGTAGGTGGCCACAGCACCGCAGTGTTGAACTGTGCTGTGATCTTATGTCCTTGGCTCTGTGTGAGATGTAGGGTGGAAGAGTAACAAGTGCTGCTTTTTGTCACAATCTCTAGTCTTCATCCTGAATGTTTTAAGTGTTTTACCCTCCAGTAATTTACCTAGGAAGACTGGCTTACATTTTGAGTTAGTCATAGCATGAACCCATTTGTTTTACTTCAGCTTACTCCAATGAAAATCTTTAATCTAAAGATATTCAGCATTTTATATATATATATGGTTGTTAAGGTTTTGACAAAATTAAAGTTATCTAGTTGGAACAATGGTATAAAAAAAGAGTTGGAAGGTATTGAGGTATCTTCTTCTATCCAAACTACCAGCAGTCCTGGACTCCCTTTCCTGAGTTAACATTTGGACCAGTATCTAATGTAATTACAGTCAGTGAAACTACGGCAACATCTATAAATCTAAATTATAACCGCATATTAATGTTAGGACCTTTAACCAAATTTCACATTTAACTTTCTTGATATTTATATGTTTACTTGATATACACTTCTGTGTAAAATCAATGGTGTATAGTTTTTTGTATCACTGTTTTTAAAAGCCATACATAAGTGATATTTAATAAAATCATAAAATCCATGTACTGTATATTCTATTTTTAACAAATATGAAGTGGCTCTAATAGTGTTGGACTCTTCCACGTGATATTAAATTACAATGTATGGTGATGGTAAATTTGTAGTAAAATGTCTTACCATAGAAGGATACACTCCCTGTCAGTTTAGGGAGAGATTATAGAACTGGTTCATTTTTCTAAAATCTGGTGTTTTTGAGATTTTATTCTTTTGTAGTTCTGTCAAGCTTTGTTTGTGATTTCACAAAAGAAGAGAAGGAGAGACAAGACTGTGCTGGCCTTTTGTTTGCACTTTCATGTTATTATCTCTGTTCATGTCCCTTTAGTGCGACAGGACCCAGGGCTTGGAGCCAGTGAAACATTCAACAGCTTCCTGAGAAAAGCACAGCAGGTTAGTTTGTTATTCACTTCTTATCGATGTTGCTGATGCAGAGATAAAACACTGCTGGCTTTGGTCAGGGTTGCCTGTTCAAACGGGTATGGTCTGTTTCCCACCTACTTCTGTTTCAGAACTTTGCGATGGCTCGTTTTCTGCAGGGCTTTGACAGTCCTGCCCGTCTGTGTAACTGTCCATCCCGGTGGTTGGTTTTTCAAAATAATGAAAAGATTTAGGATTGTCTGTTGAGATAAAACTGTGAGTTATTTTTTACCTCTTAAATAGCATTAATATAGCCTAGCATATAAAATATAAAATGTCGCCCTTTTTTATCTACCAAAGGATTTTACATCGGTAGTTCTCACAGCGGCGTATGATCTGCCACAGGCAAATATCCCAAAGGCATTGGACGAATTACGTGGACAACTAAACAGACATGGGAACCCGCACCCCGAGGGCACATTTATTATAGTGGGTGATTTCAACCAATTGCAATTTCCCTCACGGGATCAATAAAGTATCTATCAGTGGTGCAAACTTGGAAGAAAAACAATGCCTAACTTACATCAGCATATTAACTGCCTGGTGTGCGGAAAAAAAACACGCTGGATAATGTTTTTACTCCCCTTCAGGATGGTTACAAAGCCCTTCCCTGACCTTTTAGCAGATCTGATCATATTTCTGTTCTGTTACTTCCTCCCTACAAGCAGAAGCTAAAACAAAGGCCCGCGATAAAAACTATTCAGTGTTGGTCGGATGAATCGGATTCTGTATTACATCACTGTTTTGCCACCACTGACTGGCAGATCTTCCGTGAGGCTGCCGAAAATAATATTAATCTTTATGCGGATTATGTTACCGGCTACACCAATTCATGTATTAAAGACGTGGTCCCAAGGTCCCAAAATCAAAAACGTGGGTCAATGGCAAAATACGCACTAAGCTCAAAGCTAAGACAGCTGCTTTTAACTCTGGCAACATGGATAGGTATAAAAAATCCAGATATGAGTTTATAGAAAAGCTATCAAAATAGCTAAATATAACTATAGAGTGACGGCTGCAACACCTGGAATATGTGCAATGGGTTACAGACTATAAAGTGCCACTCGGCTATATCAAACAACAATCTGCCTTTCTTCCTGATGAGCTCAATTGATTGTATCTAGAGCGGATGTGTGTTAAGTTTTTCAAAAGACTTCTGGCCCTGATGCTATCCTTGGCTGTGTTCTGAAGGCATGTGCAGGCCAGTTGGCAGATGTCTTTATGGATATATTTAATCTTTCTCTTGCTCAGTCCACAGTTCCCTCCAACTTTAGGAAAACCACCATTGTCCTAAGAAACCTAGAATTAGTTGCTTGGATGACTACCACCCTGTTGCACTCACATCAGTCATTATGAAGTGCTTTGAGTGGTTGGTCAAAGCACTCATCATCTGCTCACTGCCTGACACCCTTGACCCACTGCAATTTGCAAATTGCCAGAACAGGTCAACAGAAGATGCTATTGCCACTGCCCTCTCACACCTGGATAAGAAAGGAAAATATATGAGCATGCTGTTTGTTGATTACAGTTCAACATTTAACACCATAGTGCTCTCAAAGCTTGTCATCAAGCTCCAGGACCTGAACACCTCCCTCTGTAATTGGATCCTGGATTTCCTGATGGGACGTCCGCAGGTGGTGAGGGTGGGCACCAACATATCCTCTACCCTGACTCTAAACACTGGAGCCCCCCAAGTTTGTGTGCTTAGCCCTCTCCTATACTCCTTATTTACCCATGATTTTGTCGCCAGGCATAACTCAAATTCAAGTTATAACTCAAGTTATAGATTTTTTTTGTGTCGTACAGAGCTTCTTAAAAACATTTAAAGGTCCCCAAACCCCTCCAGTTCAGTGGTTCATGGAAATTGTGATATGGATCCCAGATCATGAGTTTCACTGCTGTTGAATAGGACTTCTGGTCTGGAACATAAAAGTTAATAAATTGTAAACCCAGAAGCTAATGGCATGAAGCTTCTCCCTCCTGCCAAAGAAAATTATATCATTAAAGGGGGGAGGGGGGGAGTTGCAATTTTGTTAATGGTTAATCTTCCAGGCATGTATTGGTGTTTACATGCAGTTAAGCCAAATCTGAAGAGGTCTGCGACACTGTTTAACTTTATTCCATTTTTTCTAAACTCTGTTCTCTAGTTCCCTGGTCTGCACTCACAGAGGGTAAGAGCATGTGAGCCTTTGAGTGCATAAAAAGAGGAAGTTCCTTAGCCTTAGCCTCTCTGCTGCATTCATCTGCAGTGCTGACTTCTGCCTTTGTGTCTCATCCCTCAGGAAACCCAGCAGATTCCCACTGAGGAGGTTCACCTAGAAGTGTACCTCTCCAATGGGCAGAAGGTCAAAGTCAGCATACTGACATCAGATCAGACAGAGGATGTCCTAGAGGTAACTTTTATCTGCAGCACAACCTTAATAAATACAGGGACGTTTTATCTGGAGTCTGCACTATATGAAGTAATAAAACAAAATCTTAATCTCCACCTTAATATTTCATTCTTTAGTATGTGTTCCATACTGTTTACAATAAATTACTGCAATGCCTGTAATGGATCATGTCTTGAAGGAGCTGAGCTCCTTTTGTTCCAGAAAACATTATCCGAATCTGATCCATTCAAGATGTTGGGTATTAAAATTGAAGATTTTGATATTGAAATAAGAAGAACCCCTTTGTTGCACGGATCACTGCTAAAATTGTTTTATTGGAAATAGAACTCTCAGGCCTGTACTGTAAGATGCTTCTTTATTAGACTAATGATTTTGTAGTGTTTGAGCCCTATGGGAATATACTAACCAGCGTTGGGAACAGCTGCAGCGGATTAGTCCCGGGAGGAAGAGGAGGAGAAGGAGATGGCAAGGAGTGTTTGCTGGGCTCCAGCTGGATTTCAGGATCGGAGTTGTGATTCGCAGCACGTCTGCCTCTGCTCACAGCCGTCATCTCTAATTTCTGCACTCAACACTTTGAGCATCTGTTCACAGATGTGTACTTAGAACAGGCTGTGGAAATTGGGGGGGGGGCAGCTGGGGGGTGAAAGGCTTTTAATCATGGCTTTACGCTGCCTAGCTGGGGAACAGGAGAATAGACGAAAATCTGTTACTAGCTTGTTACTTATACTTTCTTTTGCAAAATGTCTGAGTGATGGTAGATGGTGGAGTGTGAATTGTGTTTCAGTCAACCTTGCTGAAATTCTTGGTGCAAAAACATGAACCTATATGTTTTTATATTAAAAATTAAGCTACATTTTAATTTACGATATCATAAAATCATCCAGTGTGAGTGTCTAAATTTACAGTAGCAAGTCTCATTCAGAACGAATAATCTGTTTAAGTCATTTCATGAATGGTTGTTTTCAAGGTATGGCTGTTTTGTTATTGAAAAATCAAGGCTTTAAATCTAAGTTCTGGGCCTTGATCAGATTTTTTCTGTATAGACAGAAGAATAACTGAAACAAAAACAAATATTTTCTTTATTAAACGTTATATTACCATAAGTAAACATTTTAGTAATCTAAAGTTGATTAAATTCATATAGAATCCCAGTTTCAGCCTTGGGAATCTGATCTTCAGACCGCAGATGTCTTTTGTGTTAGCCTGTGTGAATACTGTATGTCACTTCTGCACTGACTGAAAATAATATGAAGGACTTCCTTATTTGCAATGTATAAACATGAATGCAAATACGAAAAGCTAGTGGGTTTCTTCCTACAGTCCAAACATATACTGGTAGGTGAATTGGCTTCTGGGAAAATTGGCCCTGGTGTGAGTGGTCTGTGTGTGTCCTGTGATGGACTGTTCCTGTCCAGGGTGTACCATGACTTCTGCCTGTTGCTTGCTGGGATAGGCTCCTGCTGCCGAGACCCTGAATTGGAAGAAGCAGTTAGAAAACGAGTGGATGGATTTTTATCATTCAAAAGTGAAAGTCTTCTGTATCTGCTATAATCTGGACCTACAATAGATTATATATCTACGTGTAAAAGGTCAGCATGTTGCACAGATTGCATTCCAGCAATATAGAACTGCACATTTTAGTGTCCTGCCTCCATCATGAAACTAGTTCATTGTTTTAGTTTATAGGGAATAACATGGTAATCTAAAGCTCTTAATAATTGATTTTCCACATGTATTTTGCAGGCTGTAGCATCAAAGTTAGATCTTCCCGATGACCTAGTTGGGTATTTCAGCCTTTTTCTTATCCGAGAGGGGAAGGATGGAGGTTGTACATGTGAGTACAAAATTTTCCATTTTATTGTAACATTTCAATTTGAACTAGATAAGTGAGATGTGCATTTGAAAACTTGCTGGTGATCTTGGCTGATTGTATTGAATTTTTCTTTTATCAGTTATCCAGTTTTTCTCCCCCATTAACGTTCCCAAATTCTCTTCTTAACCTGTTCTAGTAGAGACCAGGAGGCATCAGCCAAGTCTAAACATATCAATGTATAACCTTGTTCCTACATTTTCTGGGATACTTGGGCGAATTATTGCGTAATAATTGAAATTGTCAGTGATACTGGTTCTTCAGTCATTCTAACTGGCATTGTGATTTAAGTGTAATTTTAGAATTTGATATACAGGGCTGCAAAATAGTGATACATTTAATCTTTTAGTTTAGTTCCAGCTAGAGTAAATTGCTGTTTTCAGATTAAGAACAAATTGCTCAACAGTGCAGTTAAATAATTTTGTAAGTATGAATCAGTTATTCAGTAGTACTTGTCTTACATTTGCTGCTACAATTGTTCATCTTATTCTGCTGCTTTTTTTCTTAAGCCATTTGTAAGAGCTGACCCAAACATTCGATTTTTTTAAGGCATTTTACTTAAACCTTTTTTTATAATTAAATTGAAATAACTGATGTTGTGTACCTTACACAGGGTGAATTTAATAGGCTTATGATATTTGAGCATACTTTTTAGAAAAGGAAAACAAAACATTAGCATTATTTTATATATGTAGCATACAGATTATTAAGTAATAAAGCAGCACTAAACATAACATGGTGTAATAGATTTTAATCCTTTACATTATATTATTTTTTTAAAGCGGTTTCACATAAAATTATATCATTAGAAATGGAACACATAAAACACTATAGTGGAACAGCACAGTTAAACTATCACATGCTCATTTAAGTTGGCAGGCATTTGCAGAAATGGTGAAATGCCTGTGTGGTCTATAACCTGCTATGCCAGTTACTGCACAAACACCTGATTAATACAATGAACTGTTTATATATAATCCCTGAAACCTAAAAAAAATTGAAAGCTTTGAACCATTAATCACCACATTTAGGAATTTGAGATATGCAACTTGATGTTTAAGGAGCGTTTGTTGTTTTATTGTGTAAATGGCTACTGGTCTTGTAAGAAGTTCTAAAAAAAACTAACAATCTAGAAATTAAACTAAATAGAACTTTTATGGAATAAAAAGTAAAATGTTTTGACTTTTTTGCTTGCATAACAGACTGAGATTCCTACCTGTGATTATTGCTGCTTTCTCTAAAATAATTAGCTGTAGATGTCAAGCAATGGGAATTGGTGAATTAACAAACTCCTGCTTCTGCTAAAATATCTTTATGACATGAACCAAGGCATTAAGTCATACTGGAGGCATGAGCATAGCACTGAGGGAATATAACCTTTTTTATTCTACCATGAGCAATAGACTGACTTCTGCCTTGATACAGTATGTAATATGTTTTAGAACTTGAATTGCCAGGGAATGCAGGCTTATTATAATATTTTTCTGGTGAACCTCATTACCTTCTTTGTAGCAGCATGATTAATGATTAATTGTGTATTGTATATTGATTAATTGTATTAGAATAGAAATTGCCTAAAGTTACATAGCAGTAATGTCAATTTATGGCAAAGAAGGTGCAGAGAAAGTGTCAGCATACAGAGCCCAGGTAGATTTGATTTTTCCACAAAGAGTGTGGTGACAGGCAAGCAGTGGGATAATACTTTAAGTAACACCTTTGTGAATTTAAGGGCTTGACTGTAAATAATTAGTACCATCAGGATTTAATTTATACTGAATTAGGTAAATGTGAAAAACACCATGATGAACTGGAGTCAGGCAAAGAGATCACACTGTAGGCCACTTTTATTTACTGATTTTTTTTGTAAGCTTTTTCCTTGCACACACACATACACATTCACACCAGGGCCGTTTTTTACAGAAGCCAGTTAACCCACCAGTATATCTTTGGGCTGTGGGAGGAAGCCAGAGCAACCAGAGGAAACCCATGAGAAACTGGGGAGAACATACAAACTCCACACAGACCGCACCCCAGGCGTCAAACCCAGGGACCAAGCCCTGTGTGGCAGCCATGATAACTGCGACACCGTGCTACCCTCCACACACACGTTACTAGTAAATCCTTTTCTAAGTCTATCCTTTCTTCAGGTCCCTGTTGCTTGCATGGTTGTCCTCAGGCCACATGAGGAGTTAATGAGTCGTCTGCCCAGTGAATGCAGACAGTTTGGCAGCCGTCGTTGGTCGAGTCCGCAGCAGGCTTGTCGGAGTTGAGAGAATCAGTCCAAGTGGGGTCCCACAAGCCTGAAAGACTCCTTTTTCCAGCTGGCTCAGCCAACTTTTTCTGAGAGTCTTGCCAGACACTGTCAGCCATGACTTCAAACCAGTCCTTCTGTAGTAAACATATGCTGAAAGAACCCCTGAGACGAATGACGCTTGTATTTAAAAAAAAATTAAAATAGCTATTTATATATTACAATATAAGAGCCAAAGTAATGTTATCTGCCCTTTTACCTTTTATATCAAATAATAAATCTTTTAAAACAAAGTTTAAAGCTGTGATACTTTTTAATTTTATCCAAAACCTAAGAACAGTTGGAATAAGAAGAGGTTAATTCCAAGATGAAAAGTGGAACATTTTGATAAAAGTGGGGGAAAGATAACAACTATTTTGGCTATGAAGTCTTGTTCAGGTTGTCCAGCACCTGTTCTGTTTTTAATGGTCTACACATGGTCTACTTTTCAACATATAGTAGCCTTAACCTCTTGTCACTTTGATGCAGTTTACCAAACCTTAGGCAGTTAGTCTTTTTTAAACTTGGTATTTCTTGCTTTTTAACAGTATTTTCACTTGTTTTGTAAGTTTACTTTGCTGTAGCTTCAAGATGATGTCAGTCACAGTGCATTCGGATGCCACAGTGGCCCTTTTCCCTCCATGAATAATTAAACTATTCACATGTATCGGAATATCTGACAGACAGCAGTCTGAGGGCTTACATGCAATTTCCCTTGCACAATTTTCACATTTTGTTGCTTTAGCTGGAAGTGTTGGCACTTTGAAGTAGCAGTTAACATTTATTATATACTAAAGAACAAGTAAAGGTTTATTCCATGCTGGAAAAAGAGGAAAAGAAACACGTTTCAGCTGTGGAGCCTTCTTTGGGTGTGACACTATTGAGTGTTTGCAAACTTGATCTCCGTAAGCAACCCCAAGCTCCTTGAGAGAGTTTGAGCTAATCTGCCAAGATTAATTGGCAATAATTATACCAAGATGATGGAGACTTACCTAAAAGACTTGGTAATTGGTTTGTAATTGCTGCCAAAGTTTCTTCCACCAAATACATAAGGGTTTTCAATATTTATGCAATCAGCCTTTCCTAAACTTTTCATTTTAGGTTTTGCTGATACTGTAAATTATCTTACATGCAGAAACCATCAGATTATGCTCAGAATATTAAGTTTCAAAAAGTATAGGCTTCAGTTTGTAATTTCACAAAATAGGACACCATTGGAAAGGTGTGAATACATTAGCGAGACACTGTATTTCTCAACTCTGGGCTTTAAACATGACTTTTGCTTTCTGCTCATGTCTTGTGTCAGCATCAGTAATGTTATATTTCCTTGACTTCTGTTGTTTGTTTGATGAGTTGCCTTTGAAATCCACGTGTAATAAGAAACACTAATGTTGTCCTTTTTATAAATTGCAGTCGTACGAAAGCTACAGGAGTTTGAGTTGCCCTATGTCTCCGTCACCAGCCTCAAGAACCCTGAATATCGGATTGTCCTCCGGAAAAGGTTAGACTCCTGTTTCATTAGTTTCCACTTGATAATAGAGGTACTCAGTGACACCTGAGATAATAAGATCGTTTCATTGATCCTCTTATTTTCAGATATACCAGGATGTATTTTTGATAGACACACTTGCCACTTTTAATGTCGTTAATGTCAACTTTTAAAGTAGCACATCACGAGATAAACATGGTAGGTGAAGAGGAATAAAAATTCACCTATGAGGTTATCCATTAGTCCCTAAACTATATCTAATAAGCTTAATTCACTCTGAAAGGTAAAAATATAGAATGGGAGAATTGAAGTGATAAAGTCATGAAGTTGTGAGTACCAGTCATCCTCTACCTAAATCACTAAATCACCTTACAACAGAAGAGAGACACAAGAAGAAACATGAAATCTCTAAGTTAAACTTCTGTACATTTGGACTAAACTTTTAGTGGCTTTTATGTGTTTTAGTTAAAAACTGAAACATTGGATCACCTCCCTTAAAACTGAATGGTGTACCGTTATTTTTAAAGTGTTATCATTCATCAAAAGTCTAATATGGTGTAATGTATAATGCAGAAACTGAGCACTGATGTCCCTGCATTCTCTAGCTGATCAGGACGGTCATTCGCACAAAATATGTGGGAACCTGCAGTACATTAAGTATTTAGCCTGCTCTCATAGGGGTTTCAGACTGAGCAGTCACGGGTGTTCAGCAGTTATGAACATTTTGAACACTTTAAAAATCATTCCATAGCTTTTCTCTTAGTGTTTGGTTATGCGTGGCATTTGCAAACTTTCTTCACCAGCATTTTTGTGCTTGCCTTGTATTTGTAGTTGACTCTATTGTATTTTAACCATATCCATAGTTCCCTACTATGACACTGATGACAATAATAATGGCATATGTGTGCTGCACACATCTTTCTGCCTTATTGCCTGATATTGTTTTACTATAGAGGTGAATCCTGCAATTTGACCTACTTTCAGCCTGACAGGAGAATATCTGTATGCAAAAAATAACTAACCCTCATTTAGAAGATCAAAAATAGGCAGATTAATTAAGTTTTTTTTTAATAGATCCTAGTGGATTAAGCTAAATCTAACATACTTTTCCTGTGAAGCCGGATAACTCATGTAACTGTTTTCAAAGAGGGGACATGTTCAATTTGCAAATTCCAAAGGATAATCTATTTTCTTGTCAATTCTGATAGAATTATCTTCATCTTACTTGGTTGTGATTTCTACAGAATTATCCTCTGCCATTTTGTCTCCATACCATTCTTCTGGAGACATTTACAGCATTACAAATCCTGAAATAACCATTAGACCATCATTAAAAGAGCTACATCTTGAAAGATTGTGTTGAGAAACATTTTCATCATAATTGTTTTCTTTCTAATTGTACATCAGTTACAGAGTTGTAGATCAGATTTTAACTTAGGCTCAAGAGGATATTGAAAAGGTATCCAAAGGTATACCAATATCTCTGCTTGCATTACTATTGGTCATCTTTTATTATTTTATACTTACATTTTAAAAGCTAGAGGTGCAGCATTACACTTACCATTCTGTCCTACAGACAGAGAAAAAAATATATTTAACAATTTCAGATTAAAATGCTTACTTTGTAAAAATGTATTATGTACCAGCAATAAAATTTGTTTTGCAGTTACTGGGACTCAGCATATGATAATGATGTGATGGACAACCGAGTTGGACTCAATTTATTATATGCTCAGGTAGGTGTTTTTATTTCCCTTCTTTAAAGTACTAATAAAGTTTAGTGTTGCAAAGCTGTGTTGTGTAGGAATATCCGTCACATCTGACTTTCTAAAAAAACTATACCAAGAACAGTATCTAGGATTTCCTGATTCTTTATTTTCTATTTCTTAATAGAAATAGAATATTTCTAGACCTATATTAAATAATGGAATAATTAATATAGGTTTTTTATGTGTTTTACCTACATTATTTCCATATTAAAACATTTTTTATTTTTTAAAATATGATTCAGGACTGCTTGTAAAGATCAAGATTAGCTATACTCATAGACAGGGGCTGTGACTCAGTGATTAGTATTGTTATTGTGCAGTGCTGGGGCTCTGGGTTCAATTCCTGGGGCGCTATTTGTGTAGAGATCCTGAGTTCATGTTGGTTTCCTTCAAGTGTTCCTTTTTCATCCTGTAGTCCAGAGACATACTGGTAGGTTAATTGGCTTCAGTGAAAATTGGCCCCAGTGTGAGTGTGTGTTTGTGTCGGTGTGTCTCCTGTGATGGACCTGTGACCTGTGACCCTGCCTTGTGCCTGTTGCTTGCCAGGATAGGCTCTGGTATCCCCCAGCAACCCTGTACTGGATAAAATGTTTAGCAGATGGATGGAAAAATAACTTTCTGTACTTATTGTGACATTTTTTTCATGGTGAGAGTAGAGTTCAAAATCTGTCTCAACTTCACTGCTTCAACACTTTCGGAGGGAACTGCAAAATCCACAGGACTCACTAGTAATGTTTACACCATAGAAATGAAGAAGAATTGCAGCCTCTATTAAATAAACAATTCAATAGAAAATGGTTGAAGCCAACAACTTAGCAATGAATGTAATATTTTCTGAAGAAAATTACCCTTAGAATTAGAAATAAGCAACATACTGTATACAGTAGAGTCTCGACATTGTGAGTATTTGTTGCAGAGAACCATGACAAACAGCCAAATTCGCATATGGCCATGTTGTTGCATAATGTACTACAGTATAGTCTGTATGGTTGAAATATATAGATAAACCTCCCTTATATGATAATTGAAGTGTTAATACATTGACTTTAAGTTAATGAAAATAACATGGATCAACTAAAACAGACAACAATAATTACAAACATATGGGAATCAGCCAAAATTAACTACATAAATGAATCTGTCCTCTGCATCTGTTGGCTGCCTTCATTTTCTCTCTCTGCATTAACAGCTATTCCCTGCTCCGTGATTAGCATGCCACACTGTGAGGAAAAGGGCAACAAAACCGACAGTGAGCCTGTGAAATTGCCTTTCATTCCCCAGCCACTGACACAGAACTGGGAGCATTAGTTAACAACACAAGAACAAGACCACACTGAGATGCAGATGATGGGGGCTTGAGCAGGGGGCTGATGTGAAAACAGTATTTGACTTTGTTTCATCCTGCTCTGTTCTCCTCTCATCCAAGACCCCACTGGCCACTCTGAATCAAAAATAAGCAAATTTACATTCACAGATGTTGAGGCTTGGTGGTATTTTGAAAACGATTGTTAAAATGTGAAAGCTGTAGAATCTCTCTCTGTAACGGGGAAGAAAGAAAGAAGTGGCAGACTTCTAGAACTTGTATTAAAGGTCATTCATCTGTTATTTTCATTTTCCGTCTCTCCACCCCTTTTCTCGTTTGTTTTTCTTTTTTGATGGGTGTGGGAAGTGGGATATGACTGTTGTTTCTGGACATTATTTTACTAATGTATAGAAAAGAAATGAAGTAAAATGAGAAAACAACATACACAAGAAAATTGTTGAGTTTATATACTGTATAATGACTGACTTTTCAAATGAGAATGTTTTCATTTTCAACTTTACTTTACAGCTTAGAGTAATGAAAGTCATGTAGTATGCTTGTTTCTGTTTCATTTGTTCATGAAAGGAGGTCTACATTTGCAACTACTGGTTGTGTTATTGTTGTACTGTGTAGTTTTATTGGTGATTAGCATGATGAGCAAATAATATCACCTGTATAAGGAAGACGCCTTTTTTTTTTCCATCCGTTACCTTGTTGTTTTCACTCAGACGGTGTCCGATATTGAGAAAGGCTGGATCTTGGTCAATAAAGACCAGCATCGGCAGCTCAAATCCCTGCAAGAAAAAGGCTCCAAGAAAGAAGTAAGGAGAAAGAAGGCATTTTAAAAAAGGATATACTGTATTTGGTTTACAACTTCAAATTGAGAAATGATTGGAGTTTCAGATTTAGCTTATAGTTGTTTTTATGTCTCATGCCAACTTATATGCAAACCCGATGATTTTTACTAGGAGAAGATTGCTCTTTTTTGGGAAATGTACAGCTAAACTGGAACTTTGTTATTGTTAATTAAAAATGTTAATTTCCATTTTCATTGCAATTTAAAGTGACATCATCTTGACGTAAAGGTTATGTTTTGAAACAATTGCATTAAGAAAAAATGAAATTCTGGGTGAATGAGACCTAATTTCATACATTTGAAAAATCAGATAATTTCCTCATGTGATACTGGCAGTGCTGCTTTGTGTCAAAAACACTTTCCTTTTATAAAAATATGTTGTGTGAAATATCCCAGTTAGTTTTTCATTTTCTGTTTAAAACATTTTTTTGACACCTGTCTAAAGTTAAAAGCCAGTGAAATATGTACCTGTTGGTAGCATCCAACTTGTACAACATCAAGGTAGTGGGGGCTACACATCGGTGGAGGTGAAAGGGAGTCCCCATTACCTGCAAAGTGCTTATTATGATGATGATGATGATTATTATTATAGGTCATGATATTGCTTTCACTTACACTTCCACAATAAGCAGAACTGTCCATTTTGTGGTGAAATTATCCATGATCAATGTTAATTTCCATTCATTGTTCAGTGTTTTAGCAGAAATACTAGAAATATATTGAGTGTGATTTTCTCTACATTCATCTACCACAAAATTATAAAAAATAAAAATATAGACTGATATTATTGCTTTCACTTCCCTGTATATCTGCTTCCTTGTTGTTTTAAGAGTACTTTTTAATTCATGTTCCATTGAAATTATCTGTTTAGCAAACATGTTTGCTCAAGGTGTTTTATATTCAGAACAATTTAAAAATCCACTTTATGATTTTATGATAGTATTGATTCTTTTTTCACGTATGTTTTGAAGAATGCTAATTCAAATAAACTGGGTAACTTCCACCCTCAGAATATGTCCAGTCAGTTACATGTATGTGTGGTGCTCTTTGCTGGTAGATGGTGGAAGTTATGCATCTAAATTAATGGGGTCTGTCCTTTGCTAGACACAGAATTTAGGATTTGTATAGTTCTAAATATTTTGTACTTTTTTGACCTAATCATAAACTTTTTTTCATAGTTCATCCACCTAGCTCAGACGCTGAAGTATTACGGTTACATCAAATTCGATCCCTGCATCACAGACTTCCCTGAAAAGGGCTGCCATGTGATCGTCAGTGCTGGGAACAATGAGCTCAACTTTCACGTCAAACTTCCCAACGATCGGATTAAGGAAGGAAGCTTTAAAGTGACACGCATGAGATGCTGGCGTGTCACTTCTTCTGTAAGTGGAGACGGGTTGTTGGCAGTCTTTCTCTTGTTTTACATGTCTCTGAGCCACACTTCACAAAGTACTTTAACGTGTGGGCTTTTTGACTAGTATGCATCTTAAAATATCATTGGAGTTTTCAGTTATAAAAAAAATCTGTTCTTTCTTGTTGGGAGTGATTGTGTGTGTGTGCTTGATGCAATGGACTGACATCCCATAACATCCCTTGAATTGTGTGCTTCTGAAATAGGTTCCAGGTTGCCAGAACCTTTACCAGGCAACTTTTTGATAATGGGTGGATGAATTCTAAAATAACACCTAGGAAGGTAGAAGTGTGTCATCAAGCTACAATTAAAGAATTACCAGAAAGTCTTATCCAGAAAGTATTTTATAGCGTCCCTTCAAGCAAATCTATATTATCCAGAGCATTTTATAATTTCATCATTCACACTTTATTTAGGAGTGGTTTTACAAGCCTTCCGCAATAGAAAGAGCTGTATTATACTGCGTTGATGTTTTAAATAATTACTTGCATGTGGCATAAACACAAATACTAGGTGGTGGATGGCAGTCTATAAATGCCTTTTTTCTGCTTTTCAGCAGGTGCCAGTGGTGAATGGCACAGCAAATGGCTCTGGAAAATGTGAGGTCAAGCTGGAGCTGGCATTTGAGTATCTCATGAGCAAGGACCGCTTACAATGGGTCACTATCACCAGTCCACAAGTATGCACTTAAGTCCCCTTAAGAAGCCTGCTCTGTGTTTATTTATTCTCCACTGCTTTCCTTTCTTTTCCAGTGAAGTTAGATGTTTAGGAATGCCATTTCAAGCTTCAAACCTGAAAGAAAGTGCATTTATTGGGTTATATACAAGGACTGTTAAGAAGTTAGGTTTTACACAGAGTAATCATTTTTAAAGAATATTCAGCAGTGAATGTTTTACTTCTATGTTACACAGCTTTAAGATTGTATTTCCATCTGTTTTTGTCCATTCAATCCTGTTAACCTCATTGTGGTCATCCTAGAACATTTCTTTATGCTTCAGACTATTTTAAATTTTAACTGCTCCTAGTATAAGGAGGGAGGGGGGGGACTTGGTAAAAAGAAAGCAGGAATTCCTAAGGTTCATTTGCCGTAGAAACAGGTGATAAATGTTCATATAAACTCATTGTAGAACTGATTCTCCGTTTCTTAGTTATATTTCTTTGGAAATCTACTAACATTGACATTGCCTTTTCAGTCCGAGGATTCAATGGGAAATAAAAGAATAAAGCAGATTTATCAAGGCTTTACAATAGCTACTAAATAGACTATGAATTGTCTTGTACTAAATGCTTTTCTAACATTCTGCCGGCTCTTCAAGGCTATAATGATGAGCATCTGTCTTCAGTCCATGGTGGACGAACTGATGGTAAAGAAATCTGGCGGCAGCATCAAAAAGGTTAGTGAACCAGCCCTTCCTTTGTGTGACGTCCAAGGTCTTGGGGACAGAGGCGATACTCTGTTGATACTGTCAACAATTAAGGGAGCTGCACTGAGGGTTTGTGTCAGTGTTTTGTTTTCTTTCAGATTGGTTACATTTATAACCAGGCACATTTAGGCAGGACACACATAGAGACACATAATCAAGGTTTCAGTGTTAGTACTTACCTGGGGCTGACCTGGCCTTGTGCCTCTGAGTCTGTCCCACACCTTCGCTGCCTTGCAGTGCGAAAAGAGGTGGAGAGTACATTTCAGAAAAAAGCCCACTTTCCCAGCTAGCCCATGCTGGTAAAGATTGTTGCAGTAAATAAAACTGAGCAGGACTTGGTAGCGTTTCACGTTTTATTTTATAAAACGCTGTGAGTCTGAATTAGAAGTACTCTTGTCTCTTCCTTGACAGTTCATTGCAAAAGCTGTTTTTGTCTGTTCTTCGTCTAGATGCTGAAAAAACGTCATAATGGTTCCTTACGTCGATCTGACAGCCAGCAGCCTGTGAAATCCCCTCCCTTACTTGTAAGATTTTTTTTCACAGAAGAAAATATACAGTCCATGGTATAATCTAGGCATCCAATAAAATACTGATATTGATTTTCTTTTTGCTTTTAAACCAGGACTCCCCAGATCCAAACCGTGAACCTATTGTTAAGCTGTCGGTGAGTTGTGGTTTTAGAATTTTATACTGAATTCAGTTAGTGACTGGTGGTATTGGACAGACCTTACAGCTTTCTTTGTTATTGGTTAATAGTTTAGATAGATAATACTTTATTAATCCTGTAAGAAAATTGATGAAAAAAATTATTAAATTGATTGTTTAGTAGTATTGATGCAAAACATTCCACTTTGAAATGGCATTTCATAGAGAGCAAAAGTAAAGACGGTAGTGTAGATACCTTCTCCTTCAAGCTTGGGCAGAAATCTTGTGGTAGTCAACAGACTGAGTCTTTGAAAGTAGAGTTTGTGGGCTTCGAAGCTCAGATTTAATCAGCAGTATATTTAAGGATTGCCTCTGTCAGCTGAACCTGAAATCATCTACCTTTTTCACTGAGGTGCAACATTTAGTTTGTAATACGTGCTCTGGGACTGGTGTATCATGTACCACCTGCTGTCCAGTTAGAGTTGGCTCTGCCAAGAAGCATCCTATGATAAACCTGAGATTTTCAGTTGTGCTGTAGTGGTAGCCACCCATGTCAGTTTTACCTTCTTGGGTTGGGTTATACACAAGCAAAAAATTGAAATATTTAGCAAATGTATATTCCAAGACAAGATAGTAACTGTTTAACTTAAATTGACATCCATGCAATATTTAATTAATGTATTGCAACAAAAAATATCACTAGGATACATGCTGGGTGGATGACAAGTAGACCTAGAATACCAAACTACATCAATAACCAGGAGCACAGTATCAGAATGGAAACAATCCCTAAGGACACTTGGCTAATGGGAGTAGATGCTGTCTGTGTGTATTTCAGACTAAAGACTAAGTTCCTCGCTGAACATAAAAAAATTCCACACATGCTTTTTTTCTACATTTGTTTGTTAGTCACTGAAATGTACTCCATTAAGATCTGACGGGAGAACCACTGTTCTGGAAGTTAATGTTGTGCTCTTCAGCCCTGTGCGTTTTAAACCCCCATAGTTTTATTTGTTGCCTATTCTGTGTGTTATTCTAGAGTAAGCTGACCTCAGTGACCCTGCGAGGGATCAGCACTTCCAACTCTGCCAATGATCTCAGCGGCAACAATTTCCACGGCAACTATGCCTTCGAGGGAATTGGAGATGATGACTTGTAAACAAAACCATTCCAGTTGTAGCCCGAGAGATGCTGATGAGAGACAAATACACAAATACTGCAAGATTCTAAGACACCTGAGAATAAAGCTTTTTTTATTTTTTTGTTTGCAGATATTCTTCTAAATTATGTACTTTCAACATTGGATTTTAGTCTGAGCCCAGTCACACTTGCTCAAATGCAGGTTTTGTTATTTTCTGTAAGTATTATAAGCTTATAATACCCAGTACATAAGCCTCTCATGTTTGTACAGGGTGTTGGATACAGTATGTAACAAAACATTATAGTTGTTTCAAAAATATTTAAGCTGTCCTGCTGCTTTCCAGAAAGGTTTTTTCCAGGTTAAAATATTTAGTAATTAATGGCAAATATTATCTTTTTATGTTATAATAATGTTATAACTTTGAAAGTCATTGTCATTTATTTAGTCTACAGTTGCTAATAGCTTATTTGTGTTATTTTACCTGAAAGTGTTTTTGCATGGTGTGTAAGATGGACCACATGTGCAGTCTGGTGAAGGTATTCTTTCACTTGAAGAACAAAATGTCCATGTGATTAGGATATCCTTTGCAGTAGTTAGCCAGCCCATGAAAGTCTCTTTCTTACGATTTCTAATAATACATTATGGAATATCACCCTATCTATTAATAAATTCAACATCCTTCAGGGAATTTCAGAAAAGAAGGTAACATTTCCCTTGTTAGAAAGTTAGAAACTTTTATACTAGCAGGTATGGTAAAAAAATAAAGTTAATACGCAGTTTCTTTGCACTTGCAGCCAAAATCCAAGGTACGAAATAGCATGCAGTTTGCGTTGGGTTTATAATGGGATCTATAAAATGCTAGAGCAAGCGGCTTACCAGACAGTCTTTCTCTCTAATGCTTCCAAGGCGCGAGTCTTAAGACTGAAACTGAACAACTTCAAAGCTGTGTGATACCTAATGTGACAGTCATAAACTGCCCTCCTGTGTCTGACAGAGTGGCCTTTGGTAATCGTAATTTAACACTAGTGAAACATATTGTATATAGTTCTTAAAATAACCACAGCCTTTGTAAAATGTTCTTAGAATGTAAATAGTGTACACGTTGCTCAATAAGGCCTTCTTAAAACACAGTTAAGAAGTAACATTTTATTACCATTCACACAGTGCCATGGCAGTTCTTGTACAGCAATAAGTGGAATGTGAGTCTGTTCAAAGTGTGCTTAGAAACCTTTTATGACCATGCAATGTGCAGTTGTGCCAAATTTTTGTGTGACCAAAGTCACTTGAGGGTATAGATAGAGGTGCTGCAGATCAACTTATTTTAGCTTTTAATTGGGGGGAACATTCACTTTATTATTACCAGAGATACTTTCAAAAGGCACCAAATTCACTTTCCTAGCAGCTGTTTTTGCTTTACAGTAAGAAAGTACATGATTTGTTACATGGTTATCCCAAAAATAAATTTGGATTTTATTAACAGTGGACGTCTTCATTTCTGGACTAGCTTGTGCTTTTAAAAATTTGTAAACGGAAGCAGCCTCATAAATATACAATTTAGCTGTGTCTGGTGGGAAAATGCCCTCTCTTGCTGCCTTACAGGTGTTTTTAAAGCCTTACCGAGCCTTTTCCTCAAAACGTTTGTCGGAAAAGCAGACACAGAATTGGTGGTGCTGCAGGTTTATGGCTGTCGCATGGTATCATGCTTCTGCTAGTGAGAGCTCTCTCGTGTGAATCTTGCAGGATTTGCTTTTTGTTCGTCAGTTCTGTTGAACAGCTTGCACTTGCTAAACCAATTTTGCACAGTATTGTGAAGGATGGACACGAGTCAACTGACAGTAATTTAAAAAAAATTAAAGGACTTTTCAAGAGTTATGAAATCTTGGAAAGTGTTTTGGAAGGGCCACAATCTACATTTTATATAGTTTTGTGTTTCCAACATGAAATAAAAAATCTCATAAATGCCAAAATTATAGTTTACTAAAGCATTTTGCACAAAAGAGCATTAAAATCTACAAGTCACTTTTGCTATGTACATGAATAAAGAAAATGTATTCTGAACATTGTTACTAATATCCGTATCTTTAATAGTGTATTGTAATCAAATAGATCAAATGTAATCTAAGATGTATGAAAATAGAAGCTATCATTGTTTACAGAATTGTAGAGAAGTGTAGTCAGAATGCAAATTGTTTACAGATTCCAGTTCAGATTTTCAACTGCTTGTCTTAGTAGGAAACTGATGTATTAGGAAAGTGCATAAAACAGTGATTCCAATTTTTTCCATATCTTAAATTTGTATTCTTTTGAGTTAATTGTGTGGATTTACTTGTGTGCATTGACGTCTAAAAAGGGCTCTGTAAAACTGCATAAGCTTCCAGCTGCATTTGTGTCAGGCCGCCCAGATATTTTCTGGGTGATGACAGTAGCAAACATGATGATTAAATGATCATTTTGTAGCCTGATGCCAGGTGTGAAATTTCAAGGCTTATTCCATCTTGTGGTCTTTGGCACAGAATTGCATGGGAAAGAGGGAACAATCCGGATGTACCAGTTCTGGTAGTGTAACTTTTCCTCCTTCATATCCCAAGAGAGAAACCACAGTATTCTATACATGAGAAAATGTGTTTGGGGGGTATGCTCTTCTTCAGTCAAAATGTAATCCCTGACTGTCTCTACTGAATTGAATGTGTTCACAAATACTGTAAGTTTAGGAAAAACTGGTGTTTCATGGAACAAAAACCAGTAGTTAGAAAACCTTTATCCCTTTCATTTCAAATACCAACTAAACTGTTACAAGTACAATAGATGGGAAGCGAGAGCCCTAAATTTTACCTAATTTAGGTGCCAAATGAATTACTTTTGAAACGGGATGCCATTGTATGTCTTTTTGTGTACTACTTTAATGTTGTTGTGGTACTTTTTTCCCAACTCTTTATCTTAGAAATCCATAATAGATAAATATCTTCCCATCTTTTTTATCTAGATCATGTGGCCTGTTGCTTTTGGGTTGACTATAATACCCCCACTAGTACTATAGTCACTCATTTGACATTGGTGCTGTTATTACAGTAAGGGTACACAAATCGACTTTAGTTATTTTGTCAATTGTTTTATTAATCTAGAGTTGATAAGAAATGTTATGGGGGCGGCATAAAGAATTTCATTTTTTTATTATTTCAGTCCTTCAATGTTGAGTTTTACAAAAGAAATGTTAGACCCAGTCACTACAAAATAAAATGTTGTGGTGGTGTTTGGTGTGAGCTCTGAGGTTAATGAGCACTGGGTCATACATCTTTCAAATATTCCAGAATGATTTGTCTCTCCAGGTCAGAACTGATGCCCACTGGCATGGTTGGGTTTGTGTAAGAGGAAAACAGAGCTGCCCATAACTGCTGCTTGCTGTTTGCATTTATTTATATATATATATTAAACATTATAATTCCAAATTTGTTTGTGATTTGTTTACTCCAAATCCAAGGTCATGTGTGAGAGCAACTGATTTGTGAGAGATCCTCCAAGGAGCATTTCACCACTGCAACATACAGATCTCTCCGTTTAGCTCCTATCCAAAGAATTTTCATAGAGGGTATGATCTGTCTTTGTCTAGCAAAGGTAGTTTCAAGATGATGCCAACAATAGGGGTTTCTAATCTTGTATTATGAATTGGAATGAAAAGTAATGACACTTTACCTTGAACAGAACACTAAACACATCAAAGTGATGTACTGTATGAGTCTCGGATTCAGTTCCTTGCAGAGTGGAAGCAAATTAAATTTACTAATGGTATAATGAAATACATCGGGCATTTGCACATTTATTTTTGTATACATAACGGTTTGCATTTCCCCTCTGCTTTCTAACTGTTGAGTCCTTGCATTCTGTGAAACTGAATTAAAAAATTGTTTTAAAAAAAGTTTGGGTTCACGGTTTTTATAGCGCTCTTAGTCCCATAGGTGGCTGGTGATGAATAACAGCTGCATAAGGTGCTGCTTTTCAGTGATGAATGAGATGGGTCCCCTGTCCGTGAAAACATAAATGCACATACTTCAGTGACCAATTCTATACTATCAAAACTTCCTGTTCCAACAGTATACTAGAATAACATATCTTAATTTTTTTTATCATGTTTCCACCCTTATTGTCTGACTGAGAGAGTGGTCGTGTAATTATCCAGCAAATACTGACAAATTCTAAACTTAATTTTCCAATATGACACGTTATAGCATCTCTTCAACTAAGTTCATAAATATAATTGAAATCTGCCTTTTCTTACACCGCCAAACTTGTTCTTTCAAGTTGACTGCTGCCCCAGGTGTTTTTCAAGATGGACAAGCCACGGATAAATAACAAAATTCCACTGTAAGATTTAAGGAAATAGCTTTACTGCATTGCAGAGAGGAGAGAGAATCTGATTTTGCAAAGTGAGCCTGTTTCATCTTTGGATAACAAGTCTGCTTTCAACAGGAACGTCTACCAACTACAACAAAGCCATCCTTCTCTACATTATATATGAACACATGGTGCTTTTTAAAAACCTATGCAAAAAACATGCATGAACAGCAAAACCTGCCCCTTTTGGGGGGTTTTGAAGAAGTGCAGTGAGCACGGAAAAGGACCAAGAAGCACTTATTAAGCTTCAAAAAGAAAAATGAAGTTATATTTGTGTTGAAATATAAACAAGTTAAGTGCACAGAATTAGTGCATTTCCCCTTTTTAATGACCCATAGTAGCTTTAATGTGAGACCATTTAAAAAAATCACTGGGTTCCTGCTGTGAAATTTGAAACACAAAAAACAAATCTACAATGTTCTCTAACATTCCCTTTTATACTATCTATATCTGGTAGTGTTATGATAAGAGGGTGGGATACATTATTTAGCACCATATCAGGGTGTGGCATTTTGATTTTAGTTGTTCTCTGAAGGGAACTAGCTGCGTCAGCATGCGTAGGCTGCAAAGAAACAAATAATAGGTTTATTCCATGCTGAAAAAAAGAAGAAAACACAACGTTTCGGCTGTGGAGCCTTCTTCAGGTGTGTCAAATGTTTAGAATGTGTAGAAATGTTTGTTCAGTATTGCATCAGTGGTCTTACTGCGTTTTTATTATGGATCCTGGCATGTCACTTCCTTTTAGTTAAAACGGGCAGCTTATCAGTTCCTCCAATTAACATTATACTCTGCTTTCCTCTCTCAGTGTGCTTTTGGGGAGGGTGAGGAGATTATTATTGGCGGCGCGTTTTAATCAGCTTCATAAGGGACCTGATTAGTTTTAGGAGAAAGCTTGCACAATATAAGCTCACGAGTACTTCGAAAAGACGTAAGTCTTAACCTCAGAAGCTCTGTGCTGCTGCAGTGAATTTTTATTTATTTCACATTTCACAGAAGTCATATGTAGTACTAGGTTATCGGTAATCTGTTTTTCTTTGTTTATCCCTTGTTTGTTTTTTTATATATAGTTTTAATCAGAAAAGACCGCTTTAATGGTACCTCCTGCCCAGGTTATGCATTTAATATTCATGTCCATTTGCAAATAACTAATTTGTAGAATATTTCTGTTATAATAGTCTACAGGCATGGAATGTCAATGGACTGCTAAGCCATAAATAAAAACTGTGACATTTTCCTGCCATTGGCCCACCTTGTGCAGCATAATGAACACTTTGATTTTCATTAAGTGGCATGAACAGGTTTTCAGAAAGGCTAGGGCTGTTGTTCATTGACCTCAGTACACAAATTCCTCTAGGAGCTATAACAAATTGTGTTGTGCCTGTGTGTTCTAAGATAAGGTAAGACATTTGATAAGGTATTTTGAAATTCATCCTAAAGGTAGCATTTTGTAAGGATTATGGTTTCCAAAGAATCAAAGCTAAAATGTAATGGTCTCTAGAATCCATTTGGAATATTCACATGGTGATATTGTTCCTTAATTTGAGTTAAAATAAGTTGTTTTGAAAATATGTGTATAATTGTGATATTTCCAGACCTTCAGGCTACCTGTCTAGTTTCTGCATTTACATACATTGTTGGGAAAATGGCAGATATTGCTGATGCTGCAGCCTCCCTTGAATGTCTGATCACTTTTCCTTTTTAGTTCAGTTCTGAGCTATTCTTTTAGGATTCTAAATAATTCTGTACATGAATGATGCCACAGGCACACGAATAGAAATATTACAAAATAGATCATGTCTGTAGTAGAATGAATGCTTAGAAAAGTGCAGTGAAGGAAAGTTTGCTGCAGTCTCAGGGAGGGATGTGGTCTCATGTAAGACCATCGGCTTGCTTGGTTGCTGCATTAGAAGATCTTAGATGGGAGAGAATGTACAAGGTACAGATGTCTAGAAGATGACAGTAATCGGAACATGATTTGGTCAGGGTGGTGAAAGAACCAGTTTAAGCTCTTCCTTCAGAACTGGGCCAACTTCAGCATCCAGGGTGACAGCAACACATGTGAGTACTAGTACTTCAGCTTAGGTTTGGGTGGCTCACTGGTTGTGAAGGATGAGTGGAGTCTAAAGCCCAGTGGGTACTCTTGATATGGAGATAGGGAATAAATGTAGGCACTGCAAAACCCATCCGCCCTCAGCTCTTTCACAACATACAGAAGAGACTGTCTTATCTATGTTAAGATTGAAATAAAAAAGTTAACATACACAAGCAGAGCTGTGTAAACCAATTTCTTCCGAAGCTCGGAAGCTTTGTGAGCTGTAGAACAAATGGACATTCTTTTTCACAAAAGTGTTACAGATGGGCAGTACAGTGGCATGACACCTAGAACTATTATCTCACAGCTCTTGGATCTTTCTGAGCATGATCCCAGCAGTGGACAGGCATCTCTTTTAGGGTGTGGTTATGCCTGATTCTTGGATAGGCTTTAGAATTGCTATCCAAGAGTAAGAGGCTTTCTAAGCATGGATACTCACAAATTTAAGTTGTGTCTAGAAGTTACTATGGGATCTCTGGTGTTTCAGATGGTTGAGCACTACGATCCAGGCATCACAGGTCAGAACCTGGGTAATACCACTGGCCAAGTGTGGCCAGGAGTCTGCAAGCAGCGCAGCATAATCAGCTGAAAGTTTTTTTTGCTTCATAATGTTGAAATAGCAGGTGTAACCAAGAACCCATATTGTGACCAAGATCCTGTATATCAAGAGTGAGATTAATACATTTTAATCTTCCAAACTATTTTTTAATCTGCTTTAGTGGCTTCATTTCTAAATGGCATATAAAAACACAACAGTGTTAAGAAATTATGTTATTAGTAAGTAGTCCTTGAAAAAGATTTGTTTTATCCTCAGTCAGTTTTGACCTCTTTTAAATGTAAACCTTATCTTTTATAAAATCCTTGGACACGTTTAACTTAATATTATTAACGATTATTAACACATTAATAATATTCTTGTAGAAATTTGTGATAGAAATCATATCTGAGCTGGCAGTTCAAACCAAAACATCACAATAACATTCTTAATAATTGAACTTCTACACAGTTGTAATTAGTTTGGAATGCCCTTAACATTATAAAACATTGACAAAGTGAAATTCTTTGAAAATCCTTCCTTATCCTGTATTGACTGAAATGTCTTTCAATATTGAGATTCAAAGGGCTGTCAAGCTCTTTAATGCAGCACATTAAACTTGAATTGAAACAGTCCGTTATCCTAAAACCCCCCCTTGTGGTGAAAAATTTTCAATTAAAAAGAAGTAAAAAATACCATTGAGGTTACACACTTCTTGAAGGCCACCGTTTTATACTTGTTAAAATATTGTTTAATGTATGGAAGTCTGAGAGACATTACTTAGATATCACTTTTAGACATGCATATCATTTAGACATAACGCAAACCATGCATTGGTGACAATGGCTATGATGCAGCGAGTTGAGGCTTAATAAAAGCCTCGTCCTTCACTGAAGTAAATTGGACACACCTGCCTTGATTGACTGATTGGACTGATTGATCTATCTCAGCTCCTGTACTTCAGGGAGGGAGCAGGTGGATTAAGTCAAGAAAGATCGAGCTACAGAGGGTTTAGTGTTTGTTTCTCTATGGTGTACTGTATTCCTGGGTGAGTCTGAATACTCTGTAGTGTTTATAGTTGGAAACTGGGTGCCAGTAGGTCTCAGAAGAGACAGTGCAGGCACTCCAGTGCAGGGAAGACCATCTGTGCAAGGGAGAGCCGAATTGGGTGTGCCAGGGAATAAAGCAATGTTTATATTGGCAAGAAAGACAAAAAATTCAGGGATTTGTCTGTTCCAGCTCTCTTGGTGGATAGAGGACTGATGAGCTTCTTCATGCGAGAAGAGAAAGTGAGGAAGATCTTTTGGGGACTCATTCCTCTATGAAAGTCTGTTTTTTGGGGACCACCTCCCTATTTTAGGACCTGTTCTGCAAGCCAACAGTGATAGATCACTGGAATGCACATTCCTAAAGTGGGTGATATGCTGGCTCAAGGGTCAACATTCACTGCAATGGTTCAAAAGGAGAACATTTTCCAAAGTGGGTTATAGCAAGATCTACGATGGATTTCCAGTGCTATTCCTCTAAAACGGCCACACCCAACTTCCATTGATTGTGTATGAGAAGCCAGTTGTGGTAGAGGCGGCATCTTGTCAAAGACAAGATCCCAAAAAATGTTTTGAGAGGTAGATAGCATAGTTGTCATATCCCCAAAGTGCCATAACACACATTAGGCCATTCAGTTGTATATAGCCTTAGCTCTTTCCACTCTACCTTTTATCTCTGCTTACATGTCCTGTGCCCAGTTTTCTGTAGACTCTGTTTTACATCAAGAGGGGCAGGAGAGTGGTGTCAGAATAGGCTGGCTGCTGAGGAACAAGTAAAGGTTAATCACACTGAACATAAGAAGAAATTAAAAACATTTCAGCCAGAGATCACAGGGACCCAAGAGCTGATAGACCACTGAGCTTCATACAACTTTGAATTTTATTGTTTCTTCTTTTTACATTTTAGTGTGGAATGAACCTTATTTTGTTACCTGTGTATTATTGGGAAGAATGTCAGAACTTTATGTTATCTTCCTGTTAAATTATATATATAGTATCTAAGGTATTGTTCATTCAGTGAAAATATTAATTTCATAAAACCTTACAGTATTTATAACTTCCAGTTTTTAAGAGTACTGTATGCTTTACAGTGCAAATACTTCAATGAGTGTTTCTGCAGAAATACCTTTTCATGAATTAATTAGCCATGATAAAAACTAAATGAGAAGAAGCTATCTATGCATGCAAACTGAAAAACTGCCATGGAGGTAGAGCAGTTTAAGCACAGAATGGTAGTGAGGGCATACAGCAACATAGTTATGAGTTAAATACTGGTTGCTGCCCACTTCAAGCCTATTCCATGTACATATGTACATATCACAGTAAGTTAAAAACTGAAAAACCACCAGTGTGGAAACAGAATATTCAATGTGGAAAGAGTAAAGTAGAGGTGTACTTGCCAAGGATTGTAATCATAATAAATGTATATTTTTCTAGATTCACAGTCTTAACAATGTTATAAATAAACTAGGATCTTGACTAAATCCTATATGTAATTTAAATCATGACAGGGTGCTGTTATCATGATATAGTTGGGTCTTCCCTGAAATAACCCCCTCATTTTTCCATCAGACACTATGCGATTGGCCTGTGATCACTTTGTGTTGTCCCATACATGTGGGAAATCAATCACACAATCCCTGCATCACAGTATAAGCAAGACCACAGGGTCATTTGTGCATTATTCAGTCTTCCACTGCCTTTGAAAACTGTACAAATTAGACAATATGATGTAGCCCAAATGACAAACATCACTGAAAATCATCCTTGTAAGTTTAAAATGACCAAGCAGTGCCAATGTCTAGAAGCGCAGTGTGTGGCCACTCCTGCTATAGCCTGAAGTGACTTTTTGAATTTAACACACAATGAATGTGATATGCCATTGTTCCTTATCAGAATGTTGTATATTGGCGGAGCTTGAAATACTCATTAATCAATGTACTAATGTTTTACCTCCCATTTTACAAGGTGCAGTTAAATAAAGGGTTGATTTAGAAAGCAAAGACAATTAAAGTGTTTTCTGACATGCATCCCCACTGATCCAAGTGCTCTAGCACTAACGACTCATTAACAATTGTTTATTTTAAGCTGGTGTGGTGCCAAAGCAGTTTGCATTTAGAAATAAATAAAAAAAACAAATGTCTGAGTAAAAAAAATAGATTCATACAAGTTAGGGAATAAAAACAGTTTGCATTTTTAGGTCACTTTGGGAATCACAAAATACTAACACAGGAAGGATAAGAACAGCTAACCAGGCCAGTGAACAAGGCTTAATTTTCCAATAGATTCAGTCCTGTGAAAAAGTATTTGCCCCCTATCACATTTTCTGTATATTATCACTTTGGATGTTGGATGATTTTATGTAATAAATTCAACAAGCACCAGACTTTGGCATTATTTGTTCTCCCAGGCTACCTTTATATACAGTATCACCAGGACCTACATGAAGATCTGATAACATTCAGTTGTTCAAATTGTTATTTTGATATTTAAACCTTCCCATTATATTTTAAGATGGATTTTTTTGTCCAGATAGCACCGCAGTTTGGAATGCTGTTAAGTACTTATTTATATACATATACAATCTACAAACCTCAAAAAGAACATGCTTTGGTAAGTCTTATGCCTGCATTTGCAAGAGCCAGGGTTTCTTGTAAAGCGGATTATGGAAACTAATCAGAAAGCTTACTCTTGTTTATTTCATAATCATTAAGGCAGTTACAGATGCACAAACAATGCATATTCGTATCTGATGAAAATGTTAACGACAACATAAATCCAAAGCTGGGATACATGTTAAAACTGTTATTTAAGAATGACTCTTTCCTTTTTAAAAAATCTTTAAAAGTTAAATAAAAAAATTTCACTTCACATTTGTTGAATCAGCTTGACATAACAAACAGATTAAACAAATGACCTTTAATGTAAATGTCCCTTTAAATGTTTTGCCTTCTCAAAGGAAATCATGTTTAATTTACTAAGAAAATATACCAGTATGCATCACATGTTCTTCTTCTGCCAAATAACAATCAATATAAAACAAATAATTGTATCATACAATCACTTTAAAAAATAAATGCTTTACTATCAGTCTGAATCATCCATGTTTATTACACATTTTTGTTAAAGAAAATGCCCAATTCACAGTTAACACAAACTAATAAGATTTTTTTTTTAATTACAGACATCCTGCATTACGGTCTTTAAAGATACCCCATTGAAGTTGCCTTAACATGACCAAGAGGATGATCTTTAAGTCAGTGCACGACTCTTTCCAACTGACATGAGTGAGATGAACAGAGCAATCAAACCCTACCATCTTGGCCTTACAAATGTTAATTCTCCTTCAGATTTTCAGACAGTTTTCCCACATGGCCATCTGGTCTAAGATCCAGGCTTGTAACTGCATGCATCATCCTGTGCTGCTCTGAAACACATGCACTCACTACTGACCCTATCAGCCAACAGCTCTTCCGCCCTACCAATCTGGAACCATATTGTACAAAAAAAAACAAAATTCCAGGAACCTTTTTTTTGACATTTTTATTCAAACCCATGTTGAAACTGATTCCGTTAAATGTTTTTTTTAATTACTGTCGTCTGTTTCCCCAGGACACTCGAGATTTTTTTTTTTCAACTATGATACTGCACTTCCCGGCTGTTGCACTTTAGTCCAGCCCTCGGTGGAGTGGCCGTGTTTCTTTTGGTGGCGCTTGTAGTTGTCCCAGTGGCCGGTGGTATAGGGGCACTCCTGGCACTTGAAGGGCTTCTCCCCAGTGTGCCGCAGCATGTGCCTCTTGAGGTTCATGCTCTGGTTGCAGCTGTAGTTGCAGACGCTGCACTTGAAGGGCTTGGCACCTGAGTGAATGCGCTCGTGGCGCTTCAAGTTGGCCAGGTTGCCGCAGGCGTAGTCACACAGGTGACACTTGTAGGGCTTCTCTCCTGTGTGCACCCGCTGATGCCGTTTTAGGTTGTCAAAGTGCGCAGAGGCATAGTCGCACTGCGGACACTTGTAAGGCTTCTCGCCGCTGTGAGTCTTCATGTGTCGGGCCAGGTGGTTGGGGTAGTGCGTGATGAAAGGGCACAGGGCGCAGGAGTACACTTTGTCAGATTTCTCTGGGCTGCTGGGAGCCTCCTTGGACAGCATTTCCAGCCCGCACTTGCTGCAGATCTGGCTGGACGAGCCGTCTTCGTGCATGAAGCCGTCGTCTAAAACCAAGCCACAGAGTCGGCAGGTGAAGGGGAAGAGGAGCTCGGGGAGGGTGTCCGACTCCTCCGCCACACCATCGGTGTCCAGCAGGCTGCGAGGGTCCATCTCTGGCTTCAGGCTGGTGTAGCTCTGAAGGAAGTCAGTGCTGTTGCTGACATGGAGCGTCAGGTCCGAGACCACTGCGTCTGAAAAACAACACAACACGCTGCTTATTATACTCCTGTACAGCATGTTTCTCTACTCTTAATAAGGTTGCACCAACTTCCCCATTGATGTCTGTAGGACTTACATAGTGGATTATATTCAATATTGAAATATAAATATTTCCAACATTGATAACTCAATAGATATTAAGCCTTTTAATGTTTTTTTTTTTTAGGGACCAGGGGCTATTCTGTTGACTTCTTCTAGGTTATCGCTCATTACCCCCATGATTACACAACACGTTCGGAATAAGAAGCAAGTGATGTGCAAGCACAAAAAAAGAGGAACAAACGGATAGTATCTACTTTACTCCTTTCAAGAAAAAAGGGAAAAACATGGTGAAAAATCAGAGCATAAAAAAAGTTATTTCTCTTAATGAGTCTCTTCATCTGTCATTAGGCCAGTGCTTGACAGTCAGGTTTACACAGTTGATCACTTTATCAATTTTTAGCCAATAAGAACAAACTTGAAAAGATTTTAAGTCCAACACTTAAGTGCCAGGTTGGGAACAAGAGTTTCCCGTGTATAATAAGGGCTGCTTTACCCTGAGCACAGTTTTACTGGTAATATCTAATATGCTACACCTGTTTTCGCGATTAAAATGCCGTGCGATACCTTCAGCTGCCCCAGGGGGTTCCTCGGTCTCATGGCCCATCATGTGTCTTTTGAGATTGCGGCTGTTGTTGGCCCTGTAGTCACACAGGTTGCACTTGTTGGGCTTGTCCTGGGTGTGCATGCGCTCATGCCTCTTAAGGTTGCCCAGCGAGTTGCAGGCGAATGCACAGTACTCGCATTTGAAGGGCTTCTCACCGGTGTGCGTGCGAACGTGCCTCTGCAGGTTGACTAGCTGGGCTGAGGCGTAGGTGCAGTGCGGGCACTTAAATGGCTTCTCCCCGTTGTGCGTCTTCATGTGCCGCTTTAGGTGGTTGGAGTAGCGCGACGAGAAGCTGCACAGCTTGCACGAGTAGACCTTCCGCACGCTGCCGTTGGAGCCGCCGTTCTCCTTGGAGTCGGGGGCGGAGACGCTGGTTGTCTCGTCTTCCTCCCCGCCGCCCCCTTCTCCCGAATCGCCACACTTCAGGCAGTAGGGGGTGGCGAGGTCCAGACCCCCCAGGGAGCTGTCCAGCAGCTGGCCGCACTGTCTGCAGGAGAGGTAGTGCTGTAGTGTGTGGTCATGGCTCTCCTCCCTTTCGCTCTCCGTGTCCCGGGGGTCCTCTGCGTCGCTCTCCATGCTGAGCCGGTTGTAGCTGGAGCAGTCGTCATCGCTCAACGCGTAGACGGGGATGACGATCTCAGCCGCCACCGAATCTGGGAGGAAATGTTGCGAAAGTTTATTGTAGGTGACGGCGCAACATGCTACAATAAGAGAATCAAATGTAAAAACCTTCATACAGAATATAAAGGAGAGCTCATAAAATAGTCAAGATACTATTTTAGCTGGAAATTACGACAGACAGCAGATAAAGTAGCTTTCAGTAAAGAGGTAAACAATACTAAAACAGAAGACAACAAAACTATGTATAATGTATCTGGTGAGAGTCAGTGTTCACTGGAACATCAAGAAAAGGAAAAGCAAACAAAATGTAATGAATGGTATTTTACTGCACTTACATCAAAGACACACTCCAGTTAAAATACAAGTCAACAGTTGAGTGGAAAACATCTTTTTTTTAAAAAAAATCTCAAAACTGAAAAAAGGAAACAAGCCTGCAAGTTCAAAGCCGAAGAGAAAACTGCAGAAAACAAAAACGGAACAAAAGGCCTCCACCAACTGATTCACATTTCACTCCCAACTTAACAAGGAGCTTGCTTCTGTTCTGTTGTTTCTGAAGAGAAATACAAAAAGCCTTTATGCCACAGATACACATGGAATCTGAACAAAGCTGAAACCTGACCTTTGCTTTTATTGCATTCTCTAGAATTTCCACTTGACTGATTATTATGTGTAATGGTAATGCTGAAAAATGATGATAGTTACCAATGATAATGGTGATGAAGGGATTAATGATAATGATGATGATGATGATGATGATGGCAAAGGAGTGTTTTATGATAATGGCTTCCCAAATGATGATAGTTTTCTTCATGACCTTACAATATAATGGCGAAGCATGTACGATTCAGTTTTGCAGCATTCTGGGAATCATTAATTCAAGCTAAAAACATTCAAAATGACAATACAGAAGAAAATCTTTAAAGATCTGTAAAGCTTTTCTACACAGAAGTACACAACATGTGGTTTCCATTCTTTACACAGAATCTGTGCTGCTCATTGAATCTTTACAAGAATGAGAAAAACCCAGAACAGCAGAGCGCAGACATTAACTGAACAGACTTTAGTGCATTCTTAAACTCCTCTATTTTCATATATTTCCGTTCTGCATTTCTGTACTGCTTGCTTAAAAACAGTACATCAGGAAGCACTATGGATCTGGACACTGTTTCGGTCAGTACAGTGATCAGAAACACACAGCAGCAATCTTTATTATTAAAGTAGAGGAACTAAACTGGGTGTAAAAGCCAGCGGAATACCCTGATTTAAATCCAACAGAGATGGTTGAACTCAACAGCAATCAGCAAGTTATTGGGATAAAAAGCTGAGTGAACAAATCTGCAATATCAACAGATTTCTGTGTAATTCCTTATATTGTAGAACACGAGGGACTTTGTAAGCACTGTTAGTTACTTCCCCGCTACAGGCTGATTCATACAGTATGTACTTGTTTCATATATGCCCCATGTCAACAAATTATAACATCGGGGAAAAAAGAATCTTGTGTTCTCATATCTAATGTCTTTTTTTCAGTTTTGTAATTAAAACTAAATGTTCTGTGTGCGTGGAATGGACATCTCTTTATTGATACTCCTCTGGTTTTGTTTTCTTTCAAAACACTGTTTAGAAAAAACAATTTGTGAAATGTTCACATTTTTATTTAAATATCTATTGCGTAATTGCATTATTTTAACCTTATTTTTTTGTATATGCGCACTGACTATCATATGTCTTAACTGTGGTGTACATAGTTCAAACTGTGGGAATTACTGTTCAACATGTATTTTCAATCTGCAAAGTGATACAATTGTCACTAGAACTGTATGATTATTGCAATAAAGCACTAATGGGTTCATAAACATTTAATACTGAACTGACTGTCTGACAACCACAAGCAGCTGTGGTAGTCTTAGAATTCACTGCACCACTTGGCAATTTTACAGATTAGTGCAGTCATGCAACAGAAAATAAAAAAATTAAGAATGTCATACCATGGTGTTTACTACAGTATACCACCTAAGACTTCACATATTTGAAGGAATGGAAATGTATTTATGCATTAGAAAAGTAATTAGACTGCTTTTATATTTTTGTGCACTAGCAAAAGTGAACATAGGTTGTTTTTGCAGATGTTTTTCTTGTTTTATTCACACATTAAATTAAGATAAGGTTGTCAGACAGAGTCTTGTTGGCTTTCTGTAAGACAATTTAAGTGTAAGTAAGCTTTATGATTGAAAAGAAACATTTATCAAAGGTCACCTCGAGGTCACCTAAGGGTGGTAGTTTAGCGCCTGACAAGAAGATTTAAAATTGGGTATAGTTTTATGCATTAAGGGATTTTTGCTTTCAATGTAAGTTACATGACATCTGTTCATATAACTAAGCATTAAACTGCCTGCTTTTCAGAGATACCTTTTCCTTTCTTCTGTATTCTAAGGGACAAAAAGGCTCCTTTAAACACCTTTATACCTTAAGTTACAGTTTGGTAATTTCTGCTCCTCAAAAGAAACATTATTCTTTACCTAAGTCTCCATATTCCAGACAGCTTCATCTGTACATATGGCGTAAACAACCTTAAAACTTTCATATTTTATAAGACTTTATAGAAAATTGGTGGCATTGTGCTTTTAGAAGGCACAAAGAATATATTATACATCACATTAAGGAACACATTAGATTGATCTCAAACTCAAAGGAGATTCCCGTCTTAAATTTGCCATGTCAAATTAAGCAGTGTTTGATTAAGCATCATTTTTCAGCAAAACAGGCCAGATTTCTATTTTTGCCTGAATGAATGACTTCTTTCACAGGCTTCTCCCTGACTAGTTTTCTTAAGGAGGCTGTAAGAAATTTAATGGAAGAAAAATGTGAAGACACCCGGCAATTTTAATATTAATGCAGCACTGAAGAGGATAGAGGAAAGAATCTTTTAATTGTCACATATGCTAATACATATTGCAAAACAACCAATTTAATATAATCACTGAATGCTTTCTGTCACCTAATTTAGATATGATATGCAAACCCTGAATAATATAAGAACAGGAAAATAGACATTTGGATTCAAGAAACCAAGAACTTAAGTGAGACCACAGGGAAAAACAGGGAAGGCCAGGTGGTTCCCAATTCGTGAGCCTTGAAAACTATTCCGATTACCTACTATTGCAGTTGCTCGCTGGCAAATGATCTTGCGGTATATTAATATGAAACAGTATTTCAATGTGGATTCTTGTGTACAATTTGTCACACATTTTTTTGGCCAGGTGGTAAAATTGCAATGACAGCCCATAGCTGCTACTCCTGCATTAGATGAATAAAAACTGGAGGCACTGATGAAAGAAAGAAAATTCAGAAAAAATTAAAAACCTAGGTTTTGGAAAATGTAATCCTGACTTTATCAAGGAATTTATTCTAATAAGCACTGACAGAACATAAAAACATTTAAAACAATAACGCTTTATTAATATTAATTAGTATAAATGCATGCAGTTCTAAAGCCTTCCAATTATTAAAGCTTTACAGTGAAGTAAAGTGGCAAAAAGCCTATGAAATAGATGTTCTTTGTAAAGACAAATCACTGACATCTGATTAATCTTCCCATTTTATCAAACAGGCTCTGGCACAAAAATTAAAATACTTTGTAATATTAGTGTAAAGTCACAGTGAGCCTACGCTTAACCCCACAGCCTCAGAGCTCAAGGCTGGACTACACATCAACTGTTCTTCATGTCTCAGATCAGAGCTACGACCCAAACAAAGTAGCACAGGGGAGTCTGAGGAGGTGTACGCCAACTCTCCATGACTGCTCCAACCTGACCACCTCCTCACCACTCGGCTTTCAACATGTCACAAACAGCACAGCACCGTCATGAAGAGGGGCACTCCCTTCACCAACAGCACCAAAGGAGCAAAGAAAGCCCTGGAAACGATCCCCACCAGTCGGTGTGCTGCTGCTTAAAGAGTCCAATAGCGATTGCAAGGGTAATTGGTAATGTATTATTTATAACCACTGTATGTCAATTTACAGAACTAGATACATATCATCCTAACTTGGGAAAAATATTCTGCAGTTAGCATATAGTTGCATGCAATCTGTGACCTGAGTAAGTAGGACTTCTGGCAAAAAGCTCTGAAAGCTACATTTTATGCAAAATATAAAATGGCAAGACAGGGTCATACACTATGGAATAGCTGAACAGCCAGGTTTTATTATACATCCATCCTAATTCACTGACATCGTCAAAAACCTCACCCACCTTCTGAGTCTCTCTCAAATCCTATGATCTTGTCGTCGCTGTCTCCGAACTCCAGATCCTGGCCCAGGAGGAAGTCACTCTCCAAGACAAGGCTCCCAGGATTATCCACTCCTAATCCATCTTCAGAATCCACTGGAATGACAACATAACGATATCAGACCACAGCAATCTGCAAAGATGCAGCGAGGCACATTCTTTCTACTGTATATCTAATAAAATTAAATGAATCAACAGGGTCTATTGTGTAACAGGTACTGTAGGAAAGAAAGATTCATGTTAATTAACAAAATACTTGTGAGAGGGATATGCTAGGTTCAAAAGAAGATGAAATAGTTATTATTACTCTTCTCCACCGTATAAATTGTCAGTAGCATTAGGTCTACAAAAACAAACTTGAGGTATTATTAAACGTCCACTCAAAATATTGCCCTGATTCTTATTCCCTGAGGTTAAAGTACTGTTACTCTCAACCGCTCTCAGAGTCTAAGACAGAATGAAACTCTGAAACATTTAACACAATATTCTTTTAGTTTTTCCCATGTAGTCAGAAGATGAACCTATGTTGCTGACATGGAAAGAATTAAGAATTAATAACATTTTTCAAAAAAGCGCTCACAAAACACTGCAATGTAAAGTAAATAGCAATCAGTACTTAAACGTGTCAAAAATATTTCCTTTAAAGAAATTAAGCAAGTCCAAACAATGAAAACAACAGCACTAATCGACTAGTTAACATAATGTACACATTTTCCCAAATGAAATTCAGGAATGATTTCCCTCATTTGCACCTTAGTTGTGTTTTGTATACTCAAGTTTATTTTACAGTGACATTGATAACATGGTGATTTATAAGCATCTGGTTTCCTTGTGAATCTGATATCTGCAACTCTTTGGTAAGCTCTGCTCGAATTTAAGTGCTGGAATACCCTCCTAAGGAATAAAACAAGCTTTTTTTCAGTGATGCAGAATAAGAATAAATGTTCTGAACGTGCTACAGATAAGATTTAAACTGATTGTGAACATTCAAAGAGATCATTTGAATCTGTCTTTTATTGTGCCAACATTGCTCCAACAATTCTTCTGCAAATTGCGCATTACACTATTTCAAAGAGTTCAACTCTTTGATTTTGTTATGGTCAGATACTTTTTCTCTCCAGCTGTGGGAGGTGAAGGGAGGTGAACAATGGAACAACAGTGGAGAATGAGACAAAGGCAACTAGGTAAATCAGTGCTAACTAATTTGTTCTTTGGAACCAACCCTTCTAAACAATACATAGCAATAATCAAAGAAAAAATGGCAGAACATTTTATTTTCAAGCTGTCAATTAAAAGTCTGTATGGACCTTCCTTGGTCTAATTTATTCAAGATACACCTATCAATGGGTGAAACAACACCACAACCACATCAGAGATAACTAAAGTGCAATGGCACTGTTTCAAGACAACATGTTACTATACATGCAATTTTCTCCTCAACAATGAATAAGGGTCACATCAGAAAACATTTCATGCTTGCTGAGCAAGACATTTTGGCTGTTAAAGGCCCATGGCCCTTAGAAAAGCATCTGTCCATTCATGGACATCCTTTCTGGTCACTAAGGTCGTTTCATAAGATGCTGGAGGAGGGCTTCATTTTCCCAGAAGAACTGAAAATCGTAAAATGTAAGCCTTAATCTGGAAATCTATTCCTATTTTATCTGGTAAAAAGAGATTTGGTATGCCATTCAGAGTATTTTCAAAGCAGTGATGTCTTACATAAGATTTACAATAACTCCATGAAAATAATAGTATTGTACCTATAAAGAGACAGAAGATGCAAAACAGCTTCAGCTCAAGAACCTGCAAATGCAGATAATGGATTAACTGATGCATCCAATCATTATGCAGAATAAAAAAGGAAAAAACATGAAATCACTTGGAATCACTTGGAATGACAGGTCAAAGTAGCTCTATCCATTTTGTCTTTCGAAATAATTCAATTATGTTATGCCTAAACGGTGGGGATATCATTGTAACTCTGCAATGGATTTACAAAAGTATATGCTAATTTTACACTTTGCATCATCCTTATCTGGATTCAAATTGGCCATCTTACTTGGCCAACGCGATGTGAAAGGTTCACTGCAGAAACAATACAAATTCTTTCACGCTACTAACTGGTCTACAACAGGAATCTATTTTTAGAATTAATGTTGAGACCTCAGCATAATCTGTGCAGCATTCTTTAGAGGATGTACAAAATGTGCTGAAACGCCTTGTGGACATTTCCTGTAACACAGCATTTAACGTGCTGGCAACCTTGCTAATAAAAAGCTATTATCTATACATTTCCATTTTGCAATTCTTATGCGAAAAAAGATTGACAAGTGAACACTTATGCGAGGGAAGCATGAGCAATAATTCAGTCTTAAACAGAGCCTCCTACTCCCAGCCTACTGCTCTACACTACTACTCATACAAGGAGAGACAGACCCAGATCAGTACATTCCAGGTTTGGTCAGTATTGTAGCACGGACAGGCCTAAGACAAATGAAGCTATGTAACCACAGTTCTGTTGAATCTGCTGAAAACCAAATTATTTAACCTTGTCCCATTTCATTAAAATTACACAGTTTTCACATCTCTCGATTTTAATTTATACATTTTACTATATATCCTAACACCGTTTGTCTTTTAGTGCTTCCTCACATGTATCAATATTACAACCCTAATTTTTCACAGGTTTAACTCAGTACTCAGTACCCATTTTGTATTTACAGATTAGGTTTTTACTACCTGCTTGCAAATCCACATACTTGTCTACATGTCTTCTGCAAGGTGTTTGCCAAGTCTTCATTTTTTAATTTCATTGGCTGATTTTACAGTGATTGCTAATACTCCTATTTCAGTATCATCTGCTGTCTTCATCAATTTGCTAATTATACCAAAATCTCCACTAGTTACATTCCCCCAAATTCAGCATCCATCCCTTATCTGTATTATTTCCTCCCTTTTAAACAAATATGCTCAATCCACACACTTTTCACAGACTATATACCTGAATTCTATATTCATAGTGAATTTTGGCAACAGGAAGCAGTATAACTGACATCATACATGTTTAGAAACAGCATTCATTTCAATGCTTCAAAAGAAGACGTAACCTTGGGAATAAAACTAAGACTGAATAAAACAAAAATAAAAAAAAGGATTTTATTATTTGGAAAATGTCATATTGTCTAACAAACAGAAGCAGAGATGGTTAGCATTGGATCTAGGCTACCCAAAGAAACAGCAAACAGGTTACAGCATTACATTCCTGACGCCTGATCCCTTCAGGTTTCACAAGCTAAGGAAGGTTGGGGACACTGTTCTGTAGGGAGGTACTGGTCACTGGATGAGACATTAACCTAAACTAACATCCTGACCACTTGGGCCTTCTTAGTTATTTATGATCCCACAACACTTTCTGAAAGAGTAGGGGTGCTAAGCCCAGAGCCCTGGCTAAATTTCACTCTACACAATCCAGCCCACCTAATTCAACTGGTGAAACAATTTCGCACTTTTGCATCTGATCTGCTGCCTTCTCCTATTTACATCAGGGACAGGCTCTGCAGCTTGCCATACAAAATTGTGACACACAAATTACAGTAGACCATTTAATAGATTACAACAAATGTCCTTCTGAAGAAACTCTCACACTTGAGAGTCGCTATGAGTCACAAAACACCGGCGGCATTCTCCATTTACAATTATAGGCACTATTTCAAATCTAATTTACAATGGAACAGGAGCAAATCCAAGTCAGCAAGAGATGACAGACTGTGGTGACAAATGCTAGGACTGAAAGCAGTGGGAATGTGAAACCTTATAGAAACAAATGCAACAGACTCATCCCAGAATGTAATCCCACACACTAACGATCCAGTAGCAAAGAAACAGCAAACGTTACCAGCACATGAAAAGCACAAGCTTTGCTCTCTGTGTGTCCATCTAGCTCCTGACTAAGACTGTCTGTCGATCTGAAGCCTTTGTCTTGTCATGATCAGAAACATACATTTCTTCATTTTTATTCACAAATAACAATTGAGTGAGTTTAAGGACTGACAAATTTGAGTTGAAAGAGTTGATAAATCCTTTGTTTTCCTGACAAAAGCCTTAGATGTCTGTCTCAGTCATGGTGAGTTGTACCTACGTTGTCATCAAGATTAAAATTCTCCCAGATTTCAGTACAATGCTTTACCGACAAAGCAAAATGCATAAACATTACCATTGATAATTATCAGATACAGTAGAGTCCTGATTACCCAACCTAAACGAGACCGATAGTATAATATTTTTATTGAAAATGTCAGATAATGCGGAAACTGAGTAGACAAATCATAGATTATGTATGAAGTATGAAATCTGGTTTATTATCTACTGTAACTCAGAGCTTTTTCTTGAAGTATCAGACCTGTGATAGGCATTTTGCTGCGTGAACCACAAGAACAAAGCCTCACTGACCTTTTCATATTCACATTTCTTCATCGTGTTTCTGTCCCTCAATCCTTCAATTGAGGCCCGATCAAAGCACCACTTTTCTATCCGATTTCTTCTCCTCTTCCAGTCACCAACTGTAACTCGTCCCACACCGAATTCAGATACAATTTTTCGCCTTAAGTCTAGTCTTCCTAACGCTTAAAGCTTTTGTTCCAGTGAAAGAACTACTTTCTTTCTCTTTACTTCTTAAATAATAAAATTAGATATACAAGCGCAAATGAACAAGCAAAGCTATGTTAATAGCAGTATTTGACGCACTGAGAGACAAAGGAGCATGGGATTGGGCAAAATAATTATGTATGTGCACACATACAGTACGTTGCATATATGTATATAGCATGTTGAATGCTATGTCGGATAATCGAGACCGTATCGTACTGATAACCAGTCACATGAACACTGAATAAAACTACATTATACTCTTCCCATTGACAAGCCTATATTGTTACCACTAGCAGTTGACCATATAGTATTTATCATGTGGGTAAAAGTCATTAACTGCTATCACTTGTTTTAGGAATCATTACCTTTGGGGAAAGGGGGTATTATGACTGCATTGCCTCCAGTCAGTAATGCAACAACAAACCTTATTCTTGAATTAGAAAAAGACACAGAGGTGGTAACAGCCTTCACCACCATGGTCGAACAAACAGCAGGTTTTAAGAACAACCCTTAAAGAGGCACCTTAATTCCTACAATCATCCTTCTCCTGGCCCTGATATCTACTCCCTCCACATCCTCTCTCACCCCCTTCAGGACTCCTCTGCTGGCCCATGAATCACCCTTCCCCTCCCTCTCTGGCTTCCTGTGTCTGTTCTCTTGCTTTACTCCCCAATGTTAGTAGCAGTTGCCACAAACTAAGGCTGGTTCACCTCCCACCATCTTTTGGAGCTGCCAAAAAAAAAACTTTTGGTCATTCCACGCGAGTACTATCTTCTATTTTCTTTACAATTTAATTAATGGTGTTTTCTACACTCTTCTCTAAATTCCATTACTGATGATTTCTCCATATTTATGGTCCCCTGCAGTCTGGTGGTAGGACTTTTACAATGCCTTGCATAAAGCCAGATTGTATTGTACACCAGCACAACTGTGCTCAAATATTCAGCTCTCAGGCTTACCAGTTTAATACACAAATATGATAGCAAGCTTAAAGTCTTCTCTGTAGCTATTGCAGAAGGAGTAGGAAGATGTAAGGACCTGCCAGTTACCACAGTGCTAGTGAGGAAAGTCAGTGGAGAGCTGCCAAAAGGTGACTGGAACTTAGGCTGAGAACTGTGTTGCAGAAACAAAAACAAGACTCCCAGCACCACCATTCTCACTCAGTTACTGAATCTGAAAATGATCAAATGGCAGAACAACTTCAGGAAAGGAAATGCTTGCACATGTGGATCTAAGAGGCAGCTCCTTTTGTTTTGCAAAGAACCCCGACATCACTTGTGAAGGTGTCAGTGACAGGCAGATGCTTAAACTGTATATCAAGGCTTAAACTGTGTTGTAACCACACTATTTCTAGATCATTAAAAAGGCTAAAGGCTAAAGATAAAATTAACAAAAAGGATGTATGATACTAAAAGAAGAAAGGACATTTGAGAAACACTTAATCAAATAAAAATAAAATGTTTACCTTTATTAATACTCATAAAATAATTTCTTCTTAAACCATTGACAAAAATGTATTTAAACAACTTTTAAGCAGAAAATGAGGAAGACACATGTTAAAGCTTTAGGACTGGAGGTTTAGTATTTCTGTTACACATTTAAAATTAAAAGAAAGCAACACACAGTACAAGAAATCAGCATACCCACTTACTGACAATGTTCACCAAAGCTTCAACACTTAAACTACCTACACCTCATATAAAATGAATAAAATGAACTGAGAGTCGCCGATGCAAAAATTCAGGATGCTGCTTTCTAATTCATTTTCCAAATGAACTAAAAAAAATGAATGTGCTCTACTAATAAGTCTGAAATTAAATGTGCTTCCAAAAACAAAATCACAAAGTTAGCACCAGACTACCTGAGCCAGTTAAACTTTATTTAATTTATATATAAAGAAGAGTTAAGTTTCAACCTCCACGAAAAAAGTATTTTGTTAATCCAGCAGTCATTTTTGCTTCTGTTATATTGAGCTACATCAAACATTGTTAAAAAAACAACATCCATACTAGTTTAATTGTAAGTGGATTGCTACAGTATATTATATGAGGCACACTTAAAACCCCAGATCAGCTTTACTCAAGCAAATTATAAAAATAACCCTCGGTCATAATCGTGAAAATGTTCGTTCGGTTTTATTTTAACAATCATACAGTAAACCTACTGTGCTCACTAATTGGCATTACACCCTCGATCAAGGTACTTTAAACTGCTCTAGTAAGCGTATAAGCGAGTACTCTCCAGTCATTATAAATGTATGAATTGATTAGTCGATTAGACTCATGTAAATTAAGCTTACTGAAACGGGAAGGAATGTGTGAATTTACTAGATGTTCAGACCATTTTGAGAATTCATACCTCACGCTACACACGCGATTTTCATTTTTAAGTTCAAACAAGTAAAATCACAACCAGATTGAGGACACCCAGACTGAACGATTTGATCATTAGGAAAACGTGACAGCCCGGATAAACACAGAGACGGGGAGCACGATTTACATACAATGACAACAAATGGGTTTCTGGTACCTTGTATTTTCAACCAACACCCCCGTCAGATTTTCTAAATGCATGTTACTCACAGAAATGGCACATTTTGATATACAGTATAAGACCCACTACAGCCGCTGGAATAAAAAATAGTACTTACATTTCACAGGCTGTGGGTTAGACTGTTTCCTTCTGGGCATTTTATGGCCAGCTTCTCGCTTCTGTGCTCTCTTCTCGGTGACTGTAAGGCCTCAGCTCATTCCTTTAAACAGCTATTTCTCTTCCTCGCCATTCAGGGCTGCGGTGCACACAGACACAAGCTCGAAACGCTCGGCCTCACCACGGTCATGCTTTGTTTCACGGTAACGTGAAGCTACCACGGCAGAGACATGTTGTTCCACAAGATATTTCAAATGTAGCTTTAAGTGGGGTTTTTTTTAGAAGCAATCGTTAACACACCCACAATTCAAAATAAACCCCAGATCATCATACTGTGACGATTTCACACAAACGTCGCTCACCAACCGCAACGTAAAGCTACGCTCTGACCTGTCACTCTCGCACACATATGTCCACCTTGTCACGACGTGCAGCCCCGCATAGCTATTTTGACAAATTGTAAAACGTGCGGCGATTCACCATTTACACCTCAGCAACTAACATCGGTAGCTGCAACCGAATAACACATAAACAAACTCGACTTTCCGTTATTCTTCGCTTTGGCAATCTATCACGGGCTCTCCCATGTAAGACTTTAACCCTGGACGCCGCTGCAAGTTGAATTTTAAGCGTAGTTTCTCCAGTGAAGGAACTGGGCAAGCGATAGGCAATTCCTTAACTTAATTGAGTTTTCATTGTATACGTTTTTTCTCTTCTCCACCAGCTGCCTTCCGTTCTTCCATGAGTTTCCGCTTCCGTCGCCCCGCCCCCCTCTAACCCCTACACTTCCGGTGCTCATGGTCCTTGTAGTCTTATTGGAATTCAGGTACGATTACACCTCTTCTAAAACGGCTTGCATATAAAACACATAAGGTTTCAATAAATTGTTTTTATTTTACCACTTTACTGACTATTATTCGTCACTTTCCGTGTGAAAAAAATCTAAGATAGCGTTTATAGTACAGCAAGAGTCTGCGATACATTAAAACTGTTTGCTTCAATTGCCTAGATCTAGTTTATTTAACGATTAATTGATTTTCGAAAAAAAAATAAAATAAGAAATTTTAAACCCAAAATGGGAAACCAAACCGTTGTCCTCCAACAAAAAAATTTTTTATTTCCATTTAGGATTTGTTTTGTAATAGCTTATTTATTTTCGTTAGAAAATGCGTTAGAGAAATGCATTTAAAGGTTGCGTACACTAGCGAAGTTTTAGATCCTACGTGTACAATTAAATGGAGCGACCATATTATTTTTAAAAAGGCATTTAAATCTAATGTTTCTCTTGCTGCAGCACATCTATGCGCTAGTTTTAAAAGAATGTCAAAACCATTCCAGATGTTCCTTTTTTTATGGAAAAGCACACCAAATGTGATTTGATGAATGTAGGCTGTCTGCATGCAGAATCGTAGCTTATTAAGGTTTATTTTTAATATAGAGTTTTGCACCCACCCGCACACGCCGGCTCACACCAAGAGCCCACAAAGAGCCCTAGATTTAACCTGGGGATTTCCAGGTGTATCCTTCTCAAGCCTGCATTGATAAAGCAGACAGGATCCCCCTGTGAGGATTCCGCCAGACGCTAAAGAAAAACAAAAATAACTGCAAAGACGTATGTCAGAATCACATAGCTGTCATAATAAACACGGGCTCTGTCATTTAGGCCTGAGATACGTGTTTTTATATTATTAAGGACGTATGGAGCCCCCGGCCGGAGCGCCCGAGGTCGCGCCCTGCGCAGCGCGGCGCTGCCCGGTGTCGCGAAGCTGCCGGCCCGGATTGGCACAGCCGCCGCTCCACAGCAGTGGGCGGGTTTGTTTTGGGTCCTCGGCTGGGGGGAGGGGCGGAGCCAGCGGCAGACCCGGAGCCGCAACGGGGAGAGCGGGCTGCAGCGAGGAGGTAAGACCCCCGTCTTCGCGATGCCGCTTTTGACATACATGTATGACGAAATCCGCAAAGCCTTTGGAGTCCCTTTCTCTAAAGAGGCAGAAATGAGTCCGAAATATGAGCAACGCATCGTGTTGCCCGCTCAAAGGCAGCGTTTTTCGTTGTTTTGTTTTTTTAATAAAGGGAGTAACGATGTGGATTTGTTAACCTTGCCACTCCCTGCAGGTTTTTGTTCTGTGATGTCCGGATCGAGATACCTTATTAAATATTAATAAGACCATTTTTATTACGTGTTGATATTTTCAGGTATTTTCATGCAACTCTACATTATAGCGATGGTTTTCCATTCGTCTTTCGCCACACTTCTTACTGCGGTCGGAATTGTAGTGCGGAAGGATGATCGCAGGGTGATGTATTCCCGGGATTACGGTACCCCCCTGCCATGAGTACTCGAACATAAAGGACACATCTTCCGTGGATTTTATCCTTGCGAAGATCATAATCCCTGCTTTTGTTTTGTAAATTCTTAATTAGGTAGCGTCGGCACTTACCGTGAGTCAGTATGTCAAACGTCTTACTCTAATTAAGGGAGATGTTAGCCCCGAAACTTTATTTTTAAAACGCGAAATGTATGCTGTCCCCCCTCCCCTTCATAATACAGCCTGCATCCCCGTAGAATATTTAAAATGCGATGTTTACGATTTGGTGTTAGCTTCCGACTGGCACAGAGCAAAACAACGTCTGTACAAATTGTGAATTGCTTAGCAACAGCTTTGGTGTAGTAATGATATAAATCCCATGTTGTACACGCTTTCACCGGGCAGAGCGAATGTGTGCTGTACATCGCTTGAAGAAAACTGATAGACGTCGGGTGTGATTAAAACCAACATCTCTGTACTATTTAAATGTTTTTACTTGAGCTGCAACCTCGTTGCCTGACGTTGCCAGACGAAGAAATGCAGAATATTCTAACCGTTCATTCGTGTGAGTAGCATGTAGGTCACATCGCCCCCCCTGTCCAAACACAGTTGTTTCCCGTTATATAGATATGTAAAGGTTCGATTAAAATGAAAAAAAAAAGTGATCTGAAGCAGATCAAGATTACCCGTTTGCGGTAGGAGAGTAGTGTTTCAGAGTAATCTAGTCTCCCGTGACTTTTCCAAGTTCATTTACAATGAGTTTCAAAAGCTAAGCAATGTGTGTGTAGGTGCCTTCATATTCCTGCGCAGGACTTGTAAAAGACATAGTGCCTCTTTAACGGTCTTCAGACCACTATAGCATAAATGCGTGGTGGTGTGTGACGTTAAACATTTTTATACATATATACAAGGCAAGATTTAAATTGTATAAGTAGGTACATTTGTGTGTTGGTATTTCTGTAGTTGTGTATTGCATATAAACCAAGCAAAATTAAACATGGATGTAATATATTTTAAGAAGGGGAACTCCGACGTGCACTAGAGCTGCAGTTTTGTTACTTTCATGTATTTTGTAAATGAACAATTAAACATTGAGTAAGCCATGACCGGACAGTTGTCTTCTTTTCAGATGAAATCCACAGAGAGCTTTTGCATTCCTTTATTATTTATTAGGTCATACAGTTATGTCATGTGTATGCTTGTAGGGGTCTGCAAGAAAAAAAAAGTGCTTTGGCTCGCAAAGTGTATATATACAAACAATACTGTGTCATAGCTGGCACAGGGGTGCAATAATATCATTGCTGTCCTCACAGTCCTGAGGCCCTGGGTTCAGTTCCTGGAGCTGGGGTGCTGTCTGTGTGGAATTTGTATGTTCCCCTCATGTTCACGTGGGTTAACTGCTGGTGCTCTGGTTTCCTGCCACAGTCCAAAGACATGCTGGTAGGGTCACTGGTTTCAGGGAAAATAGGCCCTGTTGTGAGTGTGTGTGTGTGTGTGCCCAGTGATGGACTAGGATCTCACCCAGGGTGTATCCCAAACTGTGGCACAGACTGAAGGGACAGACTGAATTGTGTGCCATTGAAAAGGAGTTAGAACAGATCTCCTGCAGCTATTACTGGAGGTTAAATCAGGATGTATTATATGGTATGTTTCAAAGGATCCATCTTCCTATGTTTGAAGCATCCATGCGCCTGATCTATCTTTAGAATTTATGGTGGATTACACTGGGTATTTGCTTGAAATTTAAAGTACAGAAGGCTCCAGGTTTTGCTGTTGTTTAAGACAAGTGTATTGAATTTCATGTACAATGCATAATCCAAAGTCATGTGTTTAATCAATATTTAAAAGCTATTCTTTGTCTATATTTTTGATCCGGTCAAAATAATTTTCAACAATTAAATGTTTTCATGCTAGTGAAGGTAGCTTGTAGAATTGCCATCAAATAGTGAGCACTGAAAAAAATCAAGTCCTGAATTTTGCCCTTGTGGATATACTTAAGATGCTCTACAACATAATGGCAAAACAGTAATTCACTTACAATAGCTCAGAACCTTAAGTATGTGGAATTTATGTAAAGCAATCTGCATAATATTTGCACGGGTAGTTTCTGTTTGGTTTCTATTACAGCCTAGTGTTTCATCACTAACCGTAAGCATGCATGTGCACAAGCTTTAGAGCATATTACTGCACAGGTGACAGATTATTAACGTATTCTATATTATCTGCAGAAGTGTCATTTATTTAGAAAAGTGCAGGTGCTGTACCTTTTCTGTTATGGATTCTAATGCCAACTCAGTTGACAAAAGTAATTCCCACAGCAATAGAAACAAAAGCACAAACACAGTAGATACTGGAAAACCCTGAACTGAATAGCATCTCAATTAGTGATCAACTATTCGAATGTAACTAATGCATCTTTCTTTTTAGAGTGGCTTTAAAGCTGATCTCGTCAGTTTCCCTTTGGCCAAAAAGCTGGTGCAAATCTTACAAAGATTCTAACTGTAATCTTTTTATCTTGCAGTATTTGTGAACATTTGCAATGTATCTATGTCAGACATCCCCTTTATTTAAATAAAAAAAAACCTGACAATTGTTTTTGTTTCATAACTTCTCCTTGTAAAAGAAGCAAAAGCAACACTAATGAAAATAAATGTTAAGCATGACCTATGTGGCCCCCAGAATACTTTATTCGAAGCTGCATAATTCAAAATATCCTTCACATTTGTACTGTAGATGTACGTTCTTATCAGAGTAACCAGTTCAGGTTATTATTTGACCATTGCCACTCATTTTTCAAATCTGTCAAATCAAAAGACTATGTGACGAGCTTCCTGAGAAGATGAGTATTAGGACTCTACACTGAAAGATTTTTATTTTCCAGTAAAGTTTGATTCCACTGCAAGGAGCCAATTATATAATATATAATAACATTACTTTATTAACCCTTCACAATTTCTTGCATTAGGAAGAAACAGTTTAGGAAAACAGTAAAAGAACATAGTACTTTAAAAAAATAAAATAAATTAATTTATCAGAGACAAATGAAATAATGTGCAGCCTCATTTTAATCAGAAGTTTGAGACTAGTTTGATAAGATATTTCCACCTCTTGTGTGTTAGGTACATTGGTGTGGAGCATAATCTTTCTTCAGAGAAATGCACTAGAAGACTTATGGTATTAGGGTTATGTATCAGTGATGGTTTGCATCACTGTTGGATTTAAGAATTTTCTAATCTCTTGACACAATGACAATTTCCTGGCCTTTGACAGTGGCAAACGTTTGAAGATCATAATGTATCGAGCCCCAAAATAAGCATTGTGATGACAGGATTGTGGTTCTGGTGAAGTTCTGTTTTCTTCTTTCCTGTCTATAAAAATAAATGTTAAAATGTTAAAAAACAGTGAGGTTTGATCAAGATAAGGGATTCAGTTGTAACAGCTTTTACACCACCAACACGCCGGCTCTTTTGACTGAAGGACAACGGTCTTTGTGCCTTGCTCTAACCCTGTGAATTATCCTATATTAATATCTTCAGAAACCTGACTAGAAAAACTATCAGAGCTGTCCGTCTTCCAACGACTTGAAACCAATTGTGAGCAGGCATTTTATTCAAAGTATTACAAATGCATAGAGTGTATTTGCTTCATGCAGTTCTAAATGACTTTAAAGCCTTGCTTGGATTTAATGCATACCACAAGGGTCGCATTGCCATAAACCTTGAGCCCTTAATCCTTCAGTCATTGCAGTAAGGCACTCCAGACCAGCAAGAAGTCTGATCTGTAGCCCTTAGACTAATGAAACACTTCCTGTATGAACCCTGAAAGAGGATTGTGCTGAGTTTATGTATTCATTATTTGGCAGAGTTTTGCATCTTGGACGTGACAGACTAATGCTGCTTTTATTCAAAAATGCTTTCTGTGAGATTAAGATAACTAATGGAATTACTTGTAACAGGACTTTTATCGTTTTTTTCGTCCTTAGTAAGGAATAAAGAAACAAATTGTTGCAAAGTGCAAACGATTTTGAGGATGATTAATAGAGTCCACCTAAAACCTGTGTCTTTTATATATGTTCTGCATTAACTAAATCTTTTGACTGTTGTTTCATCTGTTTTACAGTAACTGGTCTGCATGAATCCATGTTGAGAACATAAGAAAGTTTACAGACAAGAAAAGTCCATTACCTTATTTATCCAAACAATCTCATCTAGATTTTTAGTGAATTAAGCCAAAGTATCTGCTTCAGCCTTGTTCAGTTCCCCCCAACCATCTGGATAAGGTTTTTGGGTTTAAATGAACATTTTCCAAAGCTGGTTTGTACTAATGTCCAATAAAAAACAGAAATAATAGAGGGGTATCATAAAAACATTCCCAAATGTTTAGGTGGCTGTTTGGCCCAGTCAGCTCATTAGGTGGCTAGTAAGTAGCAAATTGATCTAAGGATTTCATTCAAGTTCTTGGGTTATGTACTAGGCCTAGAAATCTGCAAGGGATGCTGCACAGTGTAATTAGGTCTGTGTCATAAGGCACGAGGATTAATACTTGTGTAAATTCTCCTGTTCAACTCTTTGGCACACCAGAATTACTCCTGCACTCCAGTGCCTCAGTATAACATTTTGAAGTTTGTGAAGCTAATAGCTGAATTAGTATCTTTACACTGTACCTGATATGTGAGGCATGATTTCCTTTCCTGGTGGTGCTCATTTGATTTTCAGTGCTGGCCTCCTCTTCCTCTTCCTGTAGCTTTATTAATGACTGCACAGCAAAGCGAGACTGGGTTTCAGATCATGTTGCCTCTTCTGTCAGGGCTCAGAGAGATAGAGTGTTTGCTTCTTGTCAGGACACAATTCTTAGCCTGTGAGCATGTAGAATGCAATAGTAATCCACTTTGTACATAATACATGTAATATTGTGCCAGTAAGTACAGTGAGAAAAAAAGGTGTGAGCACTCCCTCAGTTGGTTTATATTCTCTTATTTTGTCGAACTTAAACATAATTAGACATTCATTAAAGTCTTAAAAGATTAAGATACCCTGATTAAACATATTGAATTATATTAGGGCATACATATTGTTAGATGATTTAATTAACACAGTGATTTAACAGTAAATATGTTTGTGAAATAAGTAATAGGTTTATTCCACGCTGAAAAGAGAAGAAAGAAAACAACGTTTTGGCCGTGGAGCCTTCTTCAGGTGTCACTGTCTTGTTTTCTTTCTTCTCTTTTCAGCGTGGAATAAACCTATCACTTGTTCCTTTGCAGCCTACGCATGCTGACGCTGTCACGGACGTCCAAAGGGACTAACCGTGGGGAGCAGGAGAGCAGAAAAAGACCCATATGCGTAGTGGCGAGACGGGAAAAAGGCCCGGGCTCATTAGTGCAAAGAGTTCAGGAATGCCGTATAGAAACCTATGCCCTCAGGGAGCGGACGTGGGGCGCCCTGGTGCTAGGCGGGTCTCAGGACATCCGAACATCAATGCTGAGCGAGGACAGAGTGCAAGACCCGGAAATATATAGCCCAAGGGAAAGAGAGGGACAGGAAGGACAGCAGACCGGAAACTAGGGACAGGACAGAGAAGGAGCGCCCTCTGGCTGCAGAGGGCGTGACAGACGCAGCTACCCACCTGAACTACTTTGTGTGAATAAGTTTGTAAGCCCTTAGACTCAGTAGCAGGTAGCACCTCCTTGAGCAGCAGTGACTTCAACTAGACATTTCCTGTAACTTTTTATCAGTCTCTCACTTTGGCTTTTATGAATTGTGGCCAATTCTTCCTCGTAGACTGTGACATTTGAAGGTTACCTTGCATGAGCTGCTTTGTTTGGCTCAAACAGTTCAATGGAATTTAAGTAAACACCGGGACTTGTCTGGTCCAAAATGTGAAAGTTCTTCTTCAGTCATTCTGTTGTAGATCTGCTTGTATGTTTAGGATTATTATCTTTCTGCATGAAAGCCTCTTTTGGCTCAGCTTTGGACAAAAATGTTTAGAAATGCTAGTGTGACCCACTCCAGACTGGTTAGCATCATCCACTCTTTTCCTGAGGTCCACTGAAATCCCTTTTGATTGTGGCATGACGTTTCCCCTAAACCGTGCTGTGTACCAAACACATAAAGTTTCTGACCATTCTATGAAACAAGATTGCCAAAACCCAGTCCTTGTTTTCTCGTTATTCAGTCATTTAATCATCTCACTCTAATTAACACTGATTCTTTTTCATTTTTTGTCTACTTCATAGACTTTGAACTAGTACATATATAGCCCTTTCATTATTAAGAAAAGACTGGTATTGATTAAGGAGGCACAGTAGCTTTATTGTTAGCATTGCTGACTTGCTGGGCCCTGGGTTCGATTCCTGTGGTGCTTTCTGCATGGAGTTTATATGATCCCCCTGTGTCCCTGTGTGATTTCCTCCTGCAGTCCAAAAACATGCCAATTGGTTAATTGGCTTCTGGGAAATCTGGCCCTGGCATGTGAGAATGTGCATGTCTGTGTTTGTGTCTTCGTGTGCCTTGTGAGTTTCCCACCTTGTACCCATTGTTTGCAGGGGAGGGCTCCGGCTCCCCCCGCAATCCTATATTGGATAGAGTGGCTAGAGAGTGGATGGGTTACTGTCCAGTAAAATGTGTAAAAGGCAGTGAGAACATCATCTGTTGCAACAACAACAAAAAATAATCAGCACAAATGGGATGTAATGGGAGCTCTGGACAAAGTATAGTCTATTATCTCTTATGAGGTATTCTGTCTTTGACAGTGCTGTTCTTTTTCCTCTGGATGAAAAAAGGTAATCTGTTCTTTACCATTTTAGATCATTTTCTATCCAGGAAAAGCAACCAACAGCTCACCATAATTGCAGTGAAGAAATGATTTGTGTTAAATTGGTCCCTGTTTTGTAACGTTTATAGTAGGAATTCTTTAGCTTTTCGACAGGGTAGGTAAATGTATACCTGTTTGACAAGCCAGACCATTAGGCAAAGTGCTGATGTAATATTCCTATTTTGCATCTGTGTAAATCCCATATGCTTCCCCGAGGGGCTAACCAGGAATGAATATTAACAAAGCAGAACTATTTTTACACCTCTCCAGCTCTTCGTTTCTATTTAGAACCAGAATACTGTGAAAAATCCGAGCTGTCCCATGTACAGTAGCTTCCGATATCTAGCGTCTTTTTAGATATGAGATGGATTCTTAAATGATATACTAAAACAGTTCAGCAGTTAGACTAATCCTAGACATTTTGGCTATGAAAACATTTTTAACAATCTTCTAACCTGAAAAGTCAGAATATCCGTGTCATAGTATAGTATATCCGTGTCAGAAAAATCTACAGATGGCGGAGATGTTGTGGCTTAATCTGGCAGAGGTGATGGGTGTGAATCACTCAGATCCCATCCCAGACTTTCTCATTTTGTCATAACTGTTTTCCTCTCTATTCCCTGTGTCTGATTGCTCACTGCCTCTCTGTAATGCTTTTGAATGTGTTTATTGTTTTGGCCATGTGTTTTTACTGGTGGTCTTATTTTGATATTGTACAAGCATTCTGATCAGCAGTTTGTTTCCAGTGGTGAAGCTGATATACACAGCTTTCCATCCAAAGTTGCTTCCCTGGGTTACGATTTAAGCATGCAGTTGGCTTGTGTATAAGGTTGATCTGCTGGCTCAAGACATTATACTGGAGGCCTCACAATGTGGTGTGAGTTGTGTGCTAGTCTACAATGATCTTTTGTGTTGGTATACAAATGTCATATGCGTTGTGTTCATTTTAGAGAAAGTATAAATGGTTATGCTCACACATACCAAAGTATGCAGTCTTTTATGTTCACCATTCTGATATAAGTATTGCTGCTTAAGATGCAAAGGAAAATGATTAAAGTGACAGACTTAATGCATGGACACATTAGGAGTGTCTGGGGTGACCACAGTTACTTATTTTCGTTGACCTTTGAGAATAATTTTTATTTCAAAGTGTTCACCTTAATATTCTATTCAGATTCTTTGTATGCCAGGCAGCATTAGAGACATTCTTAATTACATTCCTGAAGTAAGAATTGAAGCCATTGCAGTGATTGGCAGTGTACTTCTGGCTTTACATTTCCACTTGTCTGCTTCAGAGAAAGCTAAAAGCTCATTAAAACCTTCCACACCAAATTGTGTTAGCCATTTATTCAATGTATTGAATAAGTATTACTTATTCAACATAAGAAAAGTGAGAATAATAATCATTTGCTAATGAATGATTCTTTGCAAATACATTTTCTGTAGTCAAACATGTGTCCGGTAGTGACTTCAGATTCTGTGTTTCAGTGTGTTGATGATGCACCAAAAAGCAGAGGATAACACTGGAGTATAAAGTGTTGTTTTTTTCAATAAAGTACCACAACATTTTCCTGACAGAACAACACAGGAAATCCATCTCTTCTCTCCAGTCTTAATAAAGGAACACCACAGGCATTCTACAGGATACTAAACTTTAACAACTTCCAATTGGACCTTTTTGGCCGTAATATCAGGATTTTCGGATAGGGATGCACTTGTTTTGCTTTTTAATAGCAATAATATGGTATAATAAGGCAGGAAATAAATGGAAAAAAAGACTGTATTGTAGTATTTTTATGTTGAATATACAAAACAACATCTATGCTGTGGGGTAGGGCTGGGCGATATGACCTCAAATCAATATCACGATAATTTCACACATTTACCTCGATAACGATAAATGAACGATCATTTTTTTAAAACCTTGAAATTATATGATTACATGATATGCTGAAAAATCATGTTTTAAATACGTGAAACTATTACTACTATTAAAGCTTTGTAAATGCCAGGCACGTATCTCTTGTCAGGGGTTTGAACGAGTCTTTTGAAACCACTGTGTTCCACTGTAGCAATGAGGACCATGTAATTCGCTACGTAGTATGTAATGGCTTTAGCTATTGCATTACATCTGCGTGAATCTTTTGCGTATTGAGTGGCATTAGTAAATACTTGTGTTGCAGACAGCTGTTTGGAGGATTCACTTCGGCCATGAGTGAGCTTGTCAGTCGCTCTCTCTTTTTTTGGCCATGCACTCTTCGTATTCCAAGATATGGTTGTGTTTCAAGTCATGAAACAAGTTGCTCGTGTTACATTTGGGCGCAGAAACGGTTTTCAGACAGAGTTTACACCTGACTTATCTTTGTTGAGTATCCTGTTTGCTGAAGCCAAAATATGACCAAACGATCGACACTGCACTTTTTTAGATACCAGCTCGTCTTCATTTGTACTTGAGTCATCCCTGCCTGACTAGGGTTCAGCAAGAGAGCTCAGGTTGCCTCATGCCCGGCACGCTTCTTTGTGTTTTTAATGGAAAACGAAGATTGGACGAGGCAAAAGCATGTGACTGGATATGACAACTGGGTGTTGTAGTTTTTTAAGGGGACCGCTCGTGAAAGCGCACAGTGGGGAAAGCTTTTACCGAACATGCCGACATAAGCAAAATTAGGTCGGTGAGAGATTCTTAACGTCGGTATCGATTTTCGATATATCGCCCAGTCCTGCTGTGGAGTAAGATTGGGAGTAATGTAAGTCAGAACTCTAGAAACAGAGCCAAGCTTTAATTTTTGGTGAAAGTGTGAAAGTGCTTTGTAAATAAACACCCTTTGTAAATAAACACCCTGATGTACAGTAGGAAGTCCTTCTTCCTACTGTACATCAGAAGACTTTCCTCAAAGATCCCATCTGCTGTAACTGGTGATCCTAATTTGTCATGCACATTAAGAACAGTATCTTGCCATTACTGTTATGTTTTTTTTTAAATAATGTTCTACTATCTTTGCAGTGCAGGATGGGGAACATTTTGCCCATTTTCCACAGGTAAATTGCTCCAGTTCTCATAAGTTTGTAGTCCCTAATGGACTGCAATTTTTAAGTTTCTCCACAGATATTCAATAGGATTCAAGTCAATACTTTGAAGAGCATTAATTTTCTTATTCTTAAGTCACTCCAGTGTAACTTTGACCTTGAGCTTTAGATCATTGTACTGCTGAAAGATTATTTTTTGTCCCAGTTTTAGGTCTGAATTTACAGTATTAAATTTACACATTTACAGTATTACCTAAATGCTATATCGCAGACTCCATGCAGGAGTTGAGATAGGCTTTCCATTCTGCCACACAACAAGAGTTTTTGGTGCAACCAAGATATTATTGACTCGTGTACATTTTCTCCAATCTCATGCATCTCATACACAACTCTTTCAAAGACATTGTTGGTCTTATCTCTAAGCTGTTTCCTCCTTGCCTGGGTGCCCAGTTTGGAGAGACAGACTGATCAGTGTCTTGGGTCCTTCTTAATGATCAGCTTCACTAATTGTGTGGATTCCAACTGATTGTATGGCTCAATAAGGTCATTTTGTGAATTTAAATGAATTTATGTTTGTGCCACAGCACAGATTTTGGATACTTACAAAAAATATTTTTACATTCCATATTAATTAGCTGTTTGCATCTTTATGTTTTGTTGTTGCTTTGAATGTGTCTTCTACTTTGAGTGGAGTCGGTTGTGTACTCTATATAACAAATTTGAATTGCTTCTTCTAAGTGTCATGGTGTCACTTTGAGTGTCAAAGTGTCTTAATGAAAACATTAAGGCAACAAAATGTCAAAATTTGTTCAAGGATCTGAATACTTTTGTAGAGCACTGTATATACACTAATATGATGGTATTCAATTTTAGTCAAGGGGTAACAAAATGTCTGTGCTTTGAACTTATCATATAGTTAAATGACTATCTGTTGCCAATAGTTGCCATGTTCAGGGCCTATATTTAAATTTAGGAATAAATCACAGTTATAATCAACCTTTCTTTTACTTTGAGTGTACTTGTTTCAGAGCTACACTCTAAACCAATCCTGTCAATGTAGTGAGACTCTCTGAGGAAGTGAGTGATCTAGCTGAAAGCCTAAGTTTGCAGCCAGACAAGGTAACATTAGAATAAAATGTCGGCAACGTGCAGCTCCATAGTGCTTGGGGCCCTACTCTTTCCAGCATCACAGAATATTTCCTTGCTGTCACATTCTAATTAGTCCTTTTTACTTGGACGTGCCAATTATTTTTCTTCACCATATTAACACCCAAGGTTTAGGATTCAGCAAGTGTTAATCAAATTAGCTTACTCCTACAGCCCTCATATTTGTGTGGGAGAAGTGTAGAATATAGACCTTGCATGTGTCTTCTGAAGTGTGTAGTGTCAGGCTAGCTGCTTCTGCCTACTCTGCAAATCCCACCACATCGATTGCAGAGTTAAATATTGTAGGCTGGTGCAGTCTGATGAGTGATCCACATGCTCACAGGTGTCTGACCATTTGCTAATGTATGTGGGACACCCTGGTTTGGCATTACGCAGGCGTGTGTGACGTGTTCAGTGTGGAGGCGGAGTGCTCCACCTCCACACTGAACACATCCTACGTAATGCCACATAGGACAGGAGAGGACAAAAAAACCTCCCCAAAAAACAAAAAGATGGCCTTGTGCTCTTTCTTCACAATTCCCTACAGGACTGTAATGTCTCCCCTTGTTGGAGATCTTGTAATCTTCTCCCCTTGCGGGTGTCCAGGTCTAGAGTCCTGCTAGCTGGTCCCTCCGGGGAAGTGTTCAGTGTGTGAGAAATGTGGGTTACACTCAGCAAGTGAAGTAGTCTAGATTTGAAAGAACTACCTTTGGACTACATGTTGGATGTGAAGCTTTCCTCTTCAAGTGTAAAGAAACTCAGGCTAAGGTGAAACACAAAATAGAAGACACTGGCATCCTCAGGACCAAAATTTTCAAGTTTCAAGTCCTATCAGTTACACATTTTAGATTTTCACAGACTTGGGCCCAAAACCACTTTGCATTATTAATGGCAGCTATAAAAATAAAAGGCCCGTGAAAGAGGTTCTCAATCCATAACTGAGACATGTACTGTAGTTCAATAAAAATATTTGATTTATACTAACAGCAAATACTGTATCTTGAAACTACATGATATTGCATGATAGTGCAATTAATTTCAGCATGTCAGAAATTACAAAGAAATGTTTGCTCTTCAGAAATAATGAATCTTCTTAACTAGTGAACTAAATTATTGAACTTTTCTTAGGTGTGCTAGATCATTTTCAATGGTGCCTTGATAGATAAGACCTGAAAGGAGATTTCAGCTGCTAATAAAATTGTGGGAAGTCTTTTCAGCTGCTCGGTGCTGACTAACCTAAAATATTGACTTACAAATCGTAGCTTTCAATCTCATCTCCTTCTTTGCCTTTATAATACTGGTAAATTGCCTTTTTCATCTCAAAGCAAAGGATGCATAGACAACTTCGTTTTAAAAACATCAGGGACAGGCCACTAGAGATACAGTTGACTTATTCACTCAGTGTTGATACAGCTTTTAATTTTATTTTGAAATCTCTAAATACTTGTTTTCAATAAAAGTACTGGAACTACCTAGACAAAAACTGAGAATAAAGAACTGAGAAATAACTGAGAAGTAAATTTGTGGTGTGTGTGTTTTACACACCATCAGAATACACATTAATAACTACAAAAAATAATATTAACACTTACTTCCATGCTGGTTAGATGCACTAATGGGTCCGTCTGAGCAGTTCCCTCATGCACTGTAAAAGGAAAGATGGGAGATAATCTTTTTTAGAGTTTTCATGTAAATCATATGACTGTGTAGAATTTGCATGAAATAGTTTTCTCTCACGTGCACACCTAAGTCATCTTAACTGTGTGACCACAAAGTGTAAATAGATGCACGAGTATTTTGTAGCTCTTCTCACCTAAAAGTGATGCAAGACCTTCTACAAATGGTAACCTCGTAAAAAATAGGCCTTCACTGTGATTTTTTTTTTATTTTGTGAGAAATTGTAGAACCATTCATTATCAGAAAGCCACTTTTCCTAGTGAGTGTCATGGTCAGCCTGTCAGAGAATCACAGACAGACAGAGCCTGTCCTGGAGTGATGGGACACATGATAGGACTGAGGGCTCAAGACAGTCCTCCCCCTGGGAGCCCATCAAACTTAGACCGGATGTACATGGGTGCATGAACCAACCAGAACACCAGATGAAAACCTGTGTTTTTAGTGTTTTTTCTTACACAAAACACAGCTGAATTGGTAAAATGTCAAAGAATATAAACAATGGTATATATATTTACTCTAGGAATAAGAGTTCAGCATACAATAACAACAGCCTATCTCTTATATAAGAAATACGACTTGCAGAATGGCCATTTACTGTATGTGCTGAAGATATTAGATATTTGTTTTGTCGTAATAGTCTCATATTCTGTAAATAAGGTATAACTAGTAAATTAGGTAGACCTGTTTTGATAACACAGAATGCATTTTCCAGAAAATCACATAGCCCTGAATGGTCTTCGAAGTATAGATCATCATATTTCTTCAGCAAATCACTCAAAATCACAATCACCAATCCAAATGGCCTCCATTACAGGCTAAGGTTGTTTTTGTATTATGTCAAAAAAATTGTTTAATTTACTTCATTGTGTTTAAGTCACTGCATCTTTTAATACATTATCAATGAGCCAAAGAACAGTCATTTTAAGGTGATATCTTAACTGTGAGTAAGCCCAAAAACAGTAATAATAATAATAATAATAATAATAATAATAATAATAATAAATACCAGTAGTAGATTCCAGACAGTCCATCAGAAATTGTAAAGCACAAGGGACAGACTTTAAATAGACTGAACTTAATCACGAGTGTATGTGCTAAAAGGTGGTTATTTCAGTCCTGTTTGTAATGTTTTCAAAAGACACTACACAGTAAATGGAGAGCTTTAATATGTGCCAAAGGTCTCTTTTAGACTCAGTGTTTGTATGGAAGTGCTTCTAAAAGCTTGTTTGTTCAAAATGTGATAAGAAACTTCTCCTGAGCAACTCCTTTCAGCAACTGGTGATCTTTCGAAGTACTGTACATGGCCCAAATATTGAGATCAGCTCAGTGTGCAGCCCCTCATTTTGCTGAGGATTCAGCTGCTGGGCTAAAGATCTGGTTAAATAAAATTTAATTTAATAAAATAGGTTTTGTGGTTCTGGATAGTGTAGTCTGGAGCTTCACTGTTGATCACTTGACAGCTGTGTTGAAATAGGCCAGCATGCACAGATGGCATTACACAGGGAGTTGAAGTCTGAATTGAGCATTTGACCATTCATACTTCCCATAATTACAAATAAGGAAAGTTTAAAGAATGAAAATGAGAATCCATTTAATGCAGCACTGCTTTTTGTTAGTGTTCTTAAACAACTGTTTGATTAAGGGTGGATTATAAACTGAAGTGGATGTTAGCAATCTCATGTGCTGCTGAGAGGTCTCTTGTATTTAGGCAGTTTATTTTTCTAGAGCAGTTGGTTCAGAGTTGCAAGTCTGTACCCATAATTTAATTTTAAATCTGTGTAATTTATTAGAGCAGATTGTGGGAGATCTTGAAAAGAGCACTGTCTATTCAACCTACCAAAGCCAAGAGAAGGTATACACTACATTATTATATTTTTCAATTAATAATAAACTATTATTTGACTTGCTTTACAAGACGTACATTTAACTGTTACATATACAGTTATACAGTCAATGAAAATCATTCCTGTGCTTTTCTTCTCATAAATATACTATCTCTATTTCATGTGTTGTAAATGCACTGTTTAAAACTTGCTAAGTATCATAAGACATTTAATTTATATTCTTGACTTGTAAACCAATGTAGTATTTATTTGACCCAGTTTTATTATTTATGTATTTTACTCGAGATAATACAAGCACAGATTTCAAAGTCACAAATCAGAATGGCAACCTTCAGAAATCTTGACTCCTGATATTTTCCAGGAAATAAAACCTGTGGCCATTCTGATTTGTGTTTTTGAAATATGTGCTGGTATTATTTTGAGATCCTATCTTTACAGAAGTGCTCCTTGATTTTTACACTTATTGTTAGGAAGCATTTAGTGTCCCAGAAAGCTTAGAGCAATTTACTTTTTGATTATTAGGGTAATAACCCCGAATGGAAAAAGCAAACTAACCAGGAGCCATTAATTCTGAATTTTACGCCAACTTGTCACTATGGTCACTAATAAATGCTGTTGAAGAATAACGTATGCAGGAGAGATTTTTTTTTGTGTTACAGAAAGTAAATATCACACTTTATTTTTATAGTATAATAAATATTTATTTTAAATGGGAAAGGTTTGTTTGTGCATTGAAAGAAGGGTCTCCATTCTCTCTGCTCATCTGAGCCCAAACCTGTGTGGTGAAGACCAGACTTTGGTAGTGAAGACTCGGGTTTATGTTTTTGAAATAGTGCAGGGCCACCCAAACTCACACCTGATTGTCATCCCATTGATTGACACTCCTGACTCTATTTATCCCCTTACCTGAACCTAGAGGTTCACTTACTTTTTCCGACTCAGATATTTAATGTTGGATCATTTTGATCAATAAATTAATGAAAAAGTATATCCTTTTGTGTGTTGTTTGTTTTATTGGGTTCTCTTTAGCTATGTTTATGACTTAGATGAAAATGTGATCACATTTTAGGTCCTATTTATGCAGAAATTCAGAAAATTCGAAAGGGTTCACAAACCCACAAAAGGGTTCTTTCTAGCACCACTGTACATGTCCATTAATGGAGCATAATAGAGGAAAATACAATAAACCAGAATACCTGAATTTGGCTTTTTTTCTAAGAAGCTGTGATTATCCTGTGTTTTGTTACTTCATTTAGTTCATTTTAAAATGGTTTTTTTTTTTCCAAAACAACATGAATCTTTATTTGGACTGTCATATTGATTGTACTTTTCATCGATCAATGGCTCATTTTGTATGTTTTGACATAACCTTCTCTAGAAGAATGAATAATATGAGACATAAAGCTTTATTATAGAAATCCTAATATAAATCTTGTTTTCAAGATATTTGGTATTCAGGTATTTATTCTTAAGACAGATAATGTTTTTGGTATGAAAACAAAAAGGTGAATGTTTTAATTTTTGTATGGGAAAATTTTACCAAAGTTGGAATGTACCATATATACAGTAAAACAAAGCAAATATCCTTGTCACATTGCAGATATTAAGCACAGCAGATACTGTATTTATTCATATAAAATCAGTCACATGATTGTGAATTGTCCACATACAATCCTTGAATCTTTGCCAATGAAATTGTTTTTCAGGAAACGTTTGAATGGTTAATTACATCTGATAGGCTTGTGCTGGGGTGGCACAGTGGAGCAGTGATCAGCTTTGCTCTCTTGTAGTACTGGGGCCCTGGGATTCAGTTCCAGACCTCAGGGGCCCTCTTTGTGGGGTTGGTATGTCCTCCACATGTTCACAAGGGGTTTCTCTGCCTGTTCCCGTTCCCTCCAGCAGTCCAAAGACATACTTGTAGGTTAACTGGCTTCTGGGAAAACTGGCCTTGGTGTGAGTGTGTGCGTGTCTGTGTCTGTGTGTGCCCTGTAATGGAAGTACGTCCTCTCCAGGGTTACCCTGCCTTGTGCCCATTGCAAGCTGCCCATTGAAGCTGTGGCAGGTCTCCATCTTGTATTAATCTACACCCTCTCACTGCTTTTTGCACTGAACATGTTTCACTGTACCCCCCTCTCAAGATAGCTTGCTTTGGGCCATGTGGAACTTGGGTCAAAAATCAGGAGAGGTTCAAAGTAACAGACTATTCCATTTTCTCCAAACCTGTTTTGAGAAACAAAGAGGAGAAGCTGCTGTCAAATTAGTGTCTTTAAAACATATACTCAAATACAATTTAATAAGTCTTATATCGTAAGCTAAGTAATCCTAAAAACATATAGAAGTTAAAATTAAATAAAATTTCATTATATACACCAATTATTGTTGTCAGAAACATCAGTTTATCATTTTAGAATTCCTTGACGTGTATTTTTCTTTTTGAACTGTGTTTAGGATCTTTTAACAGTAGCAGGAAAAAAATTTAATACATATTTTTGCTTGACATTTCTTGTTTTTCAAAATATATCTATTTCTTTTGGTTTACAGGTCATGCACCGACACAGGTGATAATGCATAAGGTTGCGCAAGCTGCCGTTTATTAGGAAGAAGGAAGCAAAGACCTGCTGAAATGAATAAGCAATGTCCTCGATCAAGCATTACCTCATTCTTGGACATTCTCCTGCTCGTGCATTAGCTGCATTCAAGATGCCTGCCCTCACAGCAGCAGAATACAAGCCGTGAAATGCTGTAAAATCCACCTCCAGTTACAGACGCATAAATTTACCCCTCCACCCCATCCCTCAACCCCCTCCCTGCATTGTGCTCATGTCAGTTCAGCTTGATGAACTTCTACTAGATCATGAAGAGGCCCAAGCAACATCAGCATCTCAGCTTCTTCAGCTTCTTCAGCCGGAAGCCCAAATCCGACTCCAGACCAGACCGGCCTCCAGGCAGAGAAGAGAGAGATTCCTCCAAGGGCCGGGAGGAGATCGCCATCACCCTGACACCAAGCGAGCATGGAGACCTGGTAGGGGAACCATACAATATAGAGAGCATCCGCTCCATTCCTTTCGGAGCATGTATCACAAACTACGAGTGTCTCTTAACTGAGTTTCCACTTATTCAGGAGCATCATATCAAATCTGAGTTGTTCCTGTAGCTTCTGCAGCTGTTCACATGACTCCAGTTTCTATTACTCTTCACTTACTGTATCTTCAGTTTATTATCTATTTTGTCCTGTTCCACTGCAAAAGACATTCTGTAAATGGTGATAAGAGTATTAATGGTTTGTAAGCACGCCCCAAAATCTTTACCTAGTACTAATTCGTTTCTCCCTTTCACTCCTTCCCAATGAACTTAATGTGGCAATAATACAAGATATATTTACTTGGCACTTGACTGTATTCTAGATGTTACTGTATATATTATTTTTCTATAGAGGTTAGAGTGGGTAGCAATTGTATGTCAGCATGTGGGCCACAAAGGTACAAGTACAGGTTGGTCACATGCTGAATAGTATGTGAAGAGAACACATTTTCGACTGCTTTGCCTTCTCCGGGAAGCTCATCTTGCTTCTCAGCGTGGAATTAACTCTTACTCGCTGCATATTTTTTTCTAAGCCATTCTGTCAATGTGAATTTATCTCATGAGAAGAAGGGCAAATCGGCTTCTAAGACAGAGCAGTGTGGCTAGCAGCAAGGATCTGAATCTCTCAGTAAATTGAATGAACACATTTGACAGGTTGGTACTGGAAAACTATTGGTGCTGTCAAGGTATACTTTTGAAAGCAGCCAATACTAGTAGAGGAGTGAAGGATGCAGTCTATGCCCCAAGGTAACACATGTTAGAAATGCGTTCACTCATGTTCACGGACCTGTACGTTTGCTCTAGGACCAGGGTGTTGTTGGAGAAGGAGGAGGGGGAGGCGGTGGCGGTCATACAGGAGGGACCGGCCTCTCCTCAGCCTCTTCCAGTCACGAGCAGCTGCTGGACCACTTGGAGTGCCCCCTGTGCCTTCTCAGCCAACCACGATGCCACTTTCCACGGCTCTCCTCCTGCCCCCACCGCGCCTGCTCTGACTGCCTGCGGCAGTACCTGCGCATCGAGATCACGGAGAGTCGCGTCTGCATCGCCTGCCCGCAGTGCCCTGAGATCCTGGCCGCCCCCGACGTCCGCACCATTCTGGACGACCAGGCCCTGCTGGAACGGTTTGAGGAGTACCAGCTGCGGAGGTTCCTGGCGGCTGACCCGGACACCCGCTGGTGCCCAGCGCCCGACTGCAGGTGAGCAGGAGCTGCTGGTCGGCGGCACTGTAGAGGATTAAGAGCAGAAGTCAGTCCTGGGAACTCTGGGGCCTGGAGATGGTTTTTATTGTGCCCTAAACTTGAAACCGTTGCAGAAAATAAATTGGGATATCAGTGCCATTTTTTCGGATGGATTCATAAAAAAGACGTTCAATTTCTGTATTTCTTTTTCTGACAGACCAAAAGTGGAGTAAATGTGGAGGGTGTCAAGTAAGTCTTTCAGGAGAAAGTCTTTTAGGATATTTTTTCACAGCCTTTGCTCAGTGGAGTTTCGGAGAACTGGTGTCTGTGCTTTATTTTTGGGATCTGTTATGTTTTTTCTCAGTGAGTAGCAGTTGATGCTGTGCCTTTCCTCATGCATGTTGAACCATAACTGTAACTGACATGCTTCTCATGAAAAGTGTGTAACATCTGCTTTGTTCTATTTTCATGCATTGTTTTGTTTGTTCTGTGACTCTCGTTTGTTATTTCTGATTATCGGCCATGGTAAATTCATTTTCTAGCATACATTGTTCATGAAAACATTTTGAAAGACTCTACACTGTTTGTCTCGGTGAAAGTAGTAGTGCTTCTCTATAGTATTACCCTGCTACTTTGATCTTCCAATGTAAACCTGTTTCTCTATTGTACTGTCACACACTCTTAAACCCACTGACCTGACCAAACCATGTATTTTGATGCTAATGTGGACACACAATCTAAACAACTCATCTGTTGATTTGCCACCTTGAAGCCCCGATGTGATTTATTTTCCAGTAAATATATGAGTATTCCACTCTTACTTGATTATTTGACCATGCTCTTTTGAAAACATAAGATACAACGAATACATTACTTCCAGCTACTGTTCTTTTAATCTTACATTAATTAGGCCAGCCTTAAAATATCATAAGCTTTTATTTTATGTTATGAACATTCACTGGACAAATCTGCCCTGCGAAAGACTGACAACTTGTCCAGGCTGTACCCTAATGTGTGCCCATAGCTTGTTGGGATAGACTCCAGCTTCCCGTCGACCCTGAATTGGAAGAAGCGGTTTGAAAATGGATGGAAGACTTTCATAGGACAGATTAATTGTTTTCACAGTGTTATCCTTCTATGTAAAGCGAACAGCTTCAGCACATTTTTAGAGTGGTTTCACAGTGCTGTGCAGATTACTGTGGGATTCTTCCAGTTTGTATGTAAGAGGAGTCTATTTTAGAGCAGACCATCATCAGTAGACTGGTAGGCGGTTGATGGTGGTAATGTACGGTCTTTTTGTATGTGTTTATGTGTTGTGTTTAGGCTGGGTAAATGGGGTTCTTATACCATGGGAACATCTCCAAGGAACATCAGGATCCACCCTGAAACTTTATTGTAAAGGTCCCAAATGACCATCCTAAAGCAGGAAACTACTACAGTCCTCTTAATTCAAAATTCACAAATCCATTAGCTGTTTTCAGCTTTCTCAAGTCGTGCTGTATTTACCATTTCGCTCGAATCATTCATTTGATGAGGGATTCGGATCTATGAGCTGCTAAAATCCTGACAAAAGCGATGAAGCGATTGACCGCCTCTTTTTCTATTCACATGCTCTGTGCCTCTGCTTATGCTCCTTATTTACATCCTTCCTCACCACCATATTCTTCTTTTTCTTTCTCGAACTCAATTCAATTTTAAATTAATCTAATTAAACTTTAATTTAAATTCCACTTTGCAATCAATGTAATAACTGGCAGGCTTACCCAGCATATAGAAATGGAAGATCACTGGGTGGAAGGATGTCTTAAAGGGTGTTTCCAGCAGTTTTCCTGCGTTCTTAGTGGCCCGTGTGTGTGTCTCAGTTACGCAGTGATCGCCTACGGGTGTGCCGAGTGTCCCAAGCTAAGCTGCGGCCGGGAGGGCTGTGACACGGAGTTCTGCTACCACTGCAGGCAGCTGTGGCACCCCGACCAGACGTGCGACCAGGCCCGTCGGCAGAGGGCCCGCAACACCTCTGGGAACAACAGCGCTTCAACCCTGCTCATCTTCAGCGAGGAACCGGGCAGCGGTACTTTCCGTTTTCCGTTACCGTTGTGGCAGGAAACGAGCCACGAGACTAACGTGTTGTGACTTCCCCCGCGGCGTGTCATGGATTTTAAACGATGAAACTTGTCATAGGCTTCTCAGAGACACTTGTCCTTATTCCTTAGGGGGGAATGTCATGTCATGTCATGTCATGTACTGTGCAGTAGCATTTTAATCGATGACTTGTACAGCCTGCAGCCTGTAGCTCGTGAATCTGTTCTGTGTGATCTGAGGTTACAAAGCCCTTAGCTGGAATGAGGCAGGGTGAAGTGAATGCCCCCTTTTAATCTATTAATTTTGGATTTAAAATTTTTTTAGTGCGTTAAATAAAAATGTGTTAATTATTGTTGTGTGCTAGGGGTCTGGAAATACCTTTGTTAATTAGCGATCATCATTTTAAAAAGGGATGTCCCCCTCTCCAGGCACTGGTATGGCTAAAATTGGCTAGATAAAGTAGGTATTGCGGTGTATGTACAGTACAGCAGCAGTGATATCTAGATATCTTTGTTTGCTTTAAAGCTTGCAGTCATGGCATGTGGAACTAGCACTTCACCCTGACTCAACTCCATACTGTATATAAAAAAATAATTAATATGAAAGAAAAATGGAAACGTCATGTTTGCGTAAGTATTGAACCCTTTGCTGTGGTAACATGCACATAATTACCTTAACAAACAACACAGTTAGTTGAGCGGCCTCTGTCTGTGTGCAGTAACAGTAGTTCTCATTATTTCAGAATACAGACACCTGTATCTACAATATGAGGTTCCTTGGACAGGCAGTGTAATATAAGCAGAGACAACCATTAACACTAAGGAGTTTCCAAAGCAAGTAAGGGATAAAATCATTGTCAATTAATGATCAAGCCGCTACCTCCAAACAAAGGAAGCAGGCAAGCAGCACACCTTCTAACGTCTGAAGGCACGCCACTTTGCTGTGGCACAGTGGTTGAATAGTACTGCACTGTGGTATGAGATAGAGCAAAAAGCAAAAAAGAGAGGAGTCAGAGTTTTTCTGCAGCAGGTCTGCCTACCTTCTGAGTTTAAAAAATGCTTCGATGGGACCACCCACCCCAGCATGCAAAGCCCTCCCCCTAGAACATATTAGCCACATCCCAATAAATAAAAAAAAACCCCAGCCCTGTTCTGCAGTCAACAAAATAATTTATCTTAAGTTCAAACATTCAGGGTGCATATTATCAAAAGCACCCTGTACCTATCATTAATCTTGTGATATAAAATATGCTGTTTCATAGGTGCAGTTCTTGTCCCTACAACGAATCAGTTTTCAACGTACAGTATATTGATGTCGCACTTCATAGTGCCTTGCTTTGTTATACTGGTCTGAGTGTCACAACTCTGTTGTTGCAGAGGTTGAAGAGATCAAAGCCTGCCCACGGTGTGGAGCGTACATCATGAAGACGAATGATGGAAGCTGTAACAGAATGAACTGCACAGTGTGTGCCTGCCAGTTCTGCTGGCTTTGCATGAAAGAGATCACTGACGTGCACTACCTCAGGTATTTCAATGCATACACAACTTTTAGCACAGTATGTACTGTACTAGTACCAGACAACACTGCTTTGAAGTAATGCTTTTTGTAATCACGTCTGAAGCACAATTCCACTTCCAGAATTGAGTTGGTGTCTTTTTGGGGAGCATCTTAAAAGCAGTGCAAGCAGAGTGGTACAGTTTGAACAAGAAGAAACAGAAAAAATGTAACTGTTTTGAGTGTTATGGAGTAAGTGCATCATCAGATAATAAAAAGGTCTACAGAATAAAAAGGTCCACTGTATGACAACTACATGCGCTGCTGTTGCAGTTGTTTGCAGGCTTATGACTGGTATGCACAACTGTTGTCTGCAAGTTATAAATTGTACTTCCATGTGCACAACTCAGGGTGTTTTGCAACTAAAATGAAACTTAGAATGCAGTGGGAGGAAAAACAAATCTTTGTAATTACATTTTTTACATATTATTTTAGCATTCAGATACAATGATCATCCAGATCAGTTTTCAAACTTCTGTCTAAGCGTTATTTATATAATAAAAATGTAATATTTATTTCCACACGTGTTTCTCAGAAATGCTGATCTTCTGGTGTTACGTCCCAGTGTGGTCCGTGTGTTTGTTTTATGTTCCACACTTCCTGACTTTGGTTGTTCTCCCTTCCCATTGGTTAATTAATTCATCCATCTTTGCCGTTGTGACATCATTATCAATCAACTCTCGACCAGTCAGAACTTTCTGAATGAAAGGGCCTTTCGTTTGACTTCAGTCCCGCTTGGTTTTGCTTTGCTTCATTTCACTTTTGGTTTTTGCTTCGGCTTTGTTGGTTTGTTATTCTGCTTTGTGTGTGTATTTTCGTATAGCTTTGGCTTTTGTTAGTTTCTGTTTTCTCTTTGTACTTTCCTTTGTATGTGTTTATCGTTTATTTTGCCATTACCTTGCCCAAACTTGTTCTCTGTTCAACTTCTGTGTTCCTTTGTACCCGGTTACTTGTGTCTACTCTCGTTTGTATTCATAGTTCACTTGTGTATTTGTATGAACTCTTGTGTATTGGGTTAGTTTAGGTTGTTGGGTACACTTTACACACGTACTGTAGTTGATTTTTGTATTAGTCACACTAGTTTAGTACGGGTGAGTGCCGTTTGTCTTGTATGGTTTTGGGTAGTCAGTGGAGGTTAGCTAGGGTGTTTGAAGACGCTGAAGACCGTGTGTTTCGGGTTTTCTTTTGTAGTTAGGTCAGCTTCCCCTCACTTTCTTAGCCAGTTCCATTTTATTTGTTGTTTTCTTTTCTTTGGCACCACTCTAGTTTTTTTTTTACAGTGTGTTATTGTGTCCTATTATGTACCAGTCGCTTATTCACCTTAAAATAATCACTTTTGCACCAACACTTGTTATCACGCTTCCTAAGTCCCTCACCAGAACCCACCTGCATCCAAAAACTAAATGTTACACCCCTTTACCCCTAGACACTTGGGGTCGTAACATCTGGCTAAAAGTTAGAACGGACTCTGTAAAGGGAAAATGCCATCATGTAATACTTAATGCTTTTGGAGCTCTCTCTCTTGAGAACCAAATATGGTATATCAGCGTGCTTTAAACAGAGGACCTTAAATAAATCCTGGTCATTCTTGTCTGGATTCTTGATCTACTGACATCAAGCAGTTCTGATGAGGTTTTGTTCCTGGGAGACATGAAGCCCTGCCAGGGACCCAAGCTCCCCAAAATGATCATATATTTACATCCCTATTGATTTTTAAAATACATACAGTAAGTGTTAAAATTAGTTTGGTCTCATTTCTGTTTGTTTTGGTTGGACTAAATATGATTCGACTTTCTAATAGTACTTGATTGATAATAAAATGAAAAAATTGGTATCTGTAAATAAAATATGATGCATTATTCTTGGTTAGAAATTTGAATTAAGATATTAAAAGATCATTTCTATGTACGCTGATGTATGACCTGTCTTGCTCTACTTTGAACATATTTTTTTGTCTGTAACCACGAGGTACATTTGAAAAGTTCACAGTAACACATACAGTTGAAATGTATGCTTGTGTTAGTTTTCAAGTGATGAAAACCTCACAATAAGCTAGCAATCTTTAAAAAAAGATTATGGCTTTAACCTTGGAAAGGGAAACATCCCTTTCATACAACAAAAAAAGTACATTGTGTGTATAATGCACTTGCAATAGTCAATTACAGGCAATTTTTGTTTTGAAATTACAGTTCTGTATCTTTTCTGTTGTTCCTAAATATATATCAGAAATTGTGTTGGAAGAAAATAAATATACATATGCTATTTCAGATAAGAGATCTCCTTTTTTTGCCCCATTATTTGCACTGTTACTGTATGTGAGTCAGTGGGAGTCCATTGCATATAGTGTCACTGGGCCACTTTCCATGCTAGCAAAAATCCATCCATTCTCTCTGACTGCATGCAGTCATGTGAATGCCACTGTTTGCCCAGCATTAGCTTACAGCACTGTGTTTTTTCAATGAAGAAGATCTAAACTGATGTCTTAGTTTTATGAAGCACTTTGAAGAAGTCTTTATCACTCTGACCCCTTAGGACTAGAGTTAAAATGGTCTCCCACTGTGGGTTTCTGGTGTTTTTAGAAATGATGAATAACGCCGTATTAATGATACCAGGACAGATCACTGCAGGAACTCCTTTACAAAGATATATGCTTAGATCTCAAAATGGTTATCTTTGAGCTATAATAACTTTATCTCAGTGGTTTATGAATGACCTTAATCAGTCTGTAGAAGGCAGAGGGCAGAATTGGAAAGGAGCTGAAGGAGAACGTAAATCTCTGTACAGTAATGGTGGTGATCTGGGGTGAGATTATATGACCGTTTTGTTTTAGTAAACATCCAATTGATAAAGTCAGCCAGCAAGTTTGTTGCACAAAAGGTCATGTTCTTTATGCTCAGTTGATTTCATATTATTCTTTGTCTGTGCAGTAGCTTTCATGGTATTAAGTGCTAATCTCCTACATTAATACTGTATGCAGTATATTCACAATCTCCTCCATCCTCTTTTCCAGTCCCTCTGGTTGCACTTTCTGGGGGAAGAAACCCTGGTCTCAAACAAGGAAGGTACTTTGGCAGGTGGGCATGCTCCTGGGAGCTCCAGTGGTAATTTCTCTCATCGCCGGCATTGCAATCCCAGTAATCATAGTTGGGATACCAATCTACATGGGACGGAAGGTATTGCTCTGTTATTTGCTATGCTTTTCACAATGGGCTTCCTATTGAGTATCGGTATTTGTCAGCTCTCAGAACTTAAGGGCGGCTAGTCCAGCTTAATGCTAGGAGGGGAGACCCTTAAAGAAACCCAGTTTGCTGCTGGAAGGGGTATTGGTGGACCAATTGGCACTCTTTCCTCTGGAACAATAATTCCAAACAGGCGCTCCAGTATGACGTCCAGTGCTGTACAAGGTGAAACCCTTCAAGTAAGGTGTTAAATCAAGGTACCACCTACTTGGTCACTTAATATCTCATGGGACTGTTCGGAAGAGCAGGGGTGTTATTCCTGGTGTTCTGGCTAAAGTGCACTCTGGGACAGTCTGGTCTTTGTAAAGTTCCCAGTTCACTTTCTCATTTATCTGTCTGATCTGCGGTGTAGAGGGACTGCTGGGACATAATGAGTGCTTGACATCACCCATGTGGGTGATGAAGTGGGTCCCCTCCACCTATTCAATTCTTTGGGATCTTTTGGGATGAAGTGTATATATACACTATATAAACGCAAGGATTTATTATTATTTGCATCCTTAAATTTTTTACTGCCATGTTTAATGATACTGTATACGTATATTCCACCCTAGTAATAGATAATTACTATGATAACATGATTATAAATAAAACATAGTAACTACTGTTGAAAACAAAATGTAACTATCTCTCCACTGTACACACATACAGAGCGGTTATATAATTGTGCAGTCACCTCTGAAGCAATAGCAATAAATAACTGCTTATCCTCATGTGTAAAGGACAACGAGGAAGAAATCACTACTTACCGAGATGCAAAAAAAAAGGTTATCCTAAGGTGTTTGTGGACACACATTCATATAATATTAGAATGTTATTACTATTTTATTTGGCTGTTGCTTTTATTTAGACTGTCTTACAGTTGTACCCATTTATACATCTGGGTATTTAACTGGAACAATTAAGGTGAAGTTCCTTTAGGTTTCAAGGGGACAACAGCACTTGAACCCAGCCCAACCCACCCTATCTTGAACCCAAATATTCCAGTTAAAATCCTAGAAACCCTAAGTACTGGTTTACACACTATATATAGTATAACATAAAACAAAACAGAAAATACAAAAATAGTGGTATATCCCAAACATCCTCAGCAAAAGAACATTTCAACAACCTGAGCATACAGCCAAAACTGCAATGTACCGTCCTGTATTTATTTGAAATGACCATTTTTTTCTTCTCTTCCTGTGCTTTAATGCGACATGAGGCTGGAAAACTTGTAAACTAGGATTACCAATATGGTGGTGACAGTTATTAATAGTTCCTCAGTTTTGAGGCAAACAAGTGACAGTCAGCAGTACGATATTTCAGAATGGACGAGTAATCAAGTGCCTGGAGAAGAGAAACATCCTTGGCTAAGTGTGGCGAGTCCTGAAATAAGACTAGGCAAGAAGCAAAGTTCATGCTGCAAGTTCTTTCTGCACCTTTTCAAATTTACTTTTTACTGCCATTTGATAGTCCACTTGTACAGCAGAATATAAAAAAAAAACTAAAAAATCACATTTGGACATTTGAAATGTTATGTTTAGAATAAAATGCAACCATTCTCCCATCTCTTAAAATCATATTTCTTTAAGAAAATTTTACTTTTTGGTGTTGCCAGGTGTTTCAGCATAAATAAGGCAGTTGATCTTTGACCTGAGTTGTGAGTTTTTTGTGGCTCAGGGCCACAGGTTTGGGAGCAGTGTGCCAGGGTTTTCTCGATCTTGAGAGCCTCTGGGTACCTGCAGTCTTCCTGTGATGCCAGTGAGATACTGTATGTGCCTCACTTGCAGATTGTGGACACAGGACTGTCCTTTCTCATTCTCCCTGTGTCATACAGGACTCACAGGAGATGAAGAACAAATTGCTATTTCCCAACTGATTGGCTTTAAATTGTGTCCTTTTTCTTAGCGTTTTAACATATTGATTTTGCAGAGACATTAACATGACACCTTTTTGTGCCAGTAGTCAATATTTGTAAAAAGGTAGGAATAGTCAAAGCTATGCACGCACCAGAAAATATTAGTTTGACAGGACCAAAGGTCTTCAAATGTGTAAGCATGGAATCGGAAGAGAGTGGATGAAAACTCCCAGGAATAAGCATATAAAAGACTAGAAAACAGTGGCCCAAATGGATTATTAAATCAATAAATTAAATATACGGACAAAGAACCACTTAATTATATTATGTTAAAGGAGCAGGATCCACATAAAGAAAGTGTCTCTTTACACATTGCTAGCAAAAGCAAGTAAAAAAAGGAGAGAGAGGTAAACTGTAGGCTTAAATAAAAAAAAAACAGGATATGAGTGATTAAATAATAAAATAAATCCTTACACATAATTAAAGCTTTTCTGGACACTCCACTCAAAGTGCATTAGAGATAATGGGGACTCACCTCAACCACCACCAATGTTTAGCACCCACCTGGGTGATGTGCTACTACACTCACCAAACATCAGCTATCAGTGCAGAGGAGAACGGAGTAATGAAGCCAGTTTATAGATGGGGATTATTAGGAGGCCGTGACTAGTAAAGTCCGTGGGGAGCTTTTGCCAGGACATTTGGGTAACACCCCTATTATTTTCAAGAAATGCTCCAAGAGAAGGATGGCAGTTTTTTTTTCAGTACAGTGTCCCCATCACTATACCGGGGTATTAGGACCCAGACAGATCACAGGCTGAGCACCCCCACTGGTCCCACTAACACCTCTTTCAGCAGCAACCATAGCTCTCCCAGGAGGTCTCACATCCAGGTACTGACCAGGCTCACACCAGCTGAGCTTCAGTGGGTTGCCAGTTGTAAGGGTGATATAGGTGCTGGACCCGTTACATCTGTATTCTTACAATTCTTATCGCAATATCCATATCGTTTTGGTCACAACATTATAAAAGGGACATTGAGACCGAGGAAATAGATCAAAGAATAACCAGATTAATTCCAGGCGTCATTATGGCGTTAAAGGAACTGAATTTCTTCAGTAATTAGAGGAGATTATAAGGGGATCGAATTCAAAGTATTCAGAATCCAATGGCACTTTTAAGCAGTTGTCGAACGCTCCAGAAACGTTCAGCACTGGTTTATATTTTTATATATTGACAAATTTCTACATTTGGCAAAATCTTAACTTGCATTTGGATTTGGATTTGTCAAAAACATGATTTAGATTTCTAGTCATAAATGTAAACATTAGCTGTGCTGCTCCTTCGTCTCATTTGAGAATTATGTAATAATATTACTTAAATGTCTTCTTATATAACTTTATCAGGCTTAGGTTTTCATTGATACAGTATATCAATATTGTAAGGATTTTCTAAATTTCATGTTCATGCAACTAAAGTTTTTAAGATTACAATTTTATGCTAAAGGTGATTCTGATTTTCTTGACCTTTAATTGACCTTAAATATTGTTGAAAAAATGCATGAAATGAACATTTTGAAAATATTTGTCACATGATTAAAATTGTGCGTGAAAAAGAAAAACATAACCCCAGCTGTAGATTTTCTGGCCTTTTTTCAGATACCATAAAAGTGTAGAATACAATCTTTAGGGAATGTGTTAGTAAAGATAAATAGGTAACATCCTAAGGATAAAGTATGAATTATATATGGTAAGAAAACATGGTCAAGAACATATATAAACATATAGTGCGGTATAGTGTGAGAGATTACATTGAATTAAAAGCTGTTATTCCCCTTTATGAAAATTGGTTAAAAACTACAGTCTTGTGTGTTATAACAGAATCTATCAGTATTATTTTCAGAAAATGCTGTCTCCTCAAATGCAGAACAACCCACTTATAACATTTTTCCTCTGTTTTTGTCAAATTTTCAGGTCCACAGTCGATGTAAGAAAAACAATATCTCAGGAAGTAAACAGTACCTGACTGTAGCCAGTGGGGTTGTCATGTCAGTGTTTGTTTCTCCAGTTATTGCAGCTGTGACTGTAGGTAAGAGAGAAGTAATTCATATCTTCTTGTCTCCAGTTCTGGGCATTTTAGATTCATGTTGCCAAGGCAATGTCTGACAGCTTTGATGTATGCCTTATTACCCGATTTACTGTATACAGCTCTCTTCATTATTAACCATTAGAATATCCCTAAACACAGTGTAAATGTTCATCTGTTCAGCACATGTGTTTTTAAATCAGTCTTCTGCTTTTGGCCCGGCATGATGTGTGAGGCCAAGCAGTAGATATTATGGTTAAAAGGTAGACAATTATCCCGGTGTCTGGGCCATATTTCCCCCCTCTGCCTTTACCGTGGCCTCCAAATTGTCCCCATGTATGATTGGCTTGCACTTGCCCTGCGATGGACTGGCGCCCCGTCCAGGGTGTACACTGCCTTGTGCTCGTTGCTGGGTAGGCTCCGGCTTTCCTCGACACCATATGGTATAAAGCGGTTTGGCAAAGGACATGACATATTATAGTAACATTATACCATAATACCATTATACCATAAGTTACTATTCACAAATTAGTCATATAGTCAGGGAATATATCATGCCTTAAACAGTATTTCAGATTAATCCATTAGTAATTCTGTATAATGTTATATGCAATTGTATTAAAAATGTGGAGACTTATTGAGTTATCAATATTATCTCTGTGTCAAGACAGTTAAGTTGTGGAGCTCAATAAAACATAACTAAAATGTGTTATTTCCTTATTCATTCAAACATGAAAGACTTGACTTGATTTAGTTGTACAGGCGCAACATTATTGTCACCTGATAATACAGATGCAGCCATTCAAAACGAGCGAGGTAGGCTGCGGTACAATGCGGTGGGCATGTCACATCAAAACGCGTCATACCACAGTTTACCATATGCAAATTAGATTATGTTCATAGTATCCAGAATCACCTTGTAAAACCGCCAGGTAGAGCTAATAAAGCTTAACCTTGCCTGTACAGTATTTGAGCTGTCACCAGAAAACACCCGGTTTCAAATCCCGATCACTGCTGAGGGACAGTCTTTATTCAATTAAGAATTTAAGTTGTGTACTCTTTAGACATTAAATTTAAAACTGTGTATTACAGCATGTTAATCATTAAACATTAAAAGTTGCTATATTTTATAAAAGCAAAATTGCTCAGTTGGACAAAAGTACACAACCTACCACCTTTATCAGAAATACTTTAATTATGCAGAAATATTTTATGCATCAAAGTCTTTACCAAAGATATTGCTAATAGTATTAATAATGAATAACCTTGGACAAGCTGTAAGCTCAAAGTATTACCCTGGTCCACTTTCTTTGTTACTGTCTTTGTAAACGAAAATACTTTATTTTTTCATTGACAAAAAGTAACACCACAGCATTTCGTTGATCGATCACATATTCATTTCCAGTCATACAAAGTAAGTTTTGAGAATCTCAGATTGATTGATTAATTAATTAATGTAGGAACATAAACATTATTTAAACTGTATATGACTGGCATTGGTATTTTAAAGAAAATATACACACCAGTATTCCACTCCCTACAAACATTTTAAGCATCAAAGTCTTACATGTGGTTATTTTGGAAATGTTTTTACTTGCTTCTTCTGACCATATTAAGTTTCTATACTTTGTGAAAAGTGATAATTTTTTAACCTTTTCTAGGAATTTGCTCATTATCGGTGTAAACTAAACCATACTTTTAGAATTTGATTAACAGGGAATATAATATGGAATCGCGTATCTAAACAAATTAATAACTATATAATTATATCCATGTACTGTCTGGCGGAATAAACTGAAGAGTTAGTTAATGCGACAGGGAAGATAGAATTAATAATGTAGCCCTTTCGGGCTCACGCCCTACCAGCTGGGGAATTGAACCCGGGCTTCCAGCGTCACTCAACAGGGAATACTGGTGTGTATTTTTTCTTTAAAATACCAATACCACCCATATACAGTTTGTAATGTAGGGATTGCTATATCAGTAGCAGTAGCACATTTATTATGGGTGGCCGACCAGGAGTGTGTCAGGAGCCAGACTGGTCAGGGCACATGCCAGCGACCGGCCCAAACGTAGAGTGCAGGGCGGACTGGAGGAAGACCGGTTCAAAAAGTACAGTAAGTGGCTGCCTGCTTCTAGTGGACTGGAGTAACTTCAAAAATGTCGCAGCAGAGTTTAGCTGTGTCATTTTTACGCCATTTTTTTGACCACGCATAAATATTCTTATGTCCATATCTTCACAAGGGAAACACAGAAAGCCTTCAAACCAAACCAAAAACACATTTTAAAAACCTCTACTTGTGAAAATTTTCACAGCCTCTAATTAAAACCATCAGTGAGCTCATTCTCTATTTGTAAACCTCCGGTGTTTCATCGATGCGTAATTACGCACTAACTGGAACCCTGTAAGCACGGGAATAAAGCTTTGTTTGATTTCTGAAACCCTTTCTTTATGTCCTGTTTTCGTTCGGATAAAGGTCAACTATAGACACAATACTGCTTACAGCAGGAAAATTCCTATATTTTACTCAGCAGTTTATTAAAAACAGAACCCATGATGTTCAAACTGATTTTTTACATAGAAGACTGACACAGCTTTGCATTGTGAATCTCTTTTTCTAATAAAACATTTGTCAGTCTGTTCGGCTATTCTACTTTGAGAATGAAGAGGGGGAGGAAAAGTACCTGCTGTCAAAACTACAGTATGCTTAAGAACTATAAAACCAGTTTAATTCCAAACAACTTATCCAGTGGGGCAATTTAACAGATGCCTCAAGCCTTCAAAAGGTTTCTTTGAAAAACTAAAATAGCAAATATTATGGACACTATATTGACATTTTTAGAATTTGATTAATAGGGAATAAGATATGGAATTGCGTATCTAAAGAAATTAGTAACAATATAATTATATTCATATATTGTAGCTTAAATGCTGCTAAACTAAAAATTAGACACAAGAAAGAGTATTATTGGACAATGTCGTGAGGCTCTGGTGAAATTTCTCTGTAAACTGAAGAGTTAAAGAGGAGACACATTGTGTATAGCCTCTTTTTACACTTGTAAAAAGGAACATTCCAATGTTAATGCGACACGGAACATATTATTAACAAAGTAGCGCTTTCGGGCTGACGTGGGTTTGTGCCCTACGCCCTGCGGGACCGCTGTGTACATACAGTACATTCACAATGCAAGAAATACTGCTCAATACGAGTTCGTGCGAACAACCCCCACAGGTGATATTTAGAAATATATATATATTGTAGTATTTTCGGTTTCGTCAAGGACAGGCACAGCGATTCAGACACTACTCCTCTTGTGTCTAATTTTTAGTTTAGCAGAATTTGCGCGATAAGTACATTATTTAATGGGGATGACATTATCCACGTCTATTATCACTGTACAACACTAACTACTTTCAGGCTGTGTCAAAACTAAAAACGTCGTTTTACATTCAAGGAGTGTCCGAGTCAATGTGTCCATCCTTGAGAACCCAAAAATGCCACAATATTATAAACGGCTGGGCAAATGAATTTTTTAATTTTTAAAAAAGAAATCAATAATGAGATATGATGTGTTCCTGCTTAACTTAGACATTGCATGATTTTAAAAGCTATAAAAACAGGTTTCGATAGTTAATAACCACTTTTTGTGTGTGAAAAACGAGTGATCTGTCTTCCTCGTAGTCAGCCTAGAATCTTTGTGTATGCTGTAAGTTGATCTTTTTTCTCTTTTCTCACCTGCTGCAATTCGGGCACAGAAGGGTTAAAAAAAAGTCAGACAGGCAGAGGGAGGGGGGGGGGGGGGAAACTGTTACCTCTCCTGGATAAAGCGGTTAGAAAATATTCACATATTAAACTTAATATGGTCAGAAGGAGCACGTAAAAACGTTTCCAAAATAACCACATGTAAGACTTTGATGCTTAAAATGTTTAGGAAGAAAGTGGAATATTGGTGTGTATTTTTTCTTTAAAATACCAATACCAACCATATACAGTTTACATAATATGTTTATGTTCCTAAATTAATATTGTTTGTGACCATCAGATGCGTTATGCTCGTCTTCTTTTTATGCTCAACTACTAAAATTTCCCTTTAGTTGTAAAATTCCATAGAAATATTCAATACTAAGTGGATTAAAATATGCACAGTAAAGAGATTAAATGATTACATTGTTTCACTAATAACCAGTGCACCATGAGTGCCCCTGTTGGTCATTTTGGCCAGCCAATCACGTACCGCGGTACGCGGCGGTGGCTTGTGGGTAGTTGCTTACGGTATGGGTTTGTACCGCGCAGTTTGAATGGCTGCATTTGTATAAATGAACTTAAAATACATACAGTATACTGTTGTGAAATTAGAATTTGACCCCAAATTCTGATTAAAGGGCATGCAACCAAATATGTACTTCAACTCTTTTACATTTAGTGCATAATGAATGTGAACCCACACGTATGATCACTTGAAATCACTGGATTGAACACAAAGTATGTTTTTGTTCTAATACCATCGAATGTATGTAAGGAAGTAGCCAAAATACAATCCTACCACTCACGATCACAAACTTGCTTCACTGTAAAGCAAAAATAATGGTTTTAACTTTGCTATCCCAACATTTTTGTAGGGCGTTATACTGTATATCATCCAAATAAGAAAAAAACCTCATCAGGTCAAGACTGAAAATTACATTTATTCTTGGATGTACAGTGGCAGCTGTCGCCTTGCTATTGATATTGCGTTTTCATGAGAATATTTCTTTGAGACCATTTACCTTACTATCTCATTACACTGTCAAGAATGATGATGTCAAGAAGAAGTTTTCAAAACAGCTGTCCAGAATGTGGCTTTTATCAAGGCCTAATCCTGTTGAATGTTATTCTGCCTGTACTTGGCAATAATGTACCGGCAACATTATTTTACTTTCCTGAATACCATATCTCCCCTTTTCTAGTACAGAGCAATACTCAAAGGCTATACTTACTCTCTTGATTTTCCCCAGTTCAAATATTCATAAACATTTGTGAGTTGAAACTTTACAGATGTGTTATAGAGGACCAGTATGGCCAATAAGCAGGAATTAGCTACATCAAGCTGCATTTAATACCTTTAACAATGCAAGAGGTACATTTATTAAACAAACTCTTTCTCATTGTGGTTTGACAGTATGGAGCTATCTGGCTGGTAATTAAGGACACAACTTAGTGTGTATTAATCCTTAGTTTGATTTTGGTATTGACAGTAATTGAAAAGCACTGAAGTGAATTAGGTAATAAATGATCTAATACTAATTTAGTACTAATAAATGATCCACATAAACTACTGTCATCAAAATGTGATTTTTAGATGAGAAAATAGTATATCTGCTGGCATATTTGTTACTTACATATTGTATGTTTTTTTAAATGAGATTTATATTTAAATAATAAATTTACATTTATTTTAGAGATCCCATAGAACATGAGCATTGTAATTATATCTAATAATAATAAAAATAATTCTGTAATTATATCAGAATACCAATTTACAATTGTAAACATGCAACTCCAATAGTTTTTTTCCTCACACTGTAGTCTCCAATGGGATAAAATGGGATCAAAAGAGTTGAAGATGGGATTCCTGTTTTCTTTCAGGAATAGGAGTGCCTGCCTTCAGTCTATATTTTGTGAAAATTTCACATACACTTTAAAAAGTGTTTGGCAAAGTTTAGTTTTACTAAAAAAGGGTTTGCCAGACTCAAATTTCTCCAAGACAATAAGGAAGGTTTCATACTCTTCAAAATGCTTATTAAACCTCTGCTTTCAGCTTTACGGTTTGTGAAACTCAGTTTTAATTTTGCATAAAGTTGAAAAGTGTTGGACAACCAGTTAATGAGTACAGGCCATAGCTCATAAATAAAGCTTTTATTTTTTTATTATTATTTATAATGTTTATTATTTCATTTTCAAAGCTCCATGTATTTATCTCTGGTTAGATTTTCCAAAAAATAAAAACAGTATTGCAGCCTTTGCATAAAAAGGTTTACCACGAGTTATTTTTAAGCGTTTCTTGATTTCCATATAACATTGATGCTGTACACTAAAATGTTTCCAGGGCTGGACATGCATACTGTACTAAAACCTCCAGAAAAACTGTTCCTGTAGGTCTCCTATGGAATAAAGTGGGATCAGAATCGTTGAAGATGGATGAAGATTTCAGTGGTTCTCTTACAGGAGTTGGAGTGCCACTCATGATGACGTATGTATACGGAGTCGTCCCCATGTCTCTCTGTCGGAATGGCTGGTGCTTGGGTCAGAAGGATCAGCCGGAGCCAAGGAAAATACACCTGGAAGATTTAGCCAACTGTAAGTGTCAGTCCGGATGTCAGCACCACAGGCTTCGAACGAAGGGGGACATACGGCCCTTCTAGCCTGTTTGGTAGTTGGTAGTTATAGGGCCTCGTCTGTTTCCTGAATGAAGCTGAAATATCAGCTTCAGTCACATGGCTGGGTAGCCTGTGCCATACATCCACAAACTGCATTCCCATATCGGGAGTCAGACCCATTCCACCTGGGTGAAAATCACAAGTACTAGACAGTACAGGAGAACACGCCATTCCTGTTTTGGGAGTTGGACCCAGATTACCTACAGTAGATAAAAAACCTGGAATCCTTACTAGTTTACCGTATTGGTTACATGTATACTAGATGTCGAAATTACCCTGGGTTATGTAACATTATAGAACCAAAGTTAAAGAAACTGCAGGAAATGAAACAGTGTGTTCACTCAAAGTAACTGCTTGTTTTTACAACCAGTTGATTGAACCAGGTGGTGCAGTAATTGCTGGAGTCACTGTAAGGCAAACCTGGAGTACAACATGGAAAATCAAACCAAATAATGTACCAGATAATGTACAAAAAACTGCGTTGTGTGAATGGAAATGTGAAATTCCAAATAAAATGTTTACTGCATGTGCACATTGAGGATAGAAATCCACTTTCTACCTCATTTGTTAAATGTTTTCTTTCATGTTGAATTTCTTAGCATTTCAAGGTTGCGAAGGGACCTCGTAAATATCAAATAGATCTCTCTGTTGTCTGATGCAGTCAGTGACCATTGGTCTGGTCAGCCCAACCTAGCGGTCAGTGAGGCCAGTGTCCATGAAGCGAGCATGCTCCCCAGCACCAGCAGAAGTCACGCAGACAGGGAGAGTGGCAAAGAGCAAGACAACCAATCAGCAAGCACCGTAGCCCTGGCAGGAAGTATGTTCAGTGACACACAGGACCCTTCCTTAAGGTGAGGTTCCATATTTAAGGTTTCTGCTTAAAACATGCTGCTCTGAGATGATCACATACTACATGTGTATTATTGTTCTTGTTTCATTACGTTATTTATTGTTCAAGTTTGTAACCATCATCTTTGCTTTAAACACAGGTGTTTTAATGCTGGACCACGGATGTTCAGAACTCTATTTTCATAGGTGAAACCTACAGCATAAAGCAACAGCTGTAAATTCCTACTCTTATTCCCACACAAGCCTTTTTTTCACACTGTATCTCTTAAATTATAGATCAAATAAAGGTAATCTAGCCTGTATTAATTAATTTGTCAATAATATTCTCTTAAAACCAAATCTCTAGTTAAGTGAAATAATATACTAGACATTTATAGATTAATTGTTCTGGTGCATAACCCTAATATGTATTTTTTAAACTGTTATGGCCAGTTGTTCTAGATTACATATCCACCCTTTCGAAACTGACTATTTGTGTTTGAAGACTTGGCTCTCCAACAGCAATGCGAACACCTGTGTGCAAGACTTTTTTTTTTTCACGCTCCCAACCCATTCATTTATATTGCCATTCCAGAGAGGGCACCAACATCGAGGTGCAGGTGGAGATCGAAGCCCACCCCAGAGAAGGGCACGAGCAGAGCCTCAGCAGCATCCTGTCCAGTCAGAGCCTGTCAGTGGAGTCCCTGGGGTGTTCGCGAGAGCAGCTCTGTGGGACCGAGCTGAGCAGAATGGCAGCGCCCGAAACAAACACTGTTTAAGACATACGCTGCCGATTACAGCTGCTTCCCCACAACCTGCCGAGACGCACAGCAGCCAGCTGCTTCCACACGAGCCAGCTGATTCGAAATGTGCTGGATGGCTATTGCAAACTGTCAGTTTGATTCCACTGAGGAGCCACAGACGAAGGCTTTGCCCGGCTCAAATTTCTCCCAGATAATGAGGAAGGCCTAGTACTTTCCAGAGTACTTCCAAACTACTGTATTAAATCATTGCTTTCAGATTAACGGTTTGTGAAACTCACAGTTTTAATTTCACATAACCTTGAAAAGCCTTTTGACTACCAGTTAATGAGTACTGGCTTTTGCCCGTTTTTATTTAACTGTATTTATTATTTAATAGCTCTTTCAAAGTTCTGTGGATTTATCTCCAATAAGGTTTTCCAAAAACAATATTCCGATCTTTGCATAAAAAAAGTTTACTGCATGAGTTCTTTTCATGCAAAGAAGCATTTCTTGGTTTCCATATAACAGTATATGCTGTACACTGATCAAATGTTCCCAGGGCTAGACGTGTATACTGTAACAGTACTAAAAACTCCATAAAGCCACACACAGATTTGCTTGAATTTCCAACCTCCAAATTTGGAGCTAATGTCCAGGAATCATGGACCAGAGTATCCATAGCTTCACATTGAAGATCATCACTCTACAAAATTAAATGAAATTTAAAATTAACTATAATTCTTTTAGCATGTTTGTGGTTTTTCCTGGTTTCTTGATGATTTTATGATATGGGTGCCATATCATACATACCACGAGACATTTACTTTGGTGTTCTGAAATAGTTTTTCAAAATGTTAGAATAAGGTAGGCATGGATATTTGCAAGGCTGTAGTTTGAGTAAATCTCTGCCTTTTCTGGTATGAAAATTACAACACTATAAGTTAGCCATAAACCCCTTATCACCCTTTTGCTTTTGTTCAAAGCAAATTTGTGAAGTCTTTGGTTACTTCATATTGTCCCTAGTTACCTTTCACAAAGAATTGCTAATTTATTTGGCTTATACTTTTATCCAAAGCAACATACATTTGCACACATTTATACATCTGGGTATTTTACTAGAACAATTTGTTAGAAATACTTCGCTCAAAGATGCAACAGACTGCATCTCACCTGGGATTTGAAACTACAACCATCCAGTGACATGTCTGGATCCCGAACCATTGCTCCACACTGCTGTTAAGAGAAATGAGATCATGTTAAACCAGACTGAAAATCGCTGTGTTCCCCAGAGAGCACAGTTCAAAGAATTTGTGGTATAGTATTATTTTCACAAACATTTTTATAGAAGGGGGGCAATGGGTCCCTGGGTTCAATTCCGGAACTGGAGTGTTATCGGTGTGAAGTTTGTGTGTCCTCCCCCTGTTTGTGAGGGTATCCTCTGGGTCCTCTCATTTTCTCCCAGTGTACTGGTAGGTTAATTGGTTTCTGGGAAAACTGGCTGTAACTGTGTGTGAGTGTCTGTGTGTGATGGACTGGCGACTAGTCCAGGGTATACCCTGCATTACGCCCATTGCTGGCCAGGACAGGCTGTGGCTCCCCCATGACCCTGAACTGAATAAAGTGGTTAAAAAAATAGATGGATGATGTAAAAGAAAAAAATCTATACTTAAGTCTTACAAATCTGAATAAAATTACGAAGTGGTAATGTCAAGATATCCCGTTTATGAAGGTTTAACTGGGAATGTGATTTTTTTTAAAAACATGCATGGGATTTTTCTTTACCTTTTCATTTTTGGTATATTGTAAATAGCAGCCAGCGAATCGAGTTTTGTTTAGTTTATTCCTAATTTGTAAACCATCTGAAAATAGATATTCTGAAGATTCCAGATATCCCCCCAAAATATTGAAATGACTTGATTTCAGTTCTTTATAAACTCCTCGTACTAGTATAAAAATATTGTGATTGTCCCTGCAATGAAAACAAAGGTTATCCATTCTATACCATATTTTGCTTAAAAATATGCTAGCTGTTCAAACAAATGTATGTGATTAGAGAGAGTGCGACATTATAATGGGCCAGGAACTGCAAGTCAGAGAAGTGCTGGTTTTGCTGTGTTCATAATGCAATTAAAATCTGCAGTAAACACTACCATTGTCATTGCATTTTGTAATCCCCAGGACATACCATGCAGTCTTGTTCTGATGGGCACTGTGGTACAAATGGTGGATATACAGGGCTGGAAATGCATCCTTCATTGCACAGTAGTTTGATCTTTTTCAGGGTTTGCACGCTGCATGCTCTTGTATATGTACGTCGCCATCAGATACTGGATTTTTCATTCTTGTTACCGTTGCAGACACCCGTGTGCAGATAAAATTAACCGGTAAACCAGTAAAGGTTAATTCCACACTGCAACATGGAGTGAAAGAAAAAAACACAAAGGTTCAGTTGTTGAGCATTCTTGAAACGTGTCAAGGCTCCTCAACAGCTGAACCTGCTCCTTTGCAGCCAACATGTGCTGAAACAGCTGCTCACTCGAACTTCCGAAGATGCGAGTATGTTTTAGATGTTCAGCTTTCTCCAGCTGCAGTGAATTTCTGTAAGAGCGTACAGCTTGTAAATCATGATTATACTGCTTTGCAACAAGAATCATACTTACATGCTTGGGTATTTCTTTAAAATTGAACACCAAAGTAAAACTGAAGTATGCTTTGACTCTGGAAGTCCGTAGTGACCTGAAGTATGATACCGACAGACTAAAATAAATTATGGTTAATCACAGGGTACCTAAGTGTCCGGACTGTTCATTTTACAAGTATTGTTTAAAAGGGTTGTGTCAGTCATTTGTATTAAATAATGAAATGAAATAAAGGATAGTTTTTAGAAATAGGATTATGCACACTTTATTTTGTAATCAACTCCCCCTTTTTTAGATTGTAACACAATCTTCTGCTTTACCCTTTAGGTAATCAATTTAGTACAATTATCATGTTCATGCATGGCAGGAGATGCTTTTAAATAAATGGGATGCCAAGGAAATTATGAAGAACAAAAGCTCTCTCTCCTGACATTACTATAAAATCCTGTAAGTAGGGATTTATTAGAAAAGTCAAATTGATACATTTTACCAGCAGATGGAGCCAAAATCATTTATGAAGTTTTTGTTTTTCATTTTCTCTGCTCAAACCAGGTTTCTATTAGGATTTTGGAAACTTTGAAACACAGAATCATTATATCGTTTTACAAGGAGAAACCTCTATTGTGTAACATTTCCACCTTAGTTCGTGGTGCCTTTTTGATGCCAACATGATTTTTCTGTAACATACAGTGCTAGTGCATTTTGTCTTTATTTTTGTATAGAAGTGAAGCAGCTAGAAGCCAACATCTAGCATACATAAAATTTTCAAGCTTCACTTAAATTGGAAGTCACATTGTCTTAACTAAGCCATATAAAATACAACTGTTTGTTATGGTATTTCTAACCCTCACTCTATCCTGTGACTATTCCTAACCCTAGAATTTCTCATTATAAATTAGATCATTCCAGGAAATCAGCAAAAAAAAGACAGAAACCCTTCACAAAGTAAACAATAGTCTCATTACTGCTTACTGTACTTCCTGTGTTTGACAATTTTAAATCAATTCCTGCATTAAATTGTTGAACATATTACCACAATTGGGGTGGACCTCCCCTTAAACTTTATAAATTTAATGGTACAGCTACATTTTTACATGTGATTTAAAATGTAGTATGAGTGGTGTTTTGGAAATTGCATTGGATTTTTTTTGGTGGAATTGATAATAAATGACTTCATTCTGTGTTCCTCAAATTTATATCAATTGTCGCATATTCCAAAATTAAAATGACCGTAGTATTTTTTAAATGCGACTTGGGTTAGATTTAGACTTTCTGTGAAACATGATTCACTGTTATACTGTATCTAAATTTTTTCTGTGAAATGTCCCTTATTTTGCATTCTGTTAGACTTGTACATTTAAACCTTTTTCATTAATTTAAGAAAGCCTTGAGTAAGTATTGGAATGGAACAAAATGCTTTGGAAATCAACATGATATTTTTTAAATAAAGGAATTACGTTTTTTGTGTTCTCCACAAGCTTCTGCACTGCACATTTTATAAAATTAATTTTACTTCTTCATCTGCCTTATAGATTACCCCCAATAACTTAAGAATAACAGCTGGTTATGAAAATAATGCAATAATATATTTTAATAATTATATAAATAATAATTATATAAAGATGTAATGTCATAGAACTGAAGTATAGTACAGTTTGATATAAAGTACAGCAGTTTATGCAGTACGGTATATTAATGTAGCACGGTTTACAAATTTGTTAATGCAATACTACAGCTGAACGTAAGTATGACAAGTCAGATGGACTGAATATCCACATTTGCGTTCTATAAAACTGAGTTTTGAGGAGCTAGGAGTGTGAAGCTGTGCATCCCAAGTATTTGTCGGTATTTAGTTGCATTACAGCATGACGAGAGAGGAGAAGTGGGCATAGGAAGTTAAAGAACAAGGAAAGGCCCAAACAGTGAGTCATCATAAGAAATGATGTGCTGGTATGTGGAAAGGCTGTACAGTATGTATAACATAGAAAGGAGCAGGGTGTTTGAAAATAGTCATCATTGAATTAATTTTGTTACCTGTACAAGAATTTCGGATCAGAACAATTATACAAAAAAAATATTAAAAGTAGCCTGATACTGGCATTGAAGAGTTAGTATTTGACTGAATAACCAAGTTCAAGTTCGTGCACGTCTGAAGCATAGTGACTAGACATCTGTAATGGCAGTTTCTTGTTCTCCTAACTTCCCAGAAATGATGATACTGTTTAAGCGGGCAGGGCTCTTGAATGGACTGATGTTTTAAGACTTGGTGTCAGTTGTATTAGGACTAGACATTACTTCCGCATTACCTTTCAGGAGAAGAGTAATGTTGTAAGGGCCTCCACTCTGTGGACATGGGTCCGATACCATGAGGGTCATGGGGGAACCAGTGCCTATCCCAGCAAGCAACAGGCAGGGTACACCGTGAACAGGACGCCAAGTCCGTAGCAGGCCACACACAGATGTAAACATACTGTACACACATTCTCACCAGGGGCAATTTTCACAGAAGACAGTTAACCTACCAGTAGGTCTTTGGACTGTGGGAGGAAACAGGAGCACCCTAAGGAAACCCACCTGAACAAGGGGGAGGACATACAAACTCCACACAGATAGCACCCCAGGTCCAGAATTGAACCCAGGACCCCAGTGCTACATGGTTACAATGCTTACCACATTGCACTACAGTGCTGCCCTGGATTAATTACTGTATGTGCCATGTATTTGCCATTCCAAAAGCTGGCATGAACTTTCTCAGCACTAAAGATTCCTGAGATCAGTGATCAACTTAAAAAAAATCCAGACCATATGCCACTGAAACCAGAATCCAAGTAGATTAGAAAATAAGATCCAGCAGACTCCAGCTCCAGCACTTGGTGACTATTACTGTGTGTCCCTGGAAGCACCGTAGACCTTCCTAAACAGAAGGTCCTGAGTATGGTGGCTCTGTGGCTAAGGATCTGCGCCTGTGGCTGGAAAGTTGCCGGTTTGTATCCTACGGCTGGCAGAGGAAACCTACGCCGTTGGGCCCCTGAGCAAGGCCCTTAACCCCAACTGCTCCAGGGGCGCCGTATATATGGCTTATCCTGCGCTCTGACCACAAGATTCTCTCCCTGTCTGTGTGTCTCATGGAGAGCAAGTTGGGGTATGCGAAAAGACAAATGCCTATTTTCAAGAAATTGTATATGGCCAATAAAGAGATCTTGTATATCTTATATTGAGAAAGCAGTTTTTCTGCACCATGCGACTCCTCCACTCTCTAATCATTCTAAATATGAAGTTAGGATCTCTATCCTGGGCCTTCTGTTGCTGTGATTTTGGACTAATAAATAAGTTGATTTTAACAGCATTCTGATTCATGATTGTAATTGGACTTTATTTTGGCTCATGTGGTCACAGTATGTGGTGTTACAGTGAGTTCTCACATATACTAATCAGTTGTCTTCCCGTATTTTATAAATGTGTCCAAAAGCAAATTAAAAAGGTATGTTGCACTGCATGATAACATTGGTTTACAGGTTACTATACAGCCAGCCCTTAATGTATTTAACAAGAACATAAAGTTCCTTTGTGTTTTTCTGGTAAAAACACACATTAGGTTCTTTTGCATACATAACTTCCTCATACAGTAAATCCTTCTTGGAAACCTGGAGTACATTTTTAAGGAAATGGCAAACATTGTGCATCATATAACATATTTTGCAAAATATATCAATTCAGTGGTAAGTGAAGAGATGACACATTATTTGGTGTTTCTAATCTTTAATAATTTTAAGTGATGTTCTATGTTTTCAAATTGTTAATCCATCCATTTTCTAACCATTTTATCTAGTACAGGGCAGCAGGGGACACTGGATCCTAGCCTGGCAAGCGACAGGCTCATGGTGAAGACACCCTTAATGGGAAGCCAGTCCATCTCAGGGCACACACAGACACACACCCTTATCCCAAGGCCTGTTTTTTCCAGGATCCAAATAACCTACTGGTACATCATTGGAGAGAACGAACAAAACTCCACTCAGATTAGCACTCTGGGAACTGGACCCAGTGCGCATTGTTGTGAAGCAATGCTAACCACTTCACCATAAAGCCACCCAAAATTGACTAAATATATGCTTAATAAATGCACTTGTCCATTTTCCAAGAAATAAAACAAACATAACACAAAATATATAAAACATTATAATATTATATAAATGGTAGTAAAAAGAAACATTTCTTTGACAAGCAAAAGTATTATTATAAAAGCAATGATTGCTTTTCCACAAACAAGTAGAACAATCCGAAAAAAAACAACAGAATATTTATGTTTCTTTTTAGAACTCACAAATTATGATATACTTTAGATCACATGGCACATCGTTCCATATTCCAGTTGTGAGTATTATAGCACAGTCTTCTTTTCCCTTAAAGTTATTGGGTTCACCATCTTTCCAACTGGTAAATTGAAGAGGCTTATTTTCCAAGTCCACAAATGTCCCTTCGGTGGTTCTGTCATTTGCTCCAATGTAGGCGTACTGAGATTCAGCGAGAAACTTCGAAAGGGCATTATTTTCCACTTGGCTTCCTGGCGTGGCTATTTTTCCACCAGCATCTCTGCATATCTTTAATCCTTGTTCAAAAGTGCCAGGCTCCTTATTGGACCCAAAGTATTTATTACCAGATCTTCTGAAGAACTGAAAGTGTGCAGCTTCAAAGAACACAAAAATATTAATAACTGCTCCCATACAAAAAGTCCCTATTTAACAGTATCTGTGTACAATAAATACAATTAAACAAAAAGATGGTTCAGACAAAGAATTTCATGGAAGCCTTTAATACCACTTTAGATTAATGTTTACAAATACTATTTATGAACAACGAATATACAGTATGTATGGAATTCAGCAGGCATGCTTTGTTATCAACTTCAAAATCCTCATGCTCACCTATAAGGCTCTGCACGGCTTGGCACCTCAGTACCTGTCTGAGCTACTGTCCTCCTACTCCCCATCTCACAATCTTTGCTCATCAAATTCGGGTCTCCTGTCTGTCCCCCAGACTCGTCTACACTCTGTGGGAGACAGGATCTTCTCCTGCTATACCCCAATGCTCTAGAACTCTATCCCAAAGGATATCAGAGAATCTCCTTCCTCGAGCTCTTTTAAGTCTAGACTCAAAACCTTTTTTAAAAAGGCTTTTATTTCACTGTTTCTGTGTGCCCCTCTGCTCCACTGTACCCCTACTTTACTCCTTGTATTCCATATTCTATAATTGCAACCACTTATGAAGGAGCTATTTTAAAATAAAGTTTATTTTTATTATTTATTGTAGTCCCGCCACAGCAACAGACTATTATATGGAAGGAATATTGTTAATGTATGGACACTTCCTCCCATCTTATACTCTGAACTATGTACAGTAGCTTTAGGAAAGGTTTTGTTTGCCTCACAATTGCATCCCTAACCAGGTTTCTCCATGCCTAGTTATTTAGTTTGGAGTCACAGTCTGATTTAGGCAGAGTCTAATTGCTTTGCTCGTCTTGATGGTCCACTTCACCATTTTCAAGGAAATCTTCACGTTTTTTTAAATGTTTTGTACCCTTCTGTCCAGCCTTTAAACAACTTTATCTCTGACTTTGTTTGAAAGCTCTAGGTCCTCATAGCTGAATGTTTGCTTACATTTCAGTATTTGTTAGGGGACTACGGTGACCTTACAGAGATATAGGTATTTTATCTGTAAAATCATGTGAAGCAGTATTATTGCACACATACAGTATACAGGCCACTCAACTAATTGAGTTATTCATTAAGGTAATTTTGTGCATGTGTGTTAATTGAGGTTTATCACAGAAAAACGTTTGAATTTTTATGCAGTTTTGACTTTTCATTATTCTTTCATTATTCATACATATCAATTATCTATTTACTTCTTTATTTTTTGATTTGACAAATTGGAGAAGGTTGTACCATGACTGAAAATTTTAATGCATAACAATATGAAAAAAGTGCAGAGGTCTGAATACGTTTACTTGTACTCTATAACCTATGACATAGCCATTTCCAATATTTGGAATTATATCAATTCTGCTTCCAAATATAACCTACTGTAACTATCAAATTATCCACTTAAATTTCCTTCACAGAGTGTAAACCCTGATAGCCAGTAACATCTGAAGCTCAACATGTGACAACAGCTCGTATTTTTCCAATACAAATGTTAATCATTTATCTGTGCAGACTTTGAAAAAAAGAGATTTTATTCATATTAACCTTTACTGTACACAATTTAATATATGTTTTGAATATTGAAAGTCGAATGGCCATCCACAAACTTTGAAATGACAGTAAAATTATAGCTGTACTAAGTTTGATACATTCACAAGGCATTTTACTTCCTTAGAATTACAGTGGGGCAAAGAAGAACACAAATGAAGTGCTCTATAACCAAAACGTCCCTATAGACAAACGAAGACTGCACATACTTTTAATATTATTAATATTGTAACGAATACGCCCCCTGCGCATAACAGGGATCTTAGCTGCCCAGGCTGAGGTAGGTCTTCTTTAGCTCAGCTGGCAAGACCCCTGTTGAGCGATGCCAGAGACCTGGGTTTGCGCCCATGCGGTGAGGGATGAACTGGGGCAGGGAGTGGTGAGGGCACAAGCTCAAAGAAGTCGAACCCGTCACAATATGAATACAAAACAAGGAATCAGAATTGTGCACAGAGGTTATTTTACCTTCTAATCCCAAATTGAATTTCTAATTACATTGAAATGTGCTTTGTAAATGAAGCAAAATGCGGTTGTTTTTCAGAAAATCATGTGCTGACCATGTACAGTAATTATATCATTTACAATAAATGTAAATAAATGATTGACTATACGTGTTAAATTGCATATGTGTGCGTGTATGTGTTTGATGAGAAAAAAACAGGAAAATATACATAATATATGAAGACTATATATTCCTTTAATATTACTAATGAAAATATGAAACGGAGTCATAATTGTGCCTATCTTGGAAAGCATAGTTCACAAGGGAGGATACACTCTGGATGGGATCCCAGTCCATCTCAGGGCAGACACACAGACAAAAACATGCATTTTCCCAGAAGCCAATTAACTGACTAATATGTCTTTGGACTGTATGAGGAAACCCACATAAATGGAGAACATGCAAAGTTAATAGAGTCAGCACCTGGAATTGAATCCAGGGCTCCAGCGCTGCAAGGTACAGTATCCATGCTAATCTCTATGTCACAATACCACCCTTAAATTTAATTTGAATAGTAATCCCATTGGAAACTCCTTTTGTAGCATTCCTTTTCCTGGTTTAGTGAGTCACTGATAAGTATGAGTTAGTTTGAAATGACTATCTTACCTTTTTCAAGTCTGGACAAGCTGATTTTAAGCATGTCAACCTCTGACTGCAATTTGTCAATGTATCTTCGTTCTAATATTGCAAAACAAAACAAACAGTCATTTCTGATATGTTATAGTGATAACACTTTATCCTCATCATAATTGCACTAGATAATAATGTAATACTAAACAGTATTTTATTTACAGTTATCCCATTAACAATTGAGATTAGTACAGTAGTTACATGATTTATGAAACCAATAAAACTACTAATGAAGTTTATAATGAAAAATAATTATTTATAAAAGTTTTAGAAATTAAATTGTTAATAGGATGACGTAAGTGTGATACTTCCTATCCTCTATCTTAGATCAATTGCATGTTAGATGAACCATCTTCATCCATTTTTAAATGTATAAACTTTATAAATGCATTAACCACAGCTTTTTATAGATTTATAAAGTGTATATTTTCTACCCCCATTACCTTCTGCAAATAAACCTGAGAATGGGGTTAGGGGTGTGGTTTAAGCTCTGGTCAAGGTTAATAAAATGAACTAATCTCCCGTACACTTAGGTTTTTGTCACATTAATATTAAAACATTCAGAAAAGGCCTTTGCAACCCCTATTCTAAAGAACATAACACACTAGAAAACTGTACCTGAAGGCCCTGGTTCCCCCTTTTGTCCTTTCATCCCTGCTGGGCCCGATGGTCCAAATTTCCCTGGGGGTCCAAAGGCACCACTTTCCCCTTGAAAGAAACACATGGAAAACCATCCATGGCTATATATACCAACAGGGCCCACTTACTACGTTTGTCTTTTTCATGTTGCATAATCATATTTTCCAGATTATTAGTTGATAGTTACAAGTCTACACACTATCGAAAAAAGCGAAAAATAATTATTTTCTTGGTGTCGTACTTGGTGGGTTAAACTCCCAGGTTGTCTCGTTTAAAAGAAATGATTTTGTTTGTGATTAAAATAACAACGTAGTTCAAGATTTATGGTGTTTTGCCACCTCTCATCTGCTCGGCATTTCAAGGAGAGTTTTGTGTTTCTAATCCGAAACATATGAATCCTTTAGTAGTTCCCCACTTACAGCCAGCAGCTACAGTATATCACCCTGCAACTCAGAACTGGCAGCCCAGTGAAGCTCAGCAGGTGTGAACCTGGCCAGTACCTAGATGAGAGATCTCCCAGGAAAAGGCTCCTACTGGAAGACGTATTAGTGAGATCAGTAGGGAGTACTCACTCTGTGGTCTGTGTGGGTCCTAATTCCCCAGTATTGTGATGGGGAGTATACTGGGGCATTAGTATAGTAAAAGGGCACTGTCCTTCAGATGAGACATAAAAACGAAGTCCTAACTCTCTGTGATCATTAAAAATCCCAGGGGATTTCTTGAAAAGAGTAAAGGTGTTCTGACCAAATTTCCCCTGGTCTTTCCCAATCATGGCCTCCTAATAATCCCTGTCCTTTCATTTTCTTCATCACTCTGCTCTCCTCCCCACTGATGAATGGTGAGTGAACTGGTGTATTTTGGCTGCCGTGGCATCATCCAAGTGGTGGTGCTGGATAAGAGTCCCCATTACCTGTAGTGGAGTGTCCAGAAAAGCACTATATAAGTGTAAGAATATTTTAATTACCTTTCTCACCCTTTTCCCCTTTAAGACCACTTGCTCCATCTCTTCCATCTTTCCCATCTCTCCCATCCCTTCCTGGAACTCCATTGTTGCCGGGGGAGCCTGGAATTCCTGGGTACCCTGAGCAGGTGGATGTCGGGGCTTCAGCAGCCAGTCCAGGACAGAGCTCGAGAAGGAGCAGGGTGACTGACGTGAGCAGGACAGGCCATCGCCTGGATAGGGGCATCCTAGATGACTGAACAATGATCAATATGGCATGATCATGAATTTAAATAGTCATGTGTCTCACACAATACAGAAGAGCAAAAAGAAAAAAAAGATCTTTCAGTTATAAAGCCTTGTTCAGGTGAGTTCATAACGGAAATCCGGGGTGAGGGATAAACCACAAATCCTGCCAGCCACCAGCTAGTCTAGGTGATAATTCCTGGTCTTTCCATTCAGCCCCAAACCTTAGTGATTCCACCTTCCTGACCAGCATCAGACCTTCCTCATTAGTATGACCATGATGGTCAAGCAGGGGTTAAACAGTAATTATATTTCAGCTGATATAATTTAAATATAACATTATACAATGTATTACAGTTGAATTTTATTACAGGCTTGTATTTTCAGAAAAAGAAAGATATAAAGGCACAATCAATTAATGCAAAATTCAACATATTCTTCCTCCTATGTAATTAAACATTAAGTTCTTTCTTTTAACTTAAGGTTTGTCTTGTGCCTTGAACAATTTATTTTTAAAAGTTAACCAAGTGTTTTCAACTCAACTCATGCACCGGTTATATTTTGTCTTAATCTACTTTTCTTAAACTCGATAACATACTGTACCTTCAGATTCTGGTTATCCATTCTTACACCAACTTACTAAGAAGCTGAGATGTAGATGGGCTGAACAGTCTACACTGCTTTACAAACATGACTGTGTTGTTGAGACTTCACCTCTTAAGTTTTAAACTGCATGCCCATTGTAATTACTGTCTCTCAGTGGCTTAACTGCCTCTTTTCTTTTCACATCACCCGATCACTTGAAAGCACTACCAACACAAGCACTGCCCTTGCGTGTGTTCTGACAAGCTGGAAAGAAGACAGTCAATGTTTATTACTACCATTTCCTCAGCCTCAGTCCTTCCAGTAATGTTTCCCAATCTATATAACAGAAACCAATCTTATTAGCCTTCTCTTTTTTTACATTATTTTTAACAACCACAAAATATACAACGAAATAATGTATTTGTTCGTAATAAGTCTACAGTATTTTAATTAAGATTTTTCCATAGAATGAAATACAGTATACGTATCTGTATTTTCCTAATTTTCTGTCATGCTGTGACTATATAAATATTTATGTATGAAGAGGGAGATAGAGATAAATCATCTTTGTGTATCTGAAGCTGTAATATAACAATCATCATACTCACGGTTGCTGCTTTGTTGCAGTATTCAGAGGTGACGTCTTCCAAGTCAAGTCAAGCTAATGATGATTTTTTGTTGCTTAGCTGTAAAAATGTTGTTTGAACACTCCTACTCAGGGGGTGGGGGCCCTGCGTAGACCATGTTGGACTGAAGCCTGTATCTTCTCATACTAATCTAGTCTGGTGAGACAAGGAGTGATGTTCTGTTGAGAGAATCTGGTTTCTTTCTTTCTTGATCTGTCAGTATCGGTTGATACCAGCAATTCCCAGCTCTAAGTGTGCATGTGACAGTTACACAAATAGGGTCCAAAGCTTCACATCCTACCACTGTCAAAGACTGTTCATGTGCAACATAATGGAAACTAATAATATCTTCTATTTATAAGGCACCTTTCCAAACCAAAGCATGCTGTACAGTACATAGCAAAAAAGTAAAAGAAAAAAATAAACATGAGAAGACACATATATAAAGATGGAATGTGGGGCAATCAGACATAAACACTGGTAAAGAGGAGAGGTTTGAGTTTGGATTTTAAGAGAATGAAAGAATTTGTCTCTTGCAAGGTCTGAGAAAAGGCATTTCATAATAATAAGCAGCAACACTAAAGGCATAATCACCAAAATCTGTGATTTAGTCCTAGGTACAGTGAGCAGTCTCTACTGAACAGAGTTATGGGTGGTAGTGTAAGTGTGGGATTCCTCTACCAGTATATTTTGCTGTTTTAAAGTCAAACTTTTAAAGTCTTTTAAGGTCCAGAAAGTATTGAGCACAAGGTTGGACTACATAGTTTACGGAACACCTATCCATCTCAAAGTACTCACAGTGAAGAACAACCGAAGGCATGTTGTAACCCTCCTCTCTGTGCCTTGGCATCAATGTGCTAGTGAAAGAGAAGACTGTCATACCACTGATTCTGTTAACAACTGTGCTTTGTCTGCTGGTTGGTCTAGAAACAGAAATTCAGTGGCAAAGTAAATTTCAAGATTGTCAATAAGCATACATTTCTATTCCTATCAAACTCACAAACCTGAAAAAAGATGCTTTTCTCAGTAGAAATACTGCGTGAACACTCCCACTCAGGGGCTGGGGTCCCTGCGCACACCGTGTTAGTCTAATATGGTGAGACAAGGAGTGATGTGCTGTTGAAAGAATCTGGTTTCTTCCTAAACATTTTTGTTCTGCTTTTCTATCACTATTGTTCTGTCAATGTCATTTGATATCAGCAATTCCCAGCTGTAGCATGTGACAGTTACACAAATATGGCCGAAAGCATCACACTCCTACCATTGCCCAAGACTGTGGATGCTGTGAGAGATATAAATATCTAGAAACATACATCTTTGTGTATCTGAAGCTGTAGTATCATAATAATCATCGCTGGCTTACAGAATCGAATGTAGTATTTTTTCCCTTTTAATTTCAAACACCAAAAATAGAAGAAATGTAATAGAAAGAAGCCTTATTGTAAAAATAGAAAGAATATTGATGGAAATACTCATTAAGTTTTTGAAGCCATCTTTGCCATTCATTCCTCATCAGAAAGTTGCTTGTTTCTGATCCTGGATGTGGTGACCTGTGGCCTCTCCAGGAAGTATTGGATATAAGGCAGAACTTCAGCCTTTATCGGACACCCATCTGTAGCAAGGTACTCACAGTGAAGCTACAAGCACATTTTAGGAACATGGGAAGAACATGTAAACTCCACACCGAAAGCATGTTGTAACCATCTCTCTGTGCTTTGGCATCAATGTGCTAGTAGAAGAGAAGACTGTCATACTGTTCATTCTTTAGACAATTAATATTCATCTACTGGTTGGTCTAGAAACAGAAATTCAGTGACAAATTCAATTTAAAACATGTGTATACGGCTCTGTTTCTGTCTAACTCACAAACCAGAGAAAGATGTCAGTTTGATTTTCAACTAAATTAATCTTTTTGTCATTGTTATATCTGATGATCATTACTATTATCTAGAGTGGTCAATATTTCCTATTCTGTAGTCTTGCTATATTCCTAATTTGTCTGCACAAGGTAGATTTCACTAACCCTACTATGATTTCAGTTATTTGATCAAACTCTAATATAAATAAATGAACTGACGATGATTACTAAGATGCCTAGTAATTAGAGAGTATGCTTAGTAGGCTTTTATTCGACTGTCTGAGAACATGATGTTGTCGGGCAAAGATCGGCACAAAACGGTGCAGTGTTCAGACATTTGACCAGACACCAGAAAAGTGTGGTGAAGGGGGTAGGGAGGAGAAAGGAGTGGGCTAGTTTAAAAAGAGGCAGAGGACAGGGACTCTGGGCTCAATTTCTGGATGGCTAGCTGACATCAGGAGACCGGAAAGAAAAACACAGATGGCATTATGGGCATTATAAGCTAATTGTGTTTTGCGGAGTTTTGAGGCTGGAGAGGCAAGAGCGACTCTGGTCCTGGATGAACGCAATGTAGGTGAGGTGAGGGCAAGATGCCTGTCTACGGCAATGTGGTACACAAAATTCATTCACAGAATGAATTAGAATTTGACCTCCATGTGGACTTCTGTTCATTAACACTTGGGAAACAAATTACCATGTAGAAAGAAAAACACAAAACTAGAATATCCCTGCTATAGATGGATTCATTTTTTCAGAATACAGTGACAAGATATAAAACAGACATTTTCCATATCTGAAACTGGGTTTCCATATCTGAACATTGAAAAAAGATGACACCCCATCAATAGGGGGGTTGTGGCTGTGGTTTTGTAATAATAAATTATTTTATTTTAATAGCATTCTCCAGTGAATTTAATTGTACTTTTTTTGGCTCACCTTTCAGATGTTATATGGTGTCATAGTGAGTTCTCACATTCACTAAGAAAACTTTACACATTTTATACATGTGGCCAAAAGGAAATGAAAAGGTTATGTTGCTCTGGATGACAACTTTGGTCTCTAGTCTACTGTACAGCCAGCTCCTAATTGTGGTGATGTACAGTAACAAGAACATAAAGTTCCTCCAGGAGCTTCCTTTTTTCCAGAAAAATTAGACGTTGCATTAGATGCATTAGATGCATTCATTAAACCTAAAACATCAGAGTTTATTTGTTTACAACTTGTTGCAAAAATCTTAAGTGCTATGTTTATATTATTATATTAGTATATAAGCTGTAATTTGTGAAATTACCCAATTTCCAACAAAACAATCTAAACTATATAAACATGACAGCAAACATACTTTTCTTATTGTAAAAGAGATGATTACTTTCTCACTCAATAGTAGAACCAGCAGAACGAATGGTCAGAACATTAATATTTTTCCTTTCTAAAACTCACAAATTATGATGTATTTTCCATCACATGACACATCATTCCATATTTCAGATGTGTATATTATAGCACAGTCTTCTGTTTCCATAGCGTCATTGGGTTCACCATCTGCCCAATTGGTAAATTGAAGAGGCTTATTTTCCAAGTCCACAAATGTCCCTTCCGTGGTTCTGTCATTTGCTCCAATATAGGCGTACTGAGATTCAGCGAGAAACTTTGAAAGGGCATTATTTTCCACTTGGCTTCCTGGTGTGGCTATTTTTCCACCAGCATCTCTGCATATCTTTAATCCTTGTTCAAAAGTGCTAGGCTCCTTATTGGACCCAAAGTATTTATTACCAGATCTTATGAAGAACTGAAAGTGTGCAGCTTCAAAAAAGAAAAAGAAACATGGTTTAGTCTACATTTTCTCTCTCTCTAAGAAAGTACATTACAAGGTTGCAAATACTATGTGTAAACATGGAATATATTAATAAAGTATTAATAGGGGGACAAATAACGTAGGTGATAATATTAGTTGCTAAATCTAGAATTATTCACACTGGAACTAGGTTTTTGGGGGCCCTAGACATGAAGCTTGGAAAGGGGCCTCTCCAGATCTTGATTTTCGCAACACTTCCATCCACTAGGAATAACAACACCCAAGAATCAAGTGCCCTGAGAGGATTATTGAGTGTTGAGTGAAAACTTGGCTGAGGACTGACCTCCTGGCCATAGGATGATAAGGCCAGGACTCCATGCAGACTGACAGGAAACCCAGCTGCAGAGGTGGAGATGGGGTGCAGGTAGGATGCAAAAGATGTACACAAGGTTTCATGAACCGCATCCCTACGAGCGCCTCTCACCGCCAACACCCGCGCACTAATTAATCAATTGTCATTCTTCACGCTCTTGGTTGTTGTTATTCCTATTTATACCCTCTCACTCCAATCAGTCCATGCTCACTATTGAGAATAACCCTTGGCTTTCTCTTGTGCACATAAACTACTCTTGTAGTCATTTCTGGCTAACCAACCTTGTTTTCCTCCTGCTTCGACTTCGTCTCGCCTCTCATTTTAGATTTGGATACTCCCGACCTGACTCTTGTGATAATGGATCAGTTAGATAACCCCTGAAAATGCTTTAAGTCCTGCACTGGGCTTCACCTATATCTCCCGCTGCAGAACCGTGTTTTCATGGTTTTCTGCAGCACTACACTTCCTTATGCATTTAGAAGGTGTACTTTTGTGTTGCCAACCCATTCCATACAACACAGCCATTCCCTGTGTGTGATAGCTGGGGTGCAGGAGGGCATGGTGGCTGCTGCTATCCGTTAGTACAAGAGTCTTGGGGTACAGGGAAGATATGAGTAGAGGGACACCTGGTAGGGTAATGGACCTCTACTAATGTGGTGTCTCTCACACCAAGGAAACCCTCTACCACCAAGTCACTGGCCTGTGTAAGTGGGATAATACACGAGTGTGAATCCTGAGAGTTACGGAGTGCGTTAGGTAATTGAAAATTCCTTTTTAGAAAGAAGAATGGCACTTCCTGGTCTGTCAACACTACTTACAGCAGAAATGTGGTTTTCCCGGGAGGTCTTTCATTCCAGTATTGACAAAGCCAAGCTTTGCTTAGCTTAAAAGATGTGACAATTGGTGCTTCTCAGGTAACAAAAATAGAAAACACTTGGCTTTATTTGATATGGTGCTGTGGCCTTAGAACCCCACTGAATTTAAGGTTTCAATTATAAAAATATATAATTAATATATGTTATTTAATAAATTATTTATACACAATATTGGGCAACGTGGTAACACAGTGTTTAATACTGCTTCCTTGCATTACTGTGACCTTGGGTTCAGTTACCGTGGTGATATGTGTGAGAGTTTTGTGTGCTCTCCGTGTTCTCATGGATTTCCTCCAGGTGCTCTGGTTTCCTCCCACAGTCCAAAGACTTAATTGGATAATTGGCTTCTGGGTAAATTGTGAGTGTGTGATTGTGTCTGTGTGTGCCCTGTGATGGATTGCTGTCCCATCTAGGGTGTATCCAACATTGCACCGATTGCTTATTGAGATAGACTTTGTTTACTTTGCAACCCTATCTTGGATAAAGTGGTGATGAATGGATACATAATGTTTAATGTAGAGTTTACTATCAATAACACCCAAGAATCTCTCTTTGGAGAGAACAAAACTCATCATAAGGAAATAAGTGCCACGACGAAAGACCTGATAGCAATTTCACTAAAGAGGTAAGGATGGTTTAATGAAGATGCAAATTCAAGATGAGTTGAAATAAAAGCCTGGCTGTGGGGTATAATTTGCATCTCATAGTTGAGGTGAAGCAGGGACAGAAGTTCCCTTTGTGGAACTTGACTTAAAAATAATTAACTGACAGGAAGATGGAAAGATACAATTGTGATCAAAAGCTTCAGAGGCAGAAAGAGTGTAAGGTCTTTGGAAATGAGAATGATTCCAAGGATGTGGGAGAGCTGGCATGGTAATAGGGACTGTTGTGAGTTGATCGTGTCATCCTGGGATTTAAACAACTAATATCGATACCAATGAATGCATTGTGAAAGAAAGTAGCTGTACTAAGGGAATAGATCAGCAGGTTCAAAGGAGATAATCAGGCAGATTAACCTGTTCAGTATTTGTGAACTCCTGGTACAGCTGGAACAGGTGATTGTAGGGAACCCACTGCTGGGTGACTCAGTTTCTTGCAACGGTGAATGTGGTTCTCTCTTCAGGACCCTTCCACTTACAAAATACTTTGCGAGTAATGTAAAAGTTACAGTAAACGTCACCAAAACAAGATGATATGTTGATTATATACTGTATGGTGACAGCACCTATAGCCGAAACTACAGTCAGAAGTCTTTACCAACTTTGCACACTGGCTTGGTGCAATCTGTACCAATTTTTCTTTACATTTGATCTCAAGTTTTCTGGAGATCTCTTAAGGACAGCAGTTTCCAAATCTTCCCACAAGTTCTCAATAGGATCCAGGTTTGGACTTTAAATGTGAAGGGACTCACAGATGATCACTTTGTATTATTCAGCCACTCCAGTGTAGTTGTAGCTTTGTGCTTTGGATCATTATTCTTATAGAAGATTAATTTTTCCAAGATTTTCCTGTACTTTGCTTCATCTATGTTCCTATCAGTCTTGAAATATCCCCCTATTGTATAAACATGATATGCAAGTAGTGTAAAATCAACATGTACTACTTAATATACATGTTAAGTTGATTGTAGACATCACTTAAATTTAAATTTTACAACACACACCTCTGCAACATCTGTGAGCCTTAGATTTTGTTAAGTTTTGCAATTTTGCTAAACATAGATACCTTATTATTATTATTACAGTATAAAGGTATACACCTACAGAGTTCAATATTCAGAATTCAATAATTAGAAAATGTTACAATATATATTTCTACCGACAGCAAGATGGCTATAGACAAAAGTCCAAGTCAGTCCACACTTGCATTGTAATTTACCGGTGCACTAGAAACAGTATTTGCATTTAATGCTAAAAAATGTATTGCCAATATTTCACAGGTCTCATTTTTTCTGCCAAGACTCTGAACAACTTCCAATGAATGGGAAAGCAGTCACTGTTCCTGTGAATATGAATTAACTGCCTCCAACCTCCACCTGTTTGTTTCCCTTACTTTGCTGGGGTGTTGTTCACAATGTCTGCCGCTGGTCAGGCAAGAGACACATACTTCAGAAAGGCCAAAGGTCTGTTGCTTTGTTGTCTAATAAAACTCATCTTCCATGAGTTCTACTGATTGAACTCAGTTGTCTTGGGGTTGTTCCACTTCATACCAATAGGGCACGCATGCACTCTGCAAATACCAGATACATTCACTGAAACAATCCTGAGGGAATCCCATTTTCAGCATTCCTGATCCTGGTTTTTCAAGTCCATGGTAAGCTTTTAGTCACAGTACACATTATTTTGAAATTACATTTTCTTACCTTTCTCAAGCCTGGACAAACTGATTTTAAGCATCTCAACTTCTGACTGTAATTTTTCAATGTAGCTTAGACCTACTGTTCCACCTAAAATAAGAAAAGATATTGCTATTACAATATACACATTGTCCAATATACACAATACACTGTACAGTACAATATACACATTGTATACATTGTCAAGTTGAATAGGTTAAAATGCTATTTACTGTATGAAAGTTGTATCCCCCTACTTTAGACTAAGTTCATGTTAGATGAACTATCATATTTGTAATATGTTATAAACATTAACATCCAAATTATGCATTTATTGTTATGCCGTGCCCATAGATTAAAAATAGAGTGTGGCAAATTGGTAATTACTGGAATCAGTTCAGCGGCGAAGTATTAATGATTTCATGGAACAAGAAACGGAATAATAAGGGAAATCAGGAATGGATGAGTTCTGGGAAGAGATATGGGAGGGTTGTGGAAGGAGTTTTTAGGAGGAGCCCTGGGAGTGGTCTGGAGAAATCCTAGGACTCCAAATGCTACTGCAAGAAAATGGCTAAGCCCTGAACATTCCTCAGGGCTTAAATACTGTGATGTCCCTTTAACGAGGTTGATAGGCCTGGCCTGATCTCGTTTGAGATGGCCCTGACGAGCTCCTTCCATGTGTGGAATGTGGAATGGAATTTGGTGAAGGTGCACTGGAGCTCGTCAGGGCATCACAGTTATAAAGTGTCATTTTTCCACCCCTAAATAAGGGTTAACATTACCTTCTGCAAATAACCTTGGGGACAGGTTGAGGGGCGTGGGCGTGGGCGTGGGCGTGGGCGTGGGCGTGGGCGTGGGCGTGGGCGTGGGCGTGGGCGTGGGTCAAGCTATGGTCGGAGTTAGGATTTTGTTACTGTTATGCCACTAATATCCTGTAGACATACGTTGTTACTGTACATTGTCACATGTAATTTCTCTTTGTTTATTTGTTCTTAAAAACTTATATACAGTTAAATGGTCTTTGCAACCCCTAGTCTAAAGCATCTAATGCATTATAAAACTCTACCTGAAGGCCCTGGATGCCCCTTTTCTCCTTTCATCCCTGCTGGGCCAGAGGGTCCATATTTCCCTGGGGGTCCAGAGGCACCACTTTCCCCTCGAAAGAGACATGGAAAACCCTCCATTTCTATATATTCACCAACAGAGACTGCTTATTATGTTTTTCATTTAAAAAATCTTGTGTAATGTTTTCCACAGTATTTTATTAGTCTTATTACAAATCTTCGTGATACTAAAAAGCAAACAGGAGTTTGATAAAACACAATTAGATTTTTTTTTTTGGCCACTAATTCAATT